TCGATTGGGCCTCTTTAAGTCTCAACCTGTTCGAGTTCTGGATGCCTGTTGCATGATACTCCGTGCCAATTAACCTTTTGGTAGGAGTTCGTGGAGCATGGCCAGTTGGGGTAGATAAACGATGCCCATCCCTGATGTCCAGCTGTCGTGAGAGGTTTGTTAAACTCCTGAGCTCTCTCCATCTCACAAAGGGACATCAAGGGGCGCCAAAATGTAGGATGACACCGCAGGATACATAAAGGCCACGGTTGGGGCCGAGATACGAGCCAATCCACCTCGCGCTTGCGATATTTGCTAGGCCCCGATCCAACGGGGAGGGTAAAACGGGGATAGGATGATCTGACGGGCCATGAAGTTCCTCACTCATGCTGGGAGTTCTGCTGAAAAGATGGCGTACCTCTACTTTCTAATTTCAGGAAACATCGGAAGATTTCCTGATAGTCTCCCGGAAGGCGGCCTGATATGGCCCCAGGAGAAGGTTTTCAAACCCACCGGCCATCATCAGGGCCAGGTAGAGTAGGATAATCAATGGCCACAATGTAGTGACTTGTGGAGTCCGGTGATCGACCAATCACAGAAATACCAAGGTAGTCGAGAAGCCTAAACGAATTCAAAGTAGGAAACCTGAATTCTGGGGTCCCGGAGTCCACGAAACTCGTTCGTTTGATTGGGGCCCCGAGAGGAACTTTCATCCTCGGTGTTCATACTGCTAGAGCGCACGTTTTGTGGGCCTGGCAATATGGGAATGAAACTGTTGTCCGATGATTGCAGACGTGATCATAATATCAAGAAGGATTGGGGTATACATGACATCATCCTAAAAGACAGGGCGCGTCGATGGATTCTGGTTTTCGGTAGATAGGATCATACCCAAACGTTGCCCTTGTAAACGAAGCCACGGATAATGGCACGACGACCATAGAACAGATATCTAGGACGCGCCGAAAGATGTTTTGAGGCGAAGCCCAGGTAATTGTCCTTGGCATTTCTTTCGCACACTATGTGCCCCACTATATGCCCTGAGAACGGGTCGCTCTGTTATATCCAGTGGTTGATCGATCAACACCATAAGCAGAAGTCGGATTAGATGTGCGCTCGCTTGCGGGGTTCCTCTGGAGGAAAAGAAAAATCACACTTGGACTTTTGCAGTGCGAGATTCTCTAGTACGTTCGCCTGGAAAGCAGGTGTGTCCAGTATCGTCTGTCGACATCGCCGATTATACTGTTGGCACTTAGAAGATCTTCGACAGAATAACCGTCAGCTTTGCATGGATGTATTGATCGACATCAGCAGCGATGTATATCAGTGTTCGATTCGCAGTATTAAGATCTATAGCCGGTCGCAGCGGGAGTGTAAATCGTCACGTTCGATACAACAAGACCCAAGCGGCCAGTCATAAGTTCAACATAGCTTCGGACCACTGCAAAAGCGTACGCATTGTAGTGTTGATGAAATGTGTCGTTGGTATATTTCTCGTCGAGGGTATACGTCTAGGGACGATAGTGGGTGACTTCCTCAGTACTCGGACTATTGAGAGACGAATGTGGACCCACTCTGTGGTAGATTTGGTACACTAATGCGGATTGTAGTGTCTCCATGTTGACCAGGAAGTGTCGGGTGGCTGCTCAGAGCTACCAGAAGTTCGAATATCGGCCAGCGGCATTCGCACGTATAATCCTGGGAGGATAAAATCCAATGTACGCCATAAAATGGTAGATAATTTGCATATTGACCAACTGTGTTGTGAATGTAGTCTTGGCACCATGGTGCAGGAGCAGAGCTGAATCGCTTCAACTGAGATGTTTGTTTCTTGTCCTGAATAGGAGAGCTGAGCGGCAGTTCTCCTTTCGTGATAGCCGACGCGTGAGACATCATAAATGCCGCGCGCCATTTCGATAGCCAAGTAGCTTGTTAGGCTTTGACCAGATGTTGACCGATGTCTCCATTTGTTGTTTATTTTCTTCCAGTCGGAGATTCCTTCAAGAAATGCGATGAGGATCGAGTCCAGGGACGTAGAAGGGGCATTGGGAGCGGAGAAGAACAGCCGAGGTTTTACCCCTTTGTACAGTTTTGTCTTCAGCAAGAGGCCAGTTCGTAACAGTCCATGGGACGCTGGTCACTCTCCCCGGAACTCTCTATTCTGTAGGACAAGTCTTGTAAAATCCACATCATATGGCTGTGGTCGGGAGCACGCGCTGTAAAATGTTCCTTCATACAGTGACCAAAAACCCCGGTTCTTTCGAGGTCGCTTCGGTAAGCTATCCTGATCCGAGGGATGCGCGGGCAATGTATATCGCATAGCAATGACGAATAATGTTCTTCGAATTCTCACTCGGTTGTTGTATCGGTATATAGGTCTTCTTCTACAAGAACGACATAGTACGAAGGAAGTCCCGAGTGTATCTCCCGTCGGTAGGACGAAATCGAATGACCGGATATGGAGGCCCTTGCTCAGACGACTGGCGTGTCGGAGGAGTGAGATTCTGCCTCACTGCAGCTTGATGTCTTCCTCTCAATTGATGTTGGAGTCATCCGTTGTCTAATGAATATGTCTTACTTGGGTTGAAGTAGGTACGGCCAAAACCCTCATTGGTGAACGTCATGCAAGATGTAATTGCATTCAGACTGGAGGGCGATCTGCCAGATTGGGCAGTTGGTCCTGTCTGCAACGAGAGGATCGGATCGTCGAAGGATGCGAGTTTTCGGTAGTCATTTGACCTCGAAGTCTTTTGAACACTTCGGCATGTCAGGTGGCCATGAGAGGTGAGACGAAGAAGAGGCATAGAGTGGATGGAAATGCTCAATGAGAGAGATGAGACAGAGAAAAGCTGTCTGTGGGATATGAAGAGGAAGAGAAAGGAGGAAGGCCAGGAGGGGAGAGAAGGGGCTTTAAATACCCACGAATCGGGTAGACGGCGCTAATAACATGCCCTGAAAGATTCAATTAATCATGTCATGCACTACAGGGATTCATCGCGCCATCTCCAGTCGGAGAGCTGAAACCCCCGTTCTAATATGAGGCTGAACCCGAAGGCTGTCACTGAGCGCCGTCACCGAGCGCCGTCACCGGCAACCATCACTGAAAACCGTCACTGTCTGTCTTCACGGCGATAATTTCTCACAAATTGTTTTCAGTTCGATGGGAAGTTGCTATCATTGGCTGTCTTGGCGCGACAGAAGATCTCACAGGCCAGACAGGTTGAGAGGCAATCTCTTCACGCCGTGAATAGGGCCAGATGCCATTCCCTAGCATCCGTTAATGGAAACTATCAGAACATAGGCAAAACGCTCGCATACCTCCTTGCTGAAATTGCATAGTCCGTAGAACAATGGAGATGGTAAATATACCATAGTGATTGTGATACTGATATAGAAAAATGTCGCAAACCTGTGTCATATTCAGTTCAGTTCAGCACAGGAGATCCCTCGGCGTCTAGTCCTCCCTGCAAGAATGGACAAGGTGCTCAGAAGAAAAGCTCTGCAAGGGTTAAAAGTTGTATGTCGCCAGCAAACATACCGAGAAGACGGGAGAGACTGGTAGCAGGGAGGAAGATAGAACACCAGGCCAGACAAAGGCGCGGCAGCGCCCTATTTGGGATTTGCCTCCAGCGCACCTTCCCGGATGACAGCCAGTCCGCCGTTTGAGATTTTTGCACCTGGAATCCCAAACACAGATGATTGAAAGAAGCAGGAGAGCTTCTCGGATATTGCGACTCGTCATTTTTACATAACGCCGTCCGTACCTTGGGATATAAAGCGGACAAGTCCAGAATCTGGGATAATAGATGCCAGGAAAATTATCCAACACCTGATGTTTGGCTTTACGCTGCGTATTACTTGATGGAAACCCATGAATAAAGAGACAAAAGAAGAAGGGGCCATGATCGTCTGGCCATGATCGTCTGGCTATGATCTGCGCTATACTCCGTCGATGTATATCATCCGACTATCCGATCATTGTTCCTCAGTATCATAGCTCACCCATCAAGCCGCGCTCCATCCTCCACAGTCCACACTCCATACCACCTCCCATCCCCATCACCAATACCCCAGGCTCGCGAGTCTTGGCCACGCAGGCTACAAAATCCAGTCAGCCATCCATACTCACCACATCCCACAACTCCCACCCATCCCGTCAACATCTCCATCAATCACCTATCCACAGAATCCTGCGTTCTGCCCACCAAGCCAACACCCGCATACCCCCCCGCCTCACGCTTAACACGCCAGCTCTCCCCCAACCGACGGCCCAACATACTCTCCCAGTTGAGCAAACGTCTTTCACACTGTTTGGTTCAAATCCTCCTGCCCACTCAGCGCGGTCTGCAGTTACTGCTCGATGATCTGATAGTCTTCGGAACATAGTTGCTCGCGGATGCGTTCGCGCTGCACGCGTGCTCGGCTCGCTCGGTCATCTTCCTTATGCTAAGGACGGTCCCGTGAGCGGTTTCCAGGTAATTGCCATTATGGCACTCATAGATCTGTTTGCTGTGCGGCGCGGAGCCTTTCTCCGGCTGTGAGGTATGGGAGCCACCTGCCTGTCCATGATAATCGTGAATAGCTCAAGGAGGTGTTGTGACATTGTGGCTGGGGGTACTATGCTGTTAACTAAGCAGAACGAAGGTGGGGGGCGGGAGCGGGAGGAGGGACAGGTAATGATCAGGAAGCTGAAGAGGGTGGTTTGGGTAATTTCAGCTTTTTTAAATAAGTTGGAGCTCGTCAGTGAAGCGTGCTTTTGACATGCTGTGGATTCAAGATGACGCGCGACCTGCTCCAACAGGGCTTTTTCTTTTCTTTCTTGCCTTTTGATGATCGCTCTCAATTGTGTGCCACGACAGTCATTCATCATGGGGTTGGGGAGATGAATGGATTTTCCTCCATGGAAGAAATTGGAACTCAAGTTGCGTGAGAAAACGTTCGGACAGGTTTGATAGGACTGGAACAGCCCGAGGCCGTGTAAGAGAGAATTAGGCGGCAAGATAGAGCAGGTATAAGACAGGCCAGAATGTTGGGTTGATTGTTCGCTATATACAACCTAACACGAGATATTGTAGCGTATGGGCGCCCAAATCTGTTGCCCTCACTCCATTGCGCCCTGTATGAAAGCGAGGATACCGTGTCGTTCTCTTTGATCCGAAATTGTGAAACAGATATAACGTTACATTCTGCGATACTAAACAAAACCCAAACGCCTATCATGAACCAGATGCTAGCTTCAGCACAGTATATAAAAACGTTGACAGTCATCCAAAAAAATTCCGTGGTATCATATCATAAACTCTGTTTCATGCACTAAACCACAAGACTAGTTAGCTCAATACAAAGTTTTAGGTTGAGATGTACATACACAACACACTTTTAAGAAGGCAGACTAATGCTCATTCGACGGCTTCGTCAGACGCGGGTAGTAGAAGAGGAAGAAGACAATGACGGCTAACAAAACGACGAGCGTCGGGAGAAACATGAAGAGGAAGAGGATGACGCTCAGCCCGAAGGCGGCGTTGTGTGCAGGGAAGAATCGGCGGGCCATTAGATCAGCGGTGGATGAGAGCGTCGATTCCATCGATGGCCGAGGCTGAACGACAAACAGTGATGAGGCTTGTATGGAAGATGGGTCTTGCGATGAGTAATAAAGCTGAGACTAGTGGCGACAAGGACAGATGATTTGCTATCTGTAGTATTTATATCGTTGTTGGCATGAGATGGATGGACGGCGGACTCGGTCGTAGATAGAGGCTGGAACTGCAAAATCAGTAGCAGTGATACCGGAGTGAACCAGAGTGGAGAGATATTGGGACACCACGGAGATTTGATTTTATTCCAGCGGTGATCGACCCAGCCGCGCGAGAAATGAAGCCTTCGGAGGCACTTCCAGAGCCCTCTGGAAGGACGGATTCTTCCAGACCGAACTGCAGAATCTTTGTTCTCGTCGCCGGTGGAGAAGCTGCAGCCATCTACCGACGGAAGAAGTCGTCGAACCGACTGAAGCCCTCCCTCCAGGTAAGGTACATACATACGCGCCTACATACGTCGTACGGTATTCCGTAGTGCGGGCTTGGCGGCCCATACACAACCCGGGCAGCGATGGATGCCTGCAGGGATTGCGGCCGATTATTGGGCATGATCACCGCACATCATTGGCTGGCAGAGAAATGCCCCGGTGGGGGTCCACCAGCACTATTCCGTTTTCTCGCTGGTGTTGCTATAAATTGCTCCAAAGGGACGGGCGACGCGGTCGCCCGTCATATCCGGTTCACGCAAAACGCAAGGATTCGCAGGGTCAGGCAGCAGTATTTCATGTACCGCGGGCGCCAGATATCATTACGCCGATGGCTTCTGCTGCAGACCGATGCTTCCAAAGGGGATCGATGTTATGGAGCAAGATTAGACTGGATGGGGAGAAGATCAAACCCACTCCAGGCCCCATTTCTTTTTTTCCAGACGCGGGGAGTGCATGCATCAATGGATATGAAACTGAAACGGTGAAACAGTGTGGTTTGTCTCCCTGGGCTGTAAGCGGCTGGAATGGCGATGTAAAGCCTGTACTTTCGTGCCTGGAGACGCCCAAACTGGACCCCAGCGCGGCCACGTCAAGCTGGCGAACCAATGGTCGTGTCGCCCTGTAGGGCTGAAGCTTGGCACAGTGCGCGGGAGTTCCGTAATATCGAGTAATCAAGGTAATAAATCGAAGCCAAGAGGTGACCACTGGGCGTATCCCAGCAGTAATTGCAGGGATTCATGATTTCATCACGTTATCCAGGAGGCTATTATTACCAACACCAACATTACCTCAGCTGGATCCCCTCGCCATCCCGCGTTACGCCGTAAATAAGATAGTCCATCTCCGCCATCGCCGCCGGCGTCCAGCTTCAATCAATCATCCCTTGCCCACTTCCACTCTCCTTCTTTTTCTTCTTCCCCATCTGCTCCCCTTTCCCCATCCATCCCACAGCGCTCGGATGCATCCGTGAGTCCCCGCGGAGATGAGGTCGTCCCCATCGTTATCAGCTTCCTATTATTGATCTGGTATCTCTGGCTTTCTCTTTTCTTTTTCTCCCTCTCACCCTTCTTCAAGGCATTCCCTTCCTGTCCATTACCCCCCCCCCCCCTCCCCCGTCGCTCTTTTCGCTAGTTGATCGGGATGGGTTTCTTTGCCGGTCACGGACCCGTCGACCAGTCCGAACTGGATAATTTCGGAGTCGATTGGGTCATCCACTTTTCGTTCGAAGAAGTCGGTAAGGAGTCCCTGCGGTCCCTGCGGATGCTGATGCCGGTGCTCACACATCATCCCGCCCACAGAGCTGTCTCAGGCAATCCAGGAATTTCGCACCTTGATCCAAGACCTCCAGGAAGCGCATCTTGAGGTCCAGGTCCGCCATGGCCATGGCTCCTCCTTGCTAGTGTGCATCCGCGTCCCCCCTGACCTGTTGGGCAATTTGGTTTACAAGTCTCGGTACGGTTGATCGGTGGCCACGGATTTCGCACGATCGGATAAACTAACAACCTCCAGGGTGAAGGACTGGCTTCATGGAATCATCCATGAGCTTCCCCAGGGCGATGATTACGCTGTGGTAGAAGCTGAAACTCCCGCTGAGGCCCTCCGGTCGGTGTATCATGCGGTCAGCTGGCAGAAGTCGCTCGGAGGGGCTGGCGTCACCCCCACACTCGGCCAGTGGAAGAATGTCACGACTTCCATTCCTCTGCACGATCGCTCCGCTAATGCGGAGCTGCTGCGAAAATGGAGCAAGACCATTTTTTTGACCGCTGAGGATCTTGACGCTATTCGGGCCCTGTTTGGAGAGAAGGTTGGTCTTCGTGGTCCGCACTGGCATAATCGAGGCTGACAATTTAGATTGCTTTCTACTTCGCCTTCATCCACTGCTACTCGTGCTTCTTGGTCTTCCCCGCCGCCTGGGGCATCTTCTGTTGGTTCTACCTCGGACCCTACTCGATTACATGTGGCGCGGTCACTTGTCTCTGGGCGATTGTGTTTGTGGAGTACTGGAAAACCCGCGAGATGGACCTGAGCCTTCGGTGGAATGTCAAAGATGTTGGGTTCCTGAAGGTGACCCGGCCGCAGTGGATTTGGGACAAGGAAATCGTCAACCCGGGCACGGGAGAAACCATCCGCGTCTTTTCGGTCCATCGTCAGTTCGCCCGCCAGCTGCTGCTGATTCCTTTTGCGTCGGTCGCAGCTCTTGCTTTGGGCAGTTTGATCATCCTGACGTTCGCCCTGGAGATTATGGTTTCGGAGGTGTACAATGGTCCCATGAAGGGTTACCTGGAATTCCTTCCCACGATTCTGTTCTCATTATCGTTGCCAACCATCAACAACACCCTGACCGAGTTTGCGAAACGATTGACCGACTACGAAAACTACCGCACGCAAGATCAATACGACCTGGCGCAGACCTCTAAGACGTTCGTGATGAACTTCATTACGTCTTTCCTGCCTACTCTCCTCACAGCCTTCGTATACGTGCCCTTCGGAGGCAAGATCGTCCCGTACCTCGATACCCTTCGTGAATACGGTCTTTTGTCGGCCAACCTTGCCCGGGAGATCAACATCGACACGTCCCGTCTCCAGCAGGAAGTCATCTATCTATCTGCGACCGCCCAGGTCCTCAATTTTGGCGAGGAGATCGTACTGCCGTACGTGAAACAGACCCTGTGGCATAAGTGGCGCGATTACCGGGAGGGCCGTCACGCCACTCGCTATCCACGTCGCTATTCCACGAGGACTGATCAACTCCTGGTCGACGCCCCCGAAGAGTCCGCGTTCCTTTCCCGAGTCCGGGATGAGCTCGAAGCGGATGAATACAATGTACACGACGACACTCTGGAGATGTGTGTACAGTTCGGCTTCCTTGTTCTGTTCGGGGTCGCATGGCCTTTGGTCTCGCTGGGATTCCTGGCAAACAACTGGTTGGAGCTGCGAGGGGACTTTTTCAAGCTGAGTCTGGAATGCCAGCGCCCCCCGCCGATCCGAGCTGACTCGATCGGGCCGTCGCTCCAGGGGTTAGAGGTGCTCAGCTGGCTCGGGACGCTGTCGACGGCTGCGATTGTGTACCTCTACCGCGACGGCATGGAGGAGGTCCACATCTCCTCGCTTCTCATGGCACTCCTCTTCGCGGAGTGGGCGTACGTCAGCATCCGTTACATTGTCCGGACGGGCATTGAGAAGATTGCCTTTGTATCGCTGCGACGCGAGGCGTCCAAGCGTTACGCGATGCGCAAGCGCTACCTGGAAGCCACCTCCGGAAGGGTGTCACCTCGAGGCAAGCCGCGCGTGCGGTTCCAGGACCGCGTGAGCGTCTTCTCGTCCGCGACGGACGTGGGAGCCAGTGGTAAGGAGGATTTCCTGCACCCCGGACATGAGGGTATGGGTCGCAGAGGGTTCTGGGCGCAGGAGACAGCGGACGCAGGCGTTCGGCTGATCAAGGCGCTGAACAATAACATGGACGGATCGCGGACCGGTCCGGTCAAGGGCGCGAAAGGCGCTTGAACATAGAAACGCTCACTCACTGCATGTACATTGCGCATCCTTCGTCTTGATTCCGATCGTCGCGGGAAGACGGGAAGAAAACCTGCCGGGCGGAAGAAGTGACCCACACGAGATCGTTCGCTGGGTGACTTGACTGTATATTTTCTTTTCTATATCTCTCTAGATATTTTCTTGGACCGTAGCATAGTATTAATATGTATGCCTTGTTTCCCAATACTGTGTACAGTGTGAGAGTGCAACACAGGATTGAAGATGACGCGGGCCGATCGACAAACACGGGGCTTCTTTAGTCCGGGGTCGGACACACCAGCCGGATCGGGCATCGTGGATGCCTGCGGGCTGGGGTCGTCATTCCTGAGGCCGCTGCCCCTCATTTCCCCGTGCACCAATCCCTTCCAGCACAATCACCCTGCACACAACAACCCCCAGCTCCAGTTTCACCGGGACGAGGGTGGACAGAATAAGCTTGTCCCTGGCAAAGCATCGCCCTCGCGACACGAGAAAACCTGCAAAGCGATCCAGAGAACGAGGAAGGAACCGACTTGGCTCAGCCCTATAAGGCACGCCAAGTGCGGAACCCCCCGCCCGCCAGCCAATCAGAGGGCGCACGCCCGCACCTTCCGTGGATGCCGCGAATCAATCTGGGAAACTTGGCGGTCGCCCAACAACCCGTCCAACTTTCTCTCTCTCTTCTCTCTCGCTCTCTCTCTCTCCATCCCGTCCTTCTTCTCGCCAGGTTGCGTCTCTCCATCCCGTCCCTCCTCCCTCTCCCTCCCTCCTCTTTTCTCCTTCCCTTCTCCTTCTCTTCCTTTTTCCCTCCATCCTCCATCATCCTTCAATCTGGCGTCGCCCTCATTCCCGTCGTCCCCTACACCCTGCCGGTCCGACGCCAGCTAGAGGAGCTTGGCTCCTCTAGTCTCCTGCCCCGATGCCCCCCTCGCAGGACACCCTATCTTCTCTGGTCTCGGACAAGGCTTTTCATCATGAAGAAAACGAGACGACCGATCTGCCACCCTCCTCCGTGACCTTCACCCGCCATCGCCGCAAGCTGCGGGTCACAAATCCGCCGTGGTACCGGAACAGTCTGCTCGCTAGCGTCGGGTTTCTAGAGTTCGCCAATGCGGGTGATTTCGCCGCTAACGTCTGGAACGACGTGCCCATCCCACTGTATGCGAAAATCTTCATGGCTATCGGGGGACCACTCGCGCTTCTCATCAGCATCGCCGCTCTTCGCGATGGAATCCTCAGCTGGCAGAACGTGCGCATCCTCCAGGAAGAACGGCGATACCTCTTCCTCCTTCGACTGCAGCACCTCAACCCGCCCGCCACAACACCAGTCGACCAGGCCTCCGTCCGACTCATCGACCGTCGTCTCGGTGTTGGATACCGCGAGTTAGGCTCCGAAGTCATCGATCGCATCGTCATGGACCTCTTCCTCGGCATCGGCGCCCTCCTCGTTGGCACCGGCACTATAATGGCCATATGGGGCGCGAACTCCTATATATACTTTATCAGCAATCTTTTGTCTGGCTTTGTCGGCAACGGCTTCGCTGCTGCATACGGCGTCCTCAACGCAGTTTGGTCTATATACCTCATATGGCGGTTCCGCGGACACGATCGGGCATGTATGTCCTCCACCGCCCTCACGCCTTTCCGCGATCGTCTACACCGCCGCTTCCAGTACTTCATATGGCACGCCGTCGTGTCCGCCATCACCGGCCTAGTAGCCGGTGCGGCCTCGATGCTCACCTGCCGGATGTGGTGGGGGTACGTGATGCTGATCCCATGCATGCTGCTGGAAGTCGGCTGCAACCAGTTCTGGCGCGTTTTGCTCGGCTACGACCGGCCCATCGTCTCCTCACAGCCCCACTGGGGCCTCATCCCCGACTATACTTACAGAGAGGAATCCAAACAATGCAAAGAATCCAAAGAAGTCGAAGAAGAGAAGGACAACGTCCTTCTCGACACGCTGGCGTCCGTCATCTCCATGCAAAAAGCATTTTCCCCGCTCCCTCCCACCCACATCCTCGGCGACGTCGACTGGTCTTCCCTCGACTCGCTCCTCCTCTTCATCCTCAACCACCATCTCTTCGACTCCCTCTGCGGCTGGCTCGCATCCGACTCCTCCGTCCCCAAGGACCTCAGACACTCCCTCTTCCGTCTCGACGCCGACTACACCGAGATCACCCTCACCCTCGCCGATCTCCGCGGTCTCCCCGACTCAGACCGTCCCCGTCTCCACGACCTCTGTCGCAATTTCTTGTATACCGAAGGGAGACAGGTTATGGTCGGTCGCGAGCGCTTTTTGTTGGAGATGGTCGGCTACGCCGCTTGGAAAGATGGGCAGCTTGGCTGATTGTCTGCCCTTGATCTTCATATTTTATCTTCTATTCTATGATGTGACAGGATATAATGTTTCATATCTTAGCATTCCATGTATGTGCTTGATGTCGTCAATGTCTGCATATGCATTTTCATCTGCGTCGCATCTGCATTTGCATCCATCAGTTCTGTATATATGCATGAAACTGAACAGCGTTGTCTTAATTAGCAATGAACAAGCAAGCAAGCGAGAAAGAAAGAAACATTGTGGCGTGCGTGCATAGCCTGGACTCTCGTGCTGGTTCGCGGGGTTGTCTTCTTCTTCTTCTTCTTCTTTTTCTTCTCCTTCTTTTTCTTTTGGCTGGATCTCTATCTATCTCTCTGTCTAGATAGTATGAATGAGTGTAATGTATAAAGACTCTTCGTCGGCTACGATGATGGATGGATGTATGTGGCGTGTATCCTCTGCCTGCGTGCCTGCGTGCCTGTATACCCTGGTGCCTGTATGCCCTGGTGCCTGTATCCCCGGTCACCGGCCTGAGTGCTCCAGGCTCAATGCCTTGGTGCCTCGGTGCCTCGGTGCCTCAGTGCCTCAATGCCTCATTATCACCCTCACACTCCATTCAAAGCCATACAAGGAGAGGCCATTGAGTGCATTATTATTCCTTAGCTAATATTCGTTTTCTTGAGGGTTCCGGTGTGACATCATCTCATGTCTATCCTGACTCGCTGCTATACGTACGTTGTACGCAGGGTTTCAGTGCGGTTGTTTGATCTGTTGGTTGCTATTGTATCAAAAAGAGGTTATCCAACGCCGCCAATGCCATCCAGCCAGACCAGCGAAAAGGTGATAATGAGGAGGTATCCCCGAGGTAAAGATATTACGGTAGGCTGACCCCAAGCCTGGACGAGATGGTCTGCACTGGTGTATCTGCTCTTGATCGGATGTTTTTATTCTCCTTTGACTGTCGAATATGTGACACCTGCGGATCTATTAATCCAGCTGCTTCCATTTCGAAGCACAGAATCCCCAGTTCCTGTGCCAGTCGGTCTCTCGTGGCTGCATGTTTCATTACTTGATTTCCCGATGCAATCAAACCGTAATGAATGGCTGAGTCGGCTGATGGTCTTGATTGTCGATTCATAATCTGAATCTTGCTGCAATGATCGCATGTATTTCCTCCAACGTGCTCATAGTTGACTTTGTATAGGTGATCCTGACTGTTGCCCGAACAAGTGAACTTTGATATTTTGGGATACCGCATCGCAATTTGGGATTTATTAAGTGGTATGTTGTTATTCTTCATCACGACTTTCGCTTTCAGCTGGTTGACTGCAGCCAATAGCACCAGTGGTGGTTTGTTGAGAGCTCCTGTTCGCTGGAAAGACCCACCACTGGTGACCGTTCCGTAGTCGTATTGTATCACGCCACCAACCCCGTCGGCTGGCTCGCTCACCACAACATCTCCGAGTCTAATATCGACTTTGTCGCTTGGTGCTCCTCCTCCGATACCAACCATCAGTCCGAACCGTATTTCTGGAAAGGTAAACAACATGTGAGCCGCTACTATTGCGGCTGAAGTGGCACCGTTGACACTAGCTGGCAAACACGCAATAACAACATTGTCGCCCAGGATGGACCAAAGTGTGTATGAGTTGTGGTCGTTGAAGTCCGAAGGTAAGGTGGTATGAATCTCGTCCAACATCGCTGTCGCTGCCGCGATTTCGAAGGAGAGGGCTGCGATCCATCCGATCTTGTATTCATGGTGGGTGAGTGTTTTCGTGGGGATGCGCGTTTTGGGGGGCGTTTTTCTTTCCGGGGCTCATTGAGACGAACGTTAGCAAAATAATGTTTAGTACGAGCTTCAACACGGGAAAAGACAAGGAATCATTTCCAGGAACGGCATCGGTATATACAGACCAGAAGGGAGCTTTCGAAGATGGTCTTAAGCTGTGCGTTGGGCTGCAATGTCAAAAGGCGAATGCCATTGTGTGGAGGAATGGAGAAGACGAGGAAGCCGTCGGAAAGCTTCCACGACATCAGTCAGAAGCGCCTTCCTAATCGGGTGCCCGAGGCGAAGTCGCGCCTTCCCCCAGCTCTATTTGGTGTTTCAGGCCCAACTGAAACATTTCGACAGCAGGTACCTCGTAGTAGTACTACTAGGTAAAAGGTAGGTAGTATGTAGTATGTGGCATTGAGTAGCTCAGCTGAGGGCCACTCTATTAGAAACAGTGCTATTGAGTACGTGTGTTGGTTGGACATGCGGAGTGCTACTAATGCCCAACACATGCGCCCAGCAAACCACATCCGAACCAATCAGATACCTGGGCAATTTCATCTCCTGATGCAAGTCAAATCTATTTCATTCGTTATTAGTGGGTGCTAGATACATTAAGGATTTGTCCGAAGAACTTTTGCGAATTCCCATGTTCATCCAATTCTTCATCAATTGCTCTCTTTTTTCCATGGGCTCCTTTAAATCAAAAAGAAATCAAGCACGCCAGCTAGCGATGCAAGGTGTAGGCCGTAAAGCGTAGACAATCGTGCAGGTGAAAGGTTATCCCAAAGATATGCAGTCTAGAAGCTGAACAATCCACTCCGTCTCTTTCCAAACGGGTAGACCACCAAAGCAGCCACGAAAAGACCGACCGTGATTCCGATGGCCACTTGAATCATCCCGAAGCCCAGAACATTCGTCGACATTTCGCTGGAAGATGTGGAAGTCGAGGTGCTGCTGGTGCTGCTGGATGAGTGGTTCGTGACATTGGAGCGGATTTCGTTGGCGGTGTCGACGCCCGTGATGAGGGATCCGGTGGCCGCGAGACCGGAGGGTACAAGAACGAAAATGGCGGGTAGGACGGCGGCGGCGGCATGTCCGTGCCAAATTCGACTGTAGAGGTTCCCCATTACACCAACAGTGAAGGCGCCCACGGTGTTTGCGACCTGTGTGTTAGAGCCGAGGTGCGAACCGACGAAGTAGTTGGTGATGTAGCCGGCCAGGGAGATGGTGATCATAATAGGCGCTTGTTTCCACTTCCCCTGGTTGACGATGAGGAGACAGAGAGAAAACGCGGCAACAAAAGGGAAGCGCTGGGCGTACGCGTTCTTGAATGCTCCTCCTGCTGGGCAGGTGAGATCTGAGGTGGCATTTCTATCCATCAGCCCGTAAATGGTCGTGCCGACGGTGACACCGTAGCCGAGGAAGAGCGAGTAGATAATGGCGTAAACCATACGGATGGAGCCGGCGACGATCTGGTGCGACTGCAATTCCAAGCTACTGCACAGAACTAAATATCCGGGCAGAATCAACGCGATGGATGACTGTGCGATAGCAGAGAAACAGAACAAAAACTCGCTAGTTCCGTGGTTGAAGGCCGTGGATCTGATACTGCCGAAAGCACGGGCGAGGAATGAAGTGAGCACAGAAGCCGTCACCTCGAAGACGTTGGAATACAGGACCGATCGCGGTGCAAGGATATGCTGCATGCAGCCCAGGAGACAGCCATTGAAGAAGATGAGAGGCATGTCGATTGGCCGTGCATCAAAGGCGAACGGTCCCACGGTAGCGGTTGCTATTCCATAAACCAGAACTATGGTCCATTTGTTGAACCGAGGTTTCTTAATCATAAGCTCATCCAACTCGTTCGCAGCCTCCTCAACTCCGATCATGTCGTGTATTACGTTTTTGTACACGTTATGCGTATCTGACAACCGCCCGAGGTCGACGCCTTGCACCGCCCGAACGAGCTTGACTTCTGTTGTCCGGGTGCTGGGGTCGTCAAATGATATGATCATGCATCCAGGGAGATACAGGAACTGACATTCGATATCTAAAACCTTGGCGGTCATATGCATGTACTCCTCAAGCCGATGAGTAGGGGCCCCAAACCTCATCAGCGCCTTGCATAGGTGCATAATGTATCGCTGCCGGGCAATGATTTCAGCTATTTGGAGGGTAATGTGGATCTCATCCTCGAGTCTCATGCTGCTGCGGCGATGGCGATTGGAATGCCTGTCCCGCCGCCTAGACGCCACACTCATAATCTCGCCAGACAGAGGTGTACTGGCCCCACTGGCACTTCCGGCTCCCACTAAAGTCGACGTCGAAACATTCCCAGGCTTTTTGTACCAGCGGACCTTCTCTTTTCGAGGCGTCGCCGTACCCGGGGTGCTCCCGCCAAAGGGGTAAAACAACTCACTTGCCAGGGCAACACCCCGAGACCCTTTTTGGAACTGATCCCAGCCTCCGCTAAGCTTGAGCAAGTGTGACAAAACGCCTCCAGTGGAAGCACGACGTCCAATTTCGTCGTCGCGTTCCAGACCGTCATCTTCAGGGTCAACATCTGTGACATCTGGCAAGATCGAGCCTCTGCGGGTACTGTTACGACGGGTACTATTGCGACGAGCTGATGCCTCCTGAGCCAGTTCACGGACGATACGATGAGCTTCGGTACTGCAGGTAGTTTGGTCGGGGTGTTCTTCGCCATAATGGAGGTCGTTGTCCGTACTGCGACGGCGATAGTCAATGGGTTGCAGGTCATCTTCATCGATGTCGTCCGGGCGTCCAAGGCGAGCAGCAAATTCGGATGTCTTTGCCTTGACCGTATCTCTGATTGCTCTCAAACGATCCCATTTGGTCATTTTCTCTTTCATACTAGGCGGACGCTTCTCGTCCTTCGCTTCCTCCCCAGCCTCCCTACCCAAGGCCTGCAAGATTCGGCCGGGTGCATCTGTAATATCGAGTGATCTATGTGCAGATGAACGGCGTCGGAAGTGGGATGCGTCGGGACGGAAGCCCCCCTCTTCCGCCAGGCTTCCATATTCAAATCGTCGATCCGCACCAAAATGTACTCGATGGATGCGTCGTAGTGGGTCAACGGGGGGGCTATCGGCGTCTGGAGTGACACTGTTTGTATTATCACTGTCGGGGGAGGGGGAGTCTGCAGTCTGGTGTTCGACGCTGCGGTAGCTCATCAACGACCCTTCGCTTGACTGGCTGCTGGACCGTTTTTCGGACATTGTGTCGGTTTATGGGAGGGGTCGAGGTATGGGCGATTATCCTATCAGCGAATCAGTATAGAATGCAAGACTTGTGTCTGCCAGACCTACTGGAGGCGTTCAGAACTGCAAGAGGCAGCAAGGCCAACAGCTGCAACACTGTGTACGAAGAACCATCTGACAAGGTAGATTCCCGCCCCGGTCGTAGAAAACGATCCTCAGCAAAGCTCCATTGAATAACACACCCTCGCTAAGCGAGATTTTCTAACAAAATGGCAATGGCAAGCCATAAAGGTAAGGCCATAAAGGTATTGTTGGACCTGCTCCGCCTGATAGTGACAGTCAATTTTGAGAAGTGAATGAAATTGCCACGGAGGCAAGGCCATCATTCTACCATCGGGAAGACGTCATGGAAAACCACGCCGTCGAACACTGCTGGCGCAAGAGGTGATAAGGCGCCGGACGAGATGTAACCTTATTTGGCCGAGAACAGAGTCGATGACGCATCTTCTTCCAAGGTCCGGAGAGCTTCTAAGCAGTGTTCCAGACCATCCATCCTTCCGTTTACTCCGAACAACAATCAATAATGCCGCAGGCTCTGTCAGGAACAGTGTGTTTTGCTGGCCAGGAACATCTTGGTCCGGAGGGGGTCCGGAGGGGATCCGGGGGTCTAGGCGTCCCGATTGATGCTAGGATTTGTCGATGATAAGGCCTGGACTAGGCTGACTGAGGCTCGAAATTTGCTTGGCATATTATAAGTAACTTTCACAAAGTGTGGCCAAATTGTGGGATATGATGAGAGGTGGTGAGGTGCGGTGATGCAGAGATTCAGGACAGAAGACAGGAGGGGGGGATCTTTGCTGATCGGCCATCCCTGCCATGGGTCACGTGGTGTTTGGGGCGGGGGTGGGGGGGGGGGGTTGAGATGGTGATTCTCGGTTACTTTATCAACAATCTCACCGTAGTCTATCTCCTATATATTTGGTCTTTCTATCAATAAGTTCGTGCTGGGTCGCTGAGAGCAGACTACTTCAGCAGTGCTCGGAGCTTTCATGATACCAAGAATCCATAGTTCTGTCGATAAGAGACCCTCCAGACCATGGGGCATTACACCATTGCTTTCTGAAGTTGAAATTCTGATTATATTCATGGTATTCTGCTGGTCGGACACCTATCTGATCTCTATCTCAAAAAGGAATCACTGTTCAGGAGCAGTCTCCCTCATTTTCCTGTGTGAGAACCTGGGAGACTTTCGTTATGGCACACATGGGATTACTTTTGATACACATGGCTGCTCCGGGATGATATCACTGGTGAAAGCCCTGTCCTGCCAATGGCCAGGGATACAGACCGAGGGGGAGATGCATCCGATCTGTCTGGACAAGGATGGCCACCAGGTCATGTGTCACGGAGCCTGTCTCCGCTCTCGCTGAATGCTTATTCTCTTCTACTCGACCTTCTGATTTCTTTTTATCTCCTTTCTTCTCTCCCACGTATTTACCTGTTTGCCCCTCTTCAACACTTGTCTTCGTGCACAAGGCCCCTTTAACTGGCCTTCAATCTCTTGGCGCAGCCAGCCTGAAGGCAAGGCTGTGCTATTGCCTGGAGCATCTAGGCCAGAGCACAGCCGTGCAGTTTCAGTCCGACCTTTCTGTTTTGGCTCTGTGTTGCTGTTTGCTGGCGTGTTGAGTGGATTCACTTCCTTTCTGTTGTCCAAGACTCCAACTCAGAAACAATCGTGGTCTGTGGCTTTACAACCGGCAGCAGCCACCAATCAGCAAGATCTCTCTGCTGCCTGCAGCTTCCGACATGAAAGGCAGGAACAAAGAGCCAGTTCAGCTTAAATACAAGAGTTTGTTGTCTTCTCATTCTTCTGAGACTCAAATTCTAACAACCCATCGTCAGCCTCTACGAAATTCCATAATCTCATCATCGATAGCAGTGGACAGGTCGTCAAAATGAGCGACATTCCCTCAATTCCCTCAGGTCAGACCACTAGTTTCATGGAACGTCAAGCGAGCTAACAAATGGCCAGTGGACGAGGTTGGTGAGCAGTACGCCCCGCAGGGAAGCATCTCCCAAGTCCACAACCTTTACCAGACCAAGCCCGACGAAAACGGTTGCACTTCCTGGACTAAAGAGGAGCCCCATGACCTGGTGGAGCCGGCTGAGAACTTGGAGTCTGATCAGTTCGCGCTTCTCGTCCGCAACGTCAAGTGCTATGACGGGCGCAAGAACCTGGAGATCGATTCCATCGTGATTCAGAGTGAGCCGCTCAAGAAACTCCTGGCCGGCGTCATGAAAGGCTATCCCGGTCTCACCATGACTCTTGAGCGTATTGAGTTCAAAAAGCCCTTCAAAGCCTTTGTCCACCGTTGGAGTCAGCTCACCGATGCTCGTGATAAAGAGACCGACCCGACTGCCAAAGCTCACGTTGACTTGCTGTACGGCATCCTGGAAGATGAGTTGCATGATACCGTCTCCCACAAGAACGACCTCCTTCGTAACGGCGTCGTGACTTTTGACTTGCTCTGGACCATCTTCGAGCCGGGTGAGACTGTCTACAGTACTGAGAACGGTCACCAACGCATCTACAAGTTTGAGTTCGGCGATGTCAATGAGTACACCAAAAAGTTCCAGATCACCGGCAGCTATATCGACTTCGACGGTACTGACTTTGGCTATATGAGTACTTCGCTTCTCATCCCTCCCTTTGACGGGACCAAGCCTATCACTTCTTTGCCCGCATTCCCTCTCATCTGCCATGAGGATTTTGCTACCGTCCGAAGCGACATGATTGCTCGTGGAAAGCTGTGGCTGGAACATAACGGCTACCACTACAAGGAATACGAAGGTCGTGGCATGGCGTACTACATGGATCGCAATGTCAGCTACAACGTCAAAAGCCGCATCATCATTGACGCGGAGGCCTACAACACCTTCAGTCCCGGTGACGCCTTTAAGGTTCATTATACCATCTCAGGCAAACTCGCTGATAAACACCTCTTGGTCGCCACCCCCATTCTGCGCGGCTACTCCCTCAAGGACAAGAAGTGGCTGGAGTTTTTCGTTGATGGCTTGAAAGATATTGAATGGAATTCGCGCGCCTTTGACGCACTCGTGCTTCCTGACGAAGACCTTGCTCTGAAGCAGTTGATTTTTGCCTTTGCTCAGGCGCAGTCCCAGAGCGTCGAGGCTTTTGACGATGTCATCCAGGGCAAAGGCCGTGGCGTTGTCATGCTTCTCAGCGGTCCTCCAGGGGTGGGCAAGACTCTTACCGCGGAGAGTGTTGCGGAAATCATGAAGGTGCCTCTCTATGTGCTGAGCGCTGGAGACCTCAGTACCAATGCCGCTCTGCTTGAGGAGAAGATGAAAGATATTCTCCGCATGGTTCCGAAGTGGGGGGGTGTTCTTCTGCTCGACGAGGCCGATGTCTTTATGGAAGCGCGCAACAGCAATGACTTGGACAGAAACGAACTGGTGTGCGTGTTCCTCCGTCTTCTGGAGTACTACGAGGTAAGAGCCGCAGTCCCTTCCAGACTCAATCCCTTTGGAAGAACCAGACTCACACGTCCCCGACAGGGCATCCTGTTCCTGACCAGCAACCGCTCTGACGCCATCGACCCGGCATTTGAGTCCCGCATCCACGTAGCCCTTCGCTACCCCAACCTGAACAAGTCGACCAGACGCCGGATTTGGACCCAGTTGCTTGGACCCGAGGCCAGTAGCGCGATCTCTGATCATGAGCTGAGCGAACTGGCGGATGTGCCCTTGAACGGTCGGCAGATCAAGAATGTGCTCAAGACTGCCAGCCTCTTGGCCAACCACCAGGGAGCCAAGCTGGACTATCCCCACATTCAACTCGTCCTGAACCTGCGACCTCTCTAAGAGCATCCAGTTTGGTTAAAACCGTGTTCAGGAACCGGCTACACAGGAGTTTTCGACACAGGAGCCTTTACACAGGAGATTTTGAAGTAATAATCCGATGAATCGTTCTACCTTGGGGCTTGCTACAGGTACATACGCAGTTTCGATTGCTAGCTTTGCTTCTAGAGATCCTCTATTTATTTTCATTGCGATCTGCGTTTGTCTGTAGGTTGAGATGAGTAATTAGTGTAAAGGAGGGGGCGATCTTCTGTAAACCGTGCTGGTGGGGGAGACGGACACTAGTATATATATCTTCCCTGTCCAGTATTCCGTCCATCTGCTAGTAACCTGGGGGAACATGGCGAGGTATCAACAAATCTGGCCATTCTCCACATACGCAGCTGTCATACAATCCCATTTAAACCTCTACTGCAAGACAAAGCATACACGGTACACTACCCCTGGACCGGACGCCTGTTTCTTGTCCGCGTCGGTCCCTGATGCTCGCGATTGGGGAACTCCGTGGGGCCGCGCGGGTGGGGCCGACTGACTAAGGCAGGCTAGCCGCTCTCGGACGATCGCCTCGACGCGGTAGCAGCAGGGCTGATAGAGTACTGTGGTGTACTCGCCATGAGTCAAGTTAACGAGGTGGATGCCTCTGTTGCTGGGCTGAGATCCTTTAGAAGAATGTGTTTGAACACCTCACATTTCCCTGTTCGCACCCTCAGCCTCCTCGACTGCCCTCCGCCTGACAGATTAGTCATCTGGTCTAGATGGGTCCTGGCAGGTCACCTGATGTGACGGGCGGCAGACCGCCTGGGATTCGCCGCTCGGTATTTATTCTGCAAAAAAACTTTCCTGACCCTCAGGCCGGCCAGGCAAAATCCCCTGCAACTCCAGCTGTCTTCCGTCTTCCGAGCTGAGCAGACAGGACAGGACGACCCTGATTGTATTACCGAAGATGCAGCCCGTTGCTCACCACTCGCATGGCACGGCCACGGATCCGCTCCCGCCGACCCTGCCGACGGACAGATACGAGGACAAGGTCGTCGTGTCGAACGGTCTGGGGTCGTGGTCTCATTTGATCGCCGGCGCGTGAGTAGCCTTTCTGCTTGGATGGATGGATGGATACTGACTTCTTGAATTAGTGCCGGCGGTATGGTCACTGCTGTGCTTACGAGTCCCCTTGACGTTCTCCGCACTCGGTAGGATCGCCCTTACGTTCTAACGTACCTTCTATCTGCACCTCGCATCCTAACAACGCCTGTCTTAGTTTACAAACCGACTACTATCAGACGACACAAGGCACGAAACGGCCGGTCCCCGCACACCACGTTCGCCCATCGTTCGTCCGGTCCTCCATCCTCCACTTCCGCGAGACATTCGGGATCCTTTTCTCCATCCACCAGGTCGAAGGATGGCGCGGGATGTTCAAGGGTCTGGGACCCAGCCTGACGGGCGTGGTGCCCGCCAGTGCGGTGAAATTCTACACATACGGGAACTGCAAGCGGCTGCTGCCGGACATTCTGGGGTGCGACAAGGACACGACGCTTGTGCACGCGATGTCGGCGGCGTGCGCGGGCATCGCCACCGGCTCGGCCACCAACCCCATCTGGGTTGTCAAGACCCGTCTTCAGCTGGATAAGGCCGGCGCGCGCCGATACAAGAGCAGTCTGGACTGCGTCAAGCAGATCCTGCAGCACGAGGGACCCAAGGGTCTGTACCGTGGCCTGACCGCCAGCTACCTGGGCAGTATCGAGACGACGCTGCATCTGGTGATGTACGAGCGTATCAAGGGCATCATCTCCAAGAAGGTCGATCTGGATAACAAGTCCGAGGCCAACCACTTCACCCAGGGTCTGGCCCTGAGCGGTGCCTCGGGTTTGTCGAAATTGTTCGCTTGCCTGATCGCATACCCCCACGAGGTGAGTTTGGTGTCTTGTTCTTGTCTGCATAGTGAAACGGCCGCTAATTTTTCCAGGTGATCCGCACTCGCCTCCGACAGGCGCCCATGGCGGACGGCCGACAGAAGTACACCAGCATCCTGCAGTGCGCGCGGTTGATCCTGAAGGAGGAGGGGGTGATTGCGCTGTACGGCGGGCTGACGGCGCACCTTCTCCGGACGGTGCCGTCGGCGGCGATCACGATCGGGACATACGAGCTGGTTCTCAAGGTCCTGGAGGGCCGTTAGGAGGCAACGGACGGACGAACGACCGAACGACCCCGCGACTTCCCTCCCCTTCCCTTCTCATGTATTATAGACTGTACGATAAAAGTGGCACATAGATACCCTGTAATAATGATGTGAACAGCGCTCGAGGGTTAGATTGGCGCCGTGGAGTTTGCATCTCAACTCGGGACCGTTTGTATATTACTTTACTGCAAGATCTGCTAGCGTCAATTTGATTTATTTTTGTCTCATTTATTTTTATCATCAGCGTGGTTAGTGGTCAGTGGTCGTGGTGTGTAGTGTGTAGTGTGTAATTGTGAAATAGCAGATTAAATCGAACGTCATGGGCTAGTAGTAGTAGTAGTTAGGTCGTGGTTAAATAGGAAGAACTTCGGGGCACTAACTAGTGGTGTGCACTATCTATGTAGAAGCAGCAGTTCAGGGGAACTTCATCAAATACAGTTCGGCGGTGCAGCGGGTGGAGAGATCCAAGCGCAGGAGTTGACTCAACTTTGAGGCAGGACGGGACGGCTGGCAGATATCCAGTACAGTAAGTATCACACGGAATAGAGCAGACAAACGCCATCAACTGCCATAAAACAGACACTATCTATTCATTATAAACTGTAGCTCAAATTGAACAGAAAATTTTATCACGCCAGTAATGAACTAAAACGACCTAAAGTAGACTGACTGATCTAGTGTGCGTCGTGTGCATTAACCCGCAGCACCGATGTATCGGAAGAGTTAACCGGGGGGAGTCTAAAAGGATATGAGTGGGCTATCTAGACAGTAGACAGACTGCTAGTGCTGCAGCGATCCAAGGTCTCGCTTGGCTGTCGCGGTGGGGAGATGCGGGATTTCCTTTGCGAGGGAAGAACACTCCCCCATAGTAGTCTGGTAGTGTTGAATCGATCGGGCACCACCTGCTTGGGTTATTGTGCTTTGATTACACTTCTCCTCTACTCTGTACATGATACTGTACAGTAGATGGAGGATAGTCTCTCTCAGATAGAGTATAGAGTGCTGAGGGTTGTCGTGAGATCATGCAAATCTCCCTGCATCCGGATCCTGTCTGAGTGGGAGGGCGGTGATCCACGGCGCTGGCATCCATTGCATCTCGCCAGGCCACTCACCACCCGGCGATCGGCGACCCACGAGTACCCACGACCTCCCTCTCTCCCCTCCCCCGGGTGGAGACTGGAGAGCCGAAGTGAGGAGACTGAGACTGAGACTGCGAGAACTTAGAAGAGGTCCGTGGAACCCCCTCAGCAGACGCAGCTAGCTCGGGGTGCAATCCCAGGGATGGGTTTTTCTCAGTCCAATCCGCTGCGTCAGATTGTGTGTCCGACCTTGTTCTGGCTGGAGGGGAATTAAAGTCTGGCAGCTGAACTCTGGATCTCGCATCTCGCATCTCGCAGTGAGTTCGCTCCGTTGCTTGGCAAACTCAATCCCATCCCTACTCCCTATAACTGCCCTTCCCCCGACGGCCTCGACCGCAGCTTTTCGCCGGCGACTTCCTCCACGCCTCGAAGTTCCCTCGCTTTTTCCCTCCCCCACGACATCATGGCCGTCAGGGAGTCTCCCCCGGCCACGGCCACGGCTACCTCCACCGCGAAGGACGCGCGACTGGCAGACCCCGAGGATTCGCAATTGCTGGGTGAGTGCGACCGTTCTGCGACGATGGCGAGGCGACAGCAGTGCTGACGAGTGGCAGCCAAAATGGGCTACAAACAGGAGCTTCGGAGACAGTATTCCACCGTGCAGATCTTCGCCGTCGCGTTCAGTATCATGGGCTTGGTGCCGTCCATCGCTTCGACTATCGCTTTCTCCTTGCCGGCTGGTCCTGCGGGCATGGTTTGGGTAATTCTGGCTGGTCTTTTTGGGGTAGACGGTGGCTGACGGCGACAGGGGTGGTTGACTGCGAGTATCTTGATCTTCTTCGTGGGATTGGCTATGGTATTTCAATTCTACCCCGCTGGTTGTGTTGGGACTGCGCTAAGACTGGATTCAGGCTGATATGGCATCCGCTATGCCTACGGCAGGTGGACTCTACTGGTGGACACACTACTTCGCGGGGGAGAGGTACAAGAATGCGCTGAGCTTCCTGGTGGGATACAGCAACACCATGGGGTTGATCGGGGGGATGTGCTCGGTGGATTGTAAGCGCTGGATCAGTACCTATCTATGAAGACTACTAATGGAACGAACAGACACGCTATCGCTGATGATCCTCGCCTGCGTGTCCATCGCGCGTGACGGCGAGTGGTCCGCATCCAACGGCATTATCTACGGCGTCTACGTCGGGCTGATCCTCCTGCATGCCCTCTGCGGTATCTTCACTGGCCATATCATGCCGCGCATCCAGACCTTCTGCATCTTCATCAACATCGCCATCATCGTCGCCACCGTTGTCGCTCTCCCCATTGGCAAAGTCACTAACGGCGGCTCCCTCAACTCAGGGACCTATGTCTTCGGGCACGTCGACAACGCGACCTCGTGGCCCACCGGATGGACCTTCATCCTAGCCTTCCTGGCACCGATCTGGTCGATCGGGTTTTTCGACTCATGCGTGCATATGAGCGAGGAGGCCCTGCACGCCGCCAAGGCTGTCCCGCTGGGCATTATCTGGTCGTCCGGATGTGCCTGTGTGCTGGGGTTCCTGGTGCTGAGCATTCTGGCTGCGGTGATGAACCCAGATGTCAATGCGACGATTAACTCGGTTTTCGGCCAGCCGATGGCGCAGATCTACTACGACGCGCTCGGCAAGAAGGGCGCCCTGGGTTTCATGGCCGTGCTGATCGTGATCCAGTTTCTGATCGGACTGAGCTTGGTACACCCCCCGTCCCCCCTCTCCCACGACCAACTATGAACTACATCAATACTAACGAACCCAGATCGTGGCCGCCTCCCGCCAAGCATGGGCCTTCTCACGCGACGGTGCACTGCCTTTCTCGCGCTACTTCCGCCACGTCAGCCGACGGGTACGGTACCAGCCTGTCCGAGCGATCTGCGGCCTCGTCGTGGTGTGCATCATCTTCGGTCTGCTCTGTTTGATCAACTCCGTCGCCGCGAATGCGCTGTTCTCCCTCTTCGTCGCCAGCAACTACGTGGCGTGGGGCACGCCGATCCTGTGCCGGCTGATCTGGGGCAAAGAGCGGTTCCGGCCGGGCGAGTTCTACACGGGATTCATGAGTCGGCCGATCGCGGTGGTTGCGGTGCTGTGGTTGGCGTTTGGGTTGGTGTTGTCGATGTTTCCGAGTGAGGGGCCGAATCCGAGTCGTAAGATCCCTCTTTTCTCTCTTTTCCTTGCTCTTTTGACAGTAGTATGTTATGCTAATGAACATAGCGTCGGAAATGAACTATACGATCGTAATCAACGGGTTCGTCTGGTTGGCGTGCATGTCGTACTACTTCCTGTTCGCGCGGAAGTGGTATACGGGGCCGAAGATGACGGTCGATGGGGTGGAAGAGGAGGATACGACTCAGAATGGGTCGTTGCATAAGGATCCGTCGACTACTTATAAATGATAATGATAGATGTAAACCATGTACTTTAGTATAGTATAAACAATAGACGGTTTGTTCAATTCAATTCAGTTCAGTTTAGTTCATCAAGTACTCGGTACAGGTATCATCATCATCATACAACTCCTCCATCCATCCGTTCCTTTTCCTTCTCCATGCCATAATTCCCACACCCCCCCCCCCCCCCGCCCGTCGACAGACGAAGGTCGAAGGAGGAAAGACGACTGACCCCCTTACAACGCAACCATAACGCCCAAAACGCCCGCAACACCCACAATCCCATACCCCAACCCAGCAGGGGTCGCCATCGCCCCAGCCCCATCAGAGCTCGAACTCGACGCACTCCCCGTCGCCGTCGCCGTACTCTTACTTCCACTACCAGTACCAGTCGCACTCGCCGTCTTCGCCTCAACCGTCGTCTTCCCACTAACCGTCGACGTAGCCGTCGCCTTCCCATTCGTGCCCGTCAGGGTCGTCTCGCTCTCCCACCGGGAGGTGATCTCGCTGGCGACGTCCGACGCGCGCGACTGCGCATCCGAGCGTATCTCCGACGCGCGCGACTGTGCGTCGGACGCCACGCTCGAACCCCATGATTCGGCGGCGGAGGCGTCCGACCGCGCCGCCGTCGCGACGTCGCTTGCTGCGGACGCGCCGTCCGAGGCGATGGATTCCGCGCCCGATATGGCGGCTGTCGCGATCGTGTTGCCCGCGGAGATGGCCGCCGTGGCGATGGTGCCGGCGTCGGAGAGCGCGGCGGAGATGGCGTCAGGTTCCGGGGCGGGGTTGGAGAGCGCAGGGGAGGCGAGGAGGGCGGTTAGAAGGGGGACGGTGAGTTGAAACTTCATTTTGGTGGTGGTGGTGGTTTTGTTTGGTTTGTGTTGGTTGGTTGGTTGGTTGGGAGGTAGGTTGGTAGATAGTAGAAGAGTTATGTAGAGTAGAGTAGATCTAGTATGTATGTATCACCTCAAATGTCCAGGCGTGTATGTAGTATGCAGAATAGTATGCAAGATAATAGTAGCAGTTAGTTAAAAACCACCCCAGAAGAAAAGAGCAGAGCCGAAAGCAGCAGCAGCACCGCCCTTTATACCTCTCCATCCGCCCATCCGCCCATCACTTCACGGGCCCATTCACCCACCCCAGGCCCAAAAACGAGATTACCCACCGATGATCGATCATCATCAGGACCGGACCACAGTGCCCACCCAGTACTATTACCAAAGTAGTAACCAGTCAGTGAGTGAGTGGTACCAGTCTCATGCTCAACACGCTCAACATGCTACGTACGTACCGTGTATGTAAAAATAGCCCGCCATAGCCATCGCCATCGCCCTCGCCCTCGCCCCGGGAAATGAATGCAATGCCGAGCCCCCGACTCACCGTGGCGATGCGATGCGATGCGACGATCCACGCGGACATCCGACGCCACAGCGAATGATCGTGAGCGGACTCGTGGGTGAAACGGAAGGAAAGTCTGGGCGAGGGGGCGGGATTGCATGGGATTGGTTGGGTCCACATCAATATTACTTTGTAAGATTCAAGTCTCTCTTCGGTTTCTCGACAAGTTAAGTCTAGTCTGCCTTAAAACGTACAGAGGAGTGCGGATTCCGAGGATGTGTATGATACATAGTGCATACGATGGGGTGGGATGGGATGGGTCCACGCGGCGGGCTGGGTTGAGTGAGTTGGGTTTAAGATCTAGCTGGATAGGTACTGAACTGTGGACTGTGACAGGGCAGGGCAGAGCACTTGGTTGGTTGGGTTGGGGACGGATTGCTGGCTGTTTGGCCGGGTTTGAAAGAATGAATGGTGTTGCCTGATGACGTGGTTTGCGTTCCTTGTTGGGGTGGGTGGATGGATGATGATGGATTGTCATTGAGGGTATTCATCTGTAACTGTTTGCTTGGCTTGCGTTTGCTGGCTTGCGTTTGGGTTTAGGTTGGATGGTCATGGTCATTGGTGGGATACTGTGGGAGGGAGGGCGGGAAGCCGTGTGGCGGTGGCGTGGCGGTGGTGTTTATACACAGTATTGGTGGTAGCGTCATCCTATCATTTGTCTATCTAGGTACAGACTATTTGGATGAAGGACTTGGTCTTTGTAGGTATTGTCTATTGTCCGTCAACTATCGTCTGTCATCTGTTCACTGTACTTCCCTCGGTCTGGTTGGTTGTATATCGCTGCCTACAGCGCACACTCAGGCAGCATCAATCCTGCAGCGTGCAGGCATAAGCCAATGCCGGTACAGCCACAGCCGCATAAAAACCCGGATCAGATTCATCCGTCTGCTCGGGACAAGACCCTGATCCTGACCCTGCCCGACCTGCCATTCGTCCAGATGTCTCTTGCCACCGCATGACCCGTGGAAGTTGCTGCTGCTGCCTGCCTGCACTTCTGCGTAAATAAAGTATCTGCAAAGTTTTCGAGCTATTTTTACACAACCACTCATTATACAGAAGTCACCCTCCACTGTACAAAGTATTGCGCTGTCTGTGAGAAATGTAGCTCTGCGTCCATGAGTGCAATTCCGATGATGCCGGTGACGTCGCATCCGATCGGACGGATCGGCCGAAAATGACGAGCGGCAGAGGCAGTCGGATGATCGTCTTAGCCTCGGGAGTTCAGACGGGGCGCGTTTCATGTGCTCTGCACCACACTGCGCTGCACTCTGCCCTGCACAGTGCGGGACGGATCACGGATCATTGACCAGGATCATGGATGAGTGGTTTGCCGGTCGGATCAGGGACTCAGGGTCAGGAACTTGACTGTGGGTTGGTTGGCCGATCGGATGACGTAGTTCTGTATAGTGAGAAATTGGATGTTACATTATTAGGGAGGTTCATGACACGATCGCTCACGATTCAGGTACTGTGCATTATTATTCTGGGGGATAATCCGGATTGCATTTTGGAAAGAATATGGGGTGCATATGTCAGTGTGTCGTAGGATGACTCTCAAGGAAATTGACGCGGAGGAGCAGGTCCTTGTTGAGGGAAATTAAATGCTTCAGGTTTCCCGTCCGCGGGGTCTAGAACGGACGGCGCCCTGGGTCCTTGTGGTAATTGTTATTGATGATTTGCGAACATTCTGGGTGTGGGGTACGGAGTAGCTTGCCCCATACTAGTCCATAGACTACTACGCAAAGGAGTACTTCGTACTCCGTACAGAAGGCTGGGTCGCTCTTGCCTAAAATGCCCGCTGTAGTGTTTTCTGCCTGAGGTGTCGCGTGAAGGGAAAGCGGGTTCTCCAGACTTCAACCTTCTTCATTCCATCGTTCCAAGTAATGATCAACATCCATCGATGTCTTTCCTATCGCTTCTGCATCCCAGGTCAATGAGTCCTATCGCTTGCCAGTAAATTTAGTTGTTTATGGGGCAAAATGCATGAGCTACTCCATGCTGTGTGTCAGAAAATGGAGGACACCTCCTAGACTGAGAATGTCTCGACATCCTTCCACCTAGGGAGGTCCCGTTTCTGTTTGATACTCTGGCACATCTGTGTCAATAATCGGACGGCCCGACTATAAAGGTGCTCGAAAGCCTCCCAGTCAGGTAATTCACTGCTTCTCTTGTGGTTTGATATCCGGTCAGGTTTGGTTCGATGGACCGTGTTAACCGAGGCTGTCAGCTTCCAGGATTGCATGTTACAACTTGGAAATTCGTTCATATTTCCATGCTTATGCGAAAAAAAAGGCCGATCAAAAAGGTGTCCAGACACCCAGACTAGTGTGGGGATGCTCTGAGGGGGTAGGAATACTGCACGGCTTAGGCTTGTTATTATGCTGCGGCACTTCCATGGTCGCCATGACCTTATACAACGCCTACCATGATTCTTCAATTCGAAATACGCGGGTGACTGCAAATATACCTGACTTGAAAAGGCATGGTGAAAACGCCCAGACCTCGAGCTAAAAGGCTTTGCACGCTACGTGCTTCTTCCTGGTTGGTCTCTGCGTTGCGAGGCTGCAGACGCTAATATGTATAGTCTTCCTACTCAACAGTAAGACTTCACCCGTGTCGGCTTAAATCCCTTTTACTACACAGTCCATCTCAGTTTGCTGTCTCTTCAATCAATACCTGATTTAAAAACTCCAACTATGGGCAACCACTGGTCTTCTGTTCGACACAATCGCTTACAACATAATAGAAAGGCTGATCATGCTACTCTTCGGCGCAGCCATGCAAAATCTACTATGCCGGCAAATCATGAAAACAGCGCTATTTGCAATCCCACCCCTTCTTACAGTCCTTTGGATGCAAATTCATGGACCGTTCATGATAACTGCTCGCTCTGTGAATGCCTGGAAGATTTGGAGCTACAAAAAGGAAGGTCAATAAATGAATCAGGCGGACTATATGATCTAACAGAGCTGGAAAGGCGCAGCTACCGATTCCATCTCTTTCACAACCCATGTTCGAACTGCCCAGTCATTCCCGTGAAATCACTTTGCACGATGTGCCAACATCTAAGATTAGAGCACATTGTGCGATGTCTACTTGATTCTACACATGACATTGAAGCACCCACATTCCTCCGGCAAGTCTTGAAGATAGAGGGCTCCATCCGGGTGTTTGATCTTGTACTGGGGGATATACAAGACCTGACACTCCGCTCGGTCTACTGTGAGAGCTGTCGGACATTTAAGGAAATGGCAATTCAGACCGGAGCCTTGGAGGACCCCCAACCTGATACAATTGTGATGCTCTCAGTGGAATCGATTCTGCAATACATGGTCGAAATATCAGGCATAGAGTGCTCCCTGAAGGTTTATTTGAATATTGGGGACAAACGTCAGTTGGAAGTCCACCACTAAACAACTTCTTTCAATGGGCTTTATCTTCCATTCTTATCCAGTACATGTTCCATAGGGAAAACATCTTATGGGACCCTGGATTCACTTTCTGGCAAGCATCTTGTCTCTATACCAAGGCCTCAAGAGCTAGTGAACTGGGAGACAGTTTCCGCTTGGCTGAAGAATTGCGACACCAACACAGACCATACAACAAGTGGTCACAATCCGAATCAGCTGAAATTGAATGGATTCAGGGTCGACACCGAGCGGAGATGTGTGGTGCTTGCGCCTCCAGATTGCAGATATGCCGCTCTGAGTTATGTATGAGGACAGTCGGATTCTTCCTTCAAAGCAACATTGGGAAACATCCGTGCACTAGGTATGGAAGGCTTTCTGGACGGCGACACTCGCTTACCACCCACCATCAAAGACGCAATGTCTGTGTGCCGAAACTTGCGGATACGCTATCTCTGGGACGACCGGCTCTGTACATTGCAGGATGAGGATCAAAGCAAGAAGAACTTCATCTCAACACAATGGGAGACATACGAGCATTCATACGTAACATTGGTTGCACTTGCTGGCAGCGACGCTGAGTATGGCCTTCCTGGAACAGACGAGCGAAAGCGAACTGGGCAGGTAAAATGCATCAAGCATACTTGATTGGTGAACGTGAGTCATACCGTGAAGCCGTTTTTGAGTCAAAATGCTCTACTCGAGCCTGGACATTTCAGGAGGCAATGCTTTCGCCCAGGCTCCTGGGATTCTTGGATGCGGGCGCTTTTTATGAATGCCATGGAACATCAAAGGTCAGCAACGAGGTATCAATAAGATACAAGAATCGGGAAAAATCTGGAATCAACCCACTAAGCGACGAGAAGGCCCAGTTATCTCTATCCTACTACCCGGAGCTGGTAGAGGAGGTTACCGGAAGAGACCTATCCTGCGAATGTGACATATTGCGTGCGTTTACAGGAACTCTCCACTCTGTATACGGCTCAAAGCACTATTACGGGCTCCCATTGAGAGTATTCCATCCCGCACTTATGTGGCGAGCACGGAGATTGCAGACTCCAGAGAGCACGTGGGATGAGGACTTTGAGGCTCGAAGTCCAGGTCCAGAGGATGTGTTCCCGTCTTGGTCGTGGATATCCAGAAAAGCTCCGATCTTCGTTCCTGACGAAGGTGATATCGGTGCAATTGCGCTGTTGGCAATTGTTGCAGCTCCACCTACCGATGGTGGACCGAAAGCGTTGACGTTTATTAATCCCTCGCGTGAACGATCCGAGGTGGATGAATATATAGGCAGACTGCTTATTCATTAAAATTTGCTTCGACTGCGTGTGGTACTAGCCTGGAAAGAAGGACGTTTCTCAAAGAAGCTCCCGGGGGCATTGGAAGCCAAAGTCACTTGGAAGCTGCATGACACCATCATATACAAGAGATGGCCCTTGCTGAGAGATATCCTCAATGAAGCACAAGGTACACCACATGGAATCATGATGGCGGAAGATGAACAGGCAAGGTTCCCCGCCGATCTTCAATTGTCTGCTCCAGTCGGTTCCATCTTTGTGTATACCCAATCGCTCCAACTCCGAGCGACAATGGGACGCCCTGGTTCCGAATATTCCGAATACATTGAGCTTCTGAACCAAGCAGGTGACACAATCGCGATATGTTTGACCAGTCAGCCAAGGAATGATTTTGATCAGACCACAGGTGCTATGCTATGTTCGACGTGCTTGCCTGGTCCATCTCGGACGCTGATCCATACATCCGTGGACTGGAAATATTAGGGTCATATGATGTGGGACCCGCTACTGATCGTAGGCCTGCTTCTTTGCAGGTGAATATGAATTTCATTGTGTGTAAGACGGAAAAGTGCATCAGCAGGCGCGTTTGGCTTGTATTTAGTCTTTGAAGAAGTGGGCAGCGGAGAAACCTCAGTTTCCCACTTTCATCCTGGCTTGAGAGGGTTTGTCCTCCGAATGAGCTTTTGTGAGTTTGGGGTCAACCAACTTGCCAACACATTGAATACTTGCCAGGGAGAGGAAACTAAATATGCCATCATCAGGACCTCTGATACGCGATCTATTCAGGTGTTATATATCCACAACCGAGACCAGAACCAGACCGTCAAGCAGATAGTACCATCAGCCTACATCACACTCCCTTCAGAGGATCCATCACCAAATTACAAAATACCCAAAACCAGGCAAAATGAGCGTAGTATTAAGTTCTAATTACAATTCACCTCTCCAACCAACTAAAGCCTGACCCCGTCTTCAACCTCCACGAGTCCAACGCTATCAGCCCAACAATCCACCAAACCAATCTACTGAGTGTAAACACAGCCGTTGGGGTTGCTAGTCTTCTCCACCCGGGCCGCAATACCCACACAGTCAGAGTTGTAGCCGGGGTTGGCGTAGCCGGCATCGGCCCAGATGCTCCAGGCACCGTCGATGCTGTTAGGGCAGGCAATCAGATCCTTGCCGCCGAACTGCAGGTGGTCGTTGGCGTCGATGGCCCAGCCCTTGCGCTCGCCGGGAGCGGACTGCGCGCCGGTGGTGTAGCCGATCACGCCCTGGCCTGGATTACAATGATGGTTAGCTTTCGTGTTCGGGGGTGTGAATGAAGCGAGAGGGTGATCGAGGAAAGCTTCGGGAAGGTTGGGGAAAAGGAGGAAGGCGTACCCATGCCGGAAGCGTCAACGAAGATCTCCTGGGGAGTAGCGGACTCGTCGTAGAGGAAGAGAGCGCCATCGTTGATGTAGAAGGTGGCGGACTGCTCGGCGGGACGGGCGCAGGTGGCGTTGGGGTGCGCCAGACCGGCGAAGAGGCTGCTCTTGGCGGCGGCGAAGGCGGCGTACTGCACGGCGCTGGTCGAGTGGATGGCAATCACCCCGAAGGTGGACTCGCCGGTGGTGCTGGTGGTGTTGGCGGCCGGGAGGGCGCTGGCGGTGACGGCGGCCGAGGCGGCGAGGATGAGGTTCTTGAACTGCATTTTGAAAGAGGGTGTGTGGTTTTGTTTTTCGATTGAACGAGTGGTTGTGGTAGAGATTAGATAGGAGAGGATTGTAGTAAGTGAATGAGATGTTTGTTGATGAGGAGGAGGGTATTGCAGTGGTGACCGGCGGCCTTTTATATCTTTTCTCGGGGTGGGAATTGGGATGATCGCTGTCACTAGGCGGGTGGGATTAGCCACCGGATCGATGGTCTATCCCATGTCCCATGCCCCATGTCCGTTGTCCATGTCCATGTCCATGTCTCAAACCTGAAGGCCAAGGATTGTTCGAATAGAATGCTGTCATCGCGTGAGGGGAAGGGCAGGGGCTAAGATTAGACTCAAAATCAGGGTCCGCTGCAAGGCTAAATTTAACCCGGCGGGGCGGGCCAACCGCCGCCCTGATTGGCAGCGCGTCCCCGCATGTGGGCGCCCCTGGCAAGACACGGAGAATTGGCGATGCGAAATCCGGTAATTTGCGGGTTCCTTCCAGAGTGCTGCCTGGATCAGGATGGGAATCGAACGGCTGAAGGCGCCCCACACTACAGACATTGTCTCATTCGGCCGGCGCGCGGTGATAGTGGTTGGGCTCCGATCTCTAGGCTAACGGGCCGCGGGTGACACTGCCCATTTAACCAGGATGGGAAAGTTTCACGGCTTTTGCGCCGGAAGGACGCTGCTAGTGGTCGACTAGCTGGTCGTGAAACCGTCTTTATTGCCGTTTAACTAGCTAGATGGCGATCTTACGGGGAGCGGCGGAACGGGATGCATGGGAGGGCCGAAGGATGCCGCCTCGTCTGCAAATTCTGCTGAGGGATCCAGGAGTTAATTGCTGGGTGATCCTGGTTCAGGGTTGACTGCGCCTCCCCCCCCCCGATTGATTGTGCGAGGAACATGGTGGCTAGGGAGGGTGAGGCGATCATCGTGGCTTGGACATTGCCCCGTTGGGTAGTTGTTGTTCCGGTGCATTCCCGGGGAATCTCCTGTTGAAGAAACCGCGGGACGTTCCCCACCGATACCCCATTGTATGATGAAATGGGCATAGCATGGTTCCATTCTTCCTTGTCTCTTCGTTGGTGTCTTGGCAGTTGAAGGCCGTTCAAGATTCAAGGCATCGATTATATTGCTCTGTTCTATTCTTATTCCTCCATTGACCGTGTGCGTCAAATAATCTAAATTGGCCTGGGCAGGAAGATTCAGCTGGGAGGGAACATTGTTCGAGGACAAGCAGAACTCTGCATTCTTCGGGTATGCTTTGTAGATTCCACTTGCCGTATAACTCTGACTGCTAACCAGCCTGGGACGGGTAAACAAGTCAAGAGACACTTCCGGTGGTGATGAACTGAGACATTATGCTATGAGATCATATATATCTCAGTATTTTAGACACCATCAGAACAGATCCAAAAATGGGTTTCAAAAGGACTCCTGATCGACGGAATTCGGAAGGATTTAGTGTAGCCTAGTGTTTCCAGGCCCACTGGACCTGGAGCCGGTCACTTAACACACTATTCCATTTGCTCATGCCTCCGCCGCCTACTGCGAGCTTTCGCTGGTCAAACATAGCCCTAAGGCCGGTCGGGACGGGGCTCTGGCTTCCGAGTAGAATCTGTATAAGACATCACCGTCAATGTCTCATGTCGTGGCATCGTGCGCATGAGTATGTGTGGGGACGAAGGCAACAGGCACGGGGATGCGTAGCCAGATAGTAACCTGGCCATCCCCCTGATTGTGAAATCTTCGAGGATATCTAAATATTAGTCGCAACTTTTGGGTCCCGTATCATGATCACACGAGGCTCGCATGTCCTTAAGCCATAACTTCAGACTGATGATGGTTGAATTATCCCGGCTGGATAATGGAGCGGAGTGAAAGGTCACAGCGTAGTGTCAGTTTTATCCGACCACAATGTCGGTGAAGCCTTGGAGTATGCCCGGATAAAGAATCAGTCCTTGTCGCATGGTCTCGTGTTTAAGTGCCACGTACTTCAGTGACCATAAGGGTTCATCAGTTTGACCATTTTTTATATGACGCTCGTATAATGTTGATGAGTGTGGCATATATACTGCCTCTATCTATCGGTTTGAATCATATGGACTTGGACTGACCAGGTCGAGACACAAGTAGACTGAAGAGAATCTAACCCGCAACCAGTTGTCAGCGTAGAGCATGCATACTTTTGACGAAGAAATCGTTTTTGAAGTTTCTCGCAAGGAATGCCGGCTTACTACCAGTGTAATCTACATCCTTTTATCATCATGGGGCGAGATGCAGGACGTTTTCACGTCGGAGGCTTTTGGCATCCACTGTAGACAGCGTTGAGCGGGCAACTGACCAATATTGCATTCCATGCCTCAAATCGTTGCTTCCCGAGTGGATTAGTTGTAAGGTTTGCTGAATCCCAAATTATGAGATGTCATATAATTCAAAAAACACCTGAGAAACCCGAAGTGCTGTAATTATATGTTCCAATAGATGCATATCACTTCTTGCCAAGTCAGACCCGTGTAGGTAGTTGATATATATATATCCGAAGCTTCACGCACCTACATATCTTCCAGTTGCATGCCGTAGTTTCTTCGATTTTCAGTGCGTTTCAGACAGCGAAACCCATTCGACTACTACACAGTTATTATTTCCGCAATTTTCAGGCTCAGAAGACTGAATAGCCTGGTTATAAAACCACCTGCCATTATATTCCTTGCCGTTGGTCTTCGGAAGCTCGCATTGAATCCACTGCCGATGAATCCGCATTACATAACAGCTCCACTGTAGCGATGGCGGCCTGGACAGCTCTCCAGCTGGGCGCTCCATGCGATCTGTCTGTATAGGAATGCCGTCATTGTGTCTTCTTTTTATCCGAATGTGGCATACTGCTTTCCGCCCTCTGTGCTTTCGAGCGAGAATATGCCGAGTTTGTTGTACCTGTGTGGTTTGCTACTCGGGGGTACCCGAAGTGAGAATGGAAGGATTTGATCGTGTGGAATCTCGAGGCTCAAGTGGCTCGTTGGATGGTCGCGTACTCTCTACTCACAAAGAGTCAGTCAGTCAATGTCAGCTTGAGTCATCGTCGCTTGAATCACATCAGATGGTGGATAGCAGGTTCTTTCTACTGTCTTGCCTTCAAATCGTGAAGAATGCACTCGCCTTGGCCAATTAATAAAAAAGCGCTGACGAAAAATGTCTCCTCCAGAACTGCTGAATCTGACATGAAGAATCTTCTCATTTGAGCTGGAATAAGTCCGCAACACGTGGATAGAATTGATGAAGAAACATTTGTCAACGTGGGTTAAATGGGGAGTGGGAGGAAGAAAGAGACAAGAAGCCGGGGGGTTCGCCTTCACAACCTACACCTCTCAAGCCTCAACCCAATACCTCAAACTTCTAGTTAGGTCCACAAAACAAGTGCCTTTGAAATCCCCAGAGAAATGAAGACTTGTCAAATAGTGTTACAACGATAACGCTAATCACTGGAATCATCTAGATCTATACGACGCGAACCTCCTATCCTTGATTTCGCGCAGACACCCCGCTCCTTCTCCTCTTCAATGCACTCTGCAGCATCCCCCCAATAAGCTCGTCGAATGACACGTTGTTATGCTCCGCTATCATGGGCAACTGCGACCAGTGGGGAAGAAGTCCAGCAAGGGGGTTTATCTGCTATTGGTGAGCTACAGTCTGGAGACATGGTACGCAATTCACATACCTCCATGACATTAGCGACGAAGGATCCAGACGAGCCATCCATTCGGATATCGACGCGCCCTCCATCGCGACAGCGCAAGGCAGTCCATGCTTGAAGCGCTGTCTGACACGCAAGCTCAGCTTCCGGGTCCTCTCGACTGACCATCACTTCATCAGCCTCGCCATTCCAGTCGTCGGAAGACTTTGATTTCTCGGTCGTGAATTCAACCAGCTCGCATTTCCCGTTCGAAACAGATTCCTTCCTTTGCCAGACGATCTCGTCAACACCAACCACCCAAGCATCCTTTCCGGTGCCTAGAATACCAACCGTGAATTCTCTCCCAGGAAGATAGGTCTCAATAAGAACTCCAAGGGATGAGGGGCTGGAGGCGCGGAGGGAATTGATTACGCGACAGAGGTCTTCCGGACCTTTGATCTTGTTGGTAGCCACAATCCCTTTGGAGGAGCCCTCGGCGAGAGGCTTTGCAAACAAGGGGTATTGATTTAGGATTGTTTCAGAGTGTTGGGATTTGCTAATCATGGAATGAATCTCTTCGAGCGACAGCTCAAGCTGGCCGCTTGATTCGTCGAAATGAATCACAACGAACGGAGCAGTTGGGACGTTGAAATGCTCGAGCACCATCTGAACGTGTCAGTATGATCGCTACTTTGACAATAGTGGCGCACGGAGTTGACACCAAATGCTCTGCCGGAAAATAAACTCACCTTCGTCCTGCCTTTATCCAAACACAACGCCATCGTGGCTGCGTCGGAAAACGTGAATGGAATCCGGTACGCTTCCAGCAATGCCGGGACCTGGCCTTCTCTCGCTGATCCATGGAGACCCTCGGTGGTATTAAAAGCTAGGTCCCACGTATCTCCCTCACCAGATGCAAGTCTCTTAACAAGAGAGTGAATATCCGGGATGCGCACAACTTCATGACCCAGGTTTTCCAGAACTGCAGTAATGTCATCGGCTGCTTCTCCGACCTCAAGCCTGGAACAGTCGGCATCGCTGTATCCAAGCGCTTTATAGGCCGAGCGAAGCTCGTAGATCAGAGCGATTTTGAGGCGCTGTCCGGTCATGATTTCTGATGCCTGCGAAAGCCAAAAACCTGGGGCGTGTCCGCATTCTTAACAGCGACTTTGCGGCATTTGCTTGCATATTGACTGGCGTCATCACTTCCTATCTGGGTATTGTGTGCGGGGCTTTTGGAGAAGCAATTACGCGGAGATGGAGCGGAGTTACTGGGAGAGGTCATAACATTTCACCCCTTTCTTACTAGCAAGTCAATGTCCAGATGGCAGTCGATTTGGTGTTTCTCGGGAGCTCATATGAGCTGAAGTTTTCATCCATAACATTGGGCATTCCACTGATCTACCCTGCAGGTGATACGTAGGCAACAGGATAGCTGAGCGGACTATTTGCGTCTATTGATATAGTTCAAGTCCGCATTTTTTAGGAGTGGCGAGATCAGCAAATTGCTTTTTCGACAAATAGAAGGCACATTGGTACCATCGGCAAATCATTCATAATGAGCTCAGCGCTGCGTCGTTGCATCATGAATATGGATATAAAAAAGGGGAGGCGTTGCTTGCGATACATGCTGTGATACAAATTTAATCCGGAATAAGGACATATTGACCACAACATCACGAAACCAATTTTTGATACTATTTCTAACGCACAGGTCATTGCATCAGGATTCTGGTAAGGCTCCACGATCCCTTGTTTGTAAGGTCAGAGTTGACCTAGTACTGGGCTCCCCAGAGTGCCTAGCACTTTGCTGGCTCAAGTCACCTACTGCGTGCGGGCTGGAAAGGCTTGAGAATTGGCCTGTATCTGATTCCGGGGCGGGATTTCGATTGACGAGGGGGCATCCCAAAAGCTTTCACATCAAGAAATAAATGTGGTGCCATGCTCCGGTTAAATAGGATGGCTCTGGGTATGTCAACACCTTTCGACCAAGGACGTCGGTTCAATGGAGCAATATAAGTCTACAGACGCACCCCGCACTTGGAAAAAGCTCAATTGCCGACGATTCTGCAGAGTCAACCGAGGCAAGGCTTTCTCAAGCAAGTCTTTTTGCCATGCTGGGCAGTGTGGCTGCCAGTGCCTTTATCCATCCACCGTTGCAGAATGATGCGGCTTCGACACCACAGATGGGGTAAGCGGCAAGCATCTTGTTGATATAGGTGACTAATGCGACTTTCCAGGTGGAATACATATAACCACTACTCATGTTCTCCAAATGAAAGCATTGTCTACTCAAACGCCAAAGCCTTGGTTGATCTAGGTCTATCCCCACTATGATATCGATACGCGGTTTGTGTATGACTTCTTCATAGTCAACTCAAGCCCGAATGCTAACGAGACATCAGACCACGAAGCACAGGATGCACAAACATTTGCATCATGGAATATCGACTCTCTGAAATGTATGGCTCCGCTCACTCACAGCCCCATGAATGCGTCAATTAGTATATGTAGATGATAACTGCTACTCCGACGCCGCCAGTAATTATCCCGACGTCAACTACGCACCCAGTACCTCTCCGGAGCCCCGGTACGCAAACATGTCAGATGCCCTGCTTCAACAGAACCGGACCATCCTTTTCCAGATCTGCGAATGGGGAATCAGCTTCCCCGCGCAGTGGGCTCCGTCCATTGGTAACTCCCGGCGCATCGGCAACGACATCATCCTCGACTGGCGGACTATCTTCCGAATTATAGATCAGGCTGCTCCACAGGCAGACTTCGCAGGGCAGGGTCAATGGCCCGATCCTGACATGCTGGAAGTTGGGAATGGGATCTTCAACCTGCCCGAAGAGGAACACACTTCTCGCTCTGGGCAATTCTCAAAAGCCCGCTCATCATCGGTGCGGCCCTGAAGGACGAACTGACCTCGATCAACGACGCATCCCTGGATATTCCCAAGCAGACAGATGTCATTTCATTCAACCAGGATTCTCTGGGCGAAAGCGCGAGCCTCCGCAAACGCTGGACTGAAGAAGCATACGAAGTGTGGAGTGGGCCGCTATCAGACGGTCGGACAGTGGCAGCACTGATCAACTAGCAGAACAAGAGTAGAGAGCTTACCTTGGATCTACCGGACATCGGACTCCAGTGTGCGAGTAGCCTCAACAACATCTGGGACGACAGTACGGGGCAAGACGTGCGCACCTCATACACAGCCACCGTAGCCGGCCACGGCACAGGGATTCTTGAGTTGCAGAACACCACTGCGTCTGGAATATACTCGACTGCCATCTTTGGATCCCCATCTGGGTAAGTGCATCACTCGTGACCAGACCAACCATTGACAGAGCCAGGACAACCACAACCTTCGAACCGATCTACGCCATCACTACGAGTGACAAATACGCTCTCACCGTCTACTTCGCAGAGTCCGTATCCTCCACAACGATAATCACGGTCGAATCCAGCGCCAGCAACACTACGACATCCCCAAAAGTCCCCTTCTCTGCGACCCAGGCCTCAACGACCACCCCCCTCACCGCCGGCTCCAACACCATCACCATCGACTCCTCCCTATCAATCAGCAGTATCCAAGTGACAGCCCCAAATGGAACATACTACCCCAGCACGGTTTTCACCCTGCAAGGCTCTTCCACCCGAGAGACATGCGGAACGGGATACTGCCAACCGGTCGGACGAAGATCGGGCACATCAGTCCCAGCGGCTCCGCCAAAGCGACCATCTCCGCCACCTCCAGCGGAAGCAAATATCTCGCCATCGACTACATCAAAAACGACGTCGCGTTTGAGTCCTCCTGGGGCTGGGGCTCAAACTCCCGGAATCTAACGGTCACGGTGAATAGCGAGGATCCGGTGAGACTCGAGGTCCCGTTGAGCGGAAGGCATATGTAGTTGTTCGGACCGGGGCTGGGGTGGTGGGATACGGCGACCTTGGGACTGCTGACGGATGTTTGGAAGGAGGGGTCGAACGAGGTGGTGATTGGGAACGTGGGAGGAGAGGGCGGGCTCCAGTCTTATGGGCAGGATTTTGTGGGACTGAGAGTCTTGGATTAGCGTGGGGATACTTGGGTATGGATGTAGGACCGTGCATGCGCATGTGTATGTATGCATGTGTATGTATGCATGTGCATGTATGAATGGCTCAAGCCCTGGATGGCAGTCAGCTCCCGGCTTTCTGGTGCACAAGCCTCTTGTAGAGCAGTAGTTTGTCGCAAGAACAACTCGGGTTTCGAACCGCTTGTTTTCCCGCTCTGTGGGCTCAGCTGAGTCAACAGTGCGGGGCCCCGCCTTCGACCCGCGGCTGAATCTCCCTCTTCGTCCCCGTCATCACACAACACTCTGGTCTTGACGGACCAGACGCTCTCTTCCAGCTGTCTCTGCTTCTCCATTCTGATTCCTTTCTGTTGCATCCCTTGCTTTCAGCAATGCGAAGAACGAAAATCAGGCACAAATGATGACGCCTGTTGCCGACTACAAGATGGTCTGGTCTAAGAGTCCAAGAGGACCAAGTTGACCACCACCACCAAGACCAAGACCAATTCTATTGGTTGCTAAGCGACTCAAGGTTCACACCGTCCTGCCATGCCGGGTATTCCTGCCCCATCTCCACCGGCAGTTCCGAATCTGAACCGCTCTGTCTCTGCAGAATGCGGAGACATCCGACGCGGGGGAGACCGATTCAACGTGGGTCCCAAGCCTTCGGAGGGTCAAGGCCACGATTAATTCCAACCATGATCTCATAGGCCACCGTTTACCCCTCGGATATCCCGTGTCACCCTTCCGAAGCCCTGAGAGGGCCGCTATTCTTACCTCGTGATGCCCGGCCTACCTACCTGTCTACCAAATAATCGCGTGGGGGATTCCCAAGGGAGGATGAACAGACCGCCACCACTTGACCTGAAGAGGATTCCACCCACCAGTCTTCACATATCGGCTTCCTGAGCCTTCGGGACTAAAATGTGGGGAAGCTGGGAAATTGTTCGTCGTCAGCTGCACGGGACCGATGCCCTGGATTCGCTGGTCTTCCCCATGGCATGTTCCTCTCCCCACAAGGGTTCGTATTCCCCGGAAAATGACATCCTCGGAGATATAGCAGGGTGCCTGAACCCCACGCGTGATTTAAACCGTGGCTTCGACCACCATTAGCTTCTTTTACCAACCCTCGCGTGTCAGGATGGCCTGGGTATCTGCCGAAAAATTGCCGACGCGTGGACCTGGGGTGCTTGCTGCTCGTCATTATAGCCCTTCTTAGGGGGTAAAACGTGATCTTCCTGGTCAATAATGTGGAGTCCCCGCAAAATATCACTCTGTCGCGTGGTCGGTCGACGTGGAGCCGATCGGGTTCCGCTGCCGGGTTTGTCAACAATGCGTGTTGTTGGGGAGCTATAGTCATGAGAGAACATGATGGAAATCCGAAGTTTTGCCGGGAATATGGGTTGCTCCTACATTCACATCATGCTTAGCGTGGCCAATATGGCTCTTTTTGCCGAGGGCTTTGAGAATTGGGAAGATTCGCAGTATGGGGGTGAGTTCATAGCGCGGCATCTGTGACGAGGATGGGCCTTTGGCCTTTCAACCTGCGAGTATGTAAAGCCCTCAGACCCTTACTTCATCGTTCATTAAACCATCCACTGAGTCTGTTTATCCGGCACAAGAAGATGAAGTTGTCTTTAATATTTACTACAGCTGCCCTGCAGCTCGCAGACGCTGCTGCGGTGCAAAAGCGAACGTCCAATGCTACTGAGTTGGAATACTACTGGTCCTATGGACGTTCGGAACCTGTTTACCCAACCCGTATGTTCCGTTCCCTTGTGGTGGAGATACAAGCTAATCAGTTACCAGCTGAAACAGCGGGCTTGGGTGATTGGGCGGATGCCTATGCTAAGGGAAAGTCCCTTGTAGCTCAAATGACAGATGAGGAGAAGGATAACATTACCTACGGCTACTCATCCACAACAAACGGGTGCTCTGGAAATTCTGGGAGTGTTCCTCGACTAGGATTCCCTGGACTTTGTCTACAGGATGCAGCCAGTGGCGTGCGAGGGACCGACATGGTCAACGCTTACGCGTCGGGTCTGCATATAGGAGCTTCGTGGAACCGTGACCTCGCCTACGAGCGCGCTCACTACATGGGAGCAGAGTTCAAGCGCAAGGGAGTTAATGTTGCACTAGGGCCAGTCGTGGGGCCACTAGGTCGCATGGCTCGGGGTGGTCGCAACTGGGAGGGCTTCAGCAACGACCCGTATCTTGCCGGTGCGCTTGCGAAAACCTCTATCACTGGCCTGCAGGAGTCTGTTGTTGCCTGTCTCAAGCATTGGATAGGATATGAACAGGAGACAAGCCGCAACCCAACATCTTTGTACAACCAGTCCGTATCCTCGAACATTGACGATAAAACTATGCATGAGCTCTACATGTGGCCCTTCCAGGATGCGGTCAAGGCGGGGGCAGGGTCCGTCATGTGCAGTTACAATCGAGTTAACAACAGCTATAGCTGTCAAAACAGCAGGACCATGAACGGACTTCTGAAAGGCGAACTAGGCTTTCAGGGATTTGTTGTCTCTGACTGGTATGCCCAGCATACTGGGATTGCCGGTGCAGAAGCCGGTCTTGATATGGTGATGCCTGACTCAACTTACTGGGACAATGGCACTCTGTCTTTGGCCGTCCAAAATGGATCATTGTCCTCCACGCGTCTGGATGACATGGCTACTCGCATTGTCACAGCCTGGTACAAGTACGCAGAGCTGGAGAACCCTGGTTTCGGAATGCCCGTCAGCCTCCTAGCCCCGCACGAACTGGTTGATGCCCGTGATCCCGATTCCAAGCCTGCCATCCTCCAAGAGGCAGTTGAAGGTCATGTCCTGGTCAAGAACACCAACAACGCTCTGCCTTTGCAGGGCCCAAAGCTTCTCTCTCTATTCGGCTATGATGCGATTGCTGCAGCCCGTAACACCATGGACGATCTTTCGTTTAGCCTATGGTCAATGGCACTCGACAACACCCTGTCATACCCCAACGGCACGGCCGTCGTGCCATCAGAGCTCGACGAAATCTTCCTCTCCAGCAGTAGCCCCTACAACAGCGGCCCTGGCGTGGCCCTGAACGGTACCATGATCTCCGGGGGCGGCTCCGGCTCCAGCACCCCATCCTACATCGACGCACCCTTCGACGCCTTTCAACGTCAAGCGTACGAAGACAACACCTTCCTCGCATGGGACTTCGCCTCCCAAGACCCCCTCGTGAACCAAGGCAGCGAAGCCTGCATCGTTTTCATCAACGAAGCGGCTGCAGAGGGATGGGATCGCCCCTACCTGGCAGACTCCTACTCCGACACACTCGTCGAGAACGTAGCCGGACAGTGCAACAACACCATGGTGGTGATCCACAACGCCGGCATCCGTCTCGTCGACCGCTGGATCGACCACCCCAACATCACCGCCGTCATCTACGCCCATCTCCCGGGCCAAGACAGCGGCCGCGCTCTCGTGGAAGTCATGTACGGCAAGCAATCCCCCTCCGGCCGTCTCCCCTACACCGTCGCCAAGAACGAATCCGACTACGGCGCGCTCCTCAACCCGACCATCTCCGCCGGCACCCAGGACCTCTACTACCCGCAATCGAACTTCTCGGAGGGCGTCTACATCGACTACAAAGCCTTCGAGGCCAAGAACATCACCCCCCGCTATGAGTTCGGCTACGGAATAACCTACACCACGTTCTCCTACTCTGATCTCACCATCTCGCTCAATCACACCGCGAACACCAGCTATATCCCCCCAGGCACCACCATCGCCGAGGGCGGCCTTCCCTCCCTATGGGACATCATCGCCACCGTTACCTGCACGATCTCTAACACCGGCTCCGTCGCCGCCGCAGAGGTCGCGCAGCTGTACCTCGGCATCCCCGGTGGCCCCGCGAAGGTCCTCCGCGGATTCGAGAAACAGCTCATCCACCCTGGAAACAACACCCATGTTTCATTCGACCTGACGCGTCGCGACCTCAGTACCTGGGACGTGGAGAAGCAGAGCTGGGGGCTCCAGGCGGGCTCGTACGCGGTCTACGTGGGGAAAAGCGTGCTCGATATCCAGTTAACGGGGACTTTAACGATATGATCAGCAGACTTTTCCTAGTTAGATAGATTTGGAATGTATGTTTTTTTTTGCAATTGCACTTCTACTCCAGCGTAGTTATGGCACTTCCGTCTGATCATGACTGTTATATTTGTCTTGTTGTAATCCCACTTTTTTGAAATTTGCAGCATCGAGCAACGATCCTGAATTCTGGATCCTGGAACCCTGGAGCGCTACGGAAGGGGTCTGTGTCTGTGTCTGTCTGTTTGTTAAGTACGTCACGACTGGGTATGATATGAAAAGACACTGTTTTTTATTGTATTGCCTCTAATCTAGACCTAGGTAGGGAGATAGGTAAATCCCAATACCCATTTGCTATGGGAACTGAATCGTGCTGATGATGTCTGGCAGTCTGTTGCTCTGGTACCATCGGCCCCGTCCATGATAACTAGCGTATATACATCGTCATTCACGTCTGCAAGCAGACGACAGGGTATCAGGGATGGTGATCATCTCAAATACCTTACCATGAATGCTGCTCTGGGGCGGTACCCCTGACATGTAGGTCAGGGTGGGACCTGGCGCACTTTGGACTCGGTCGGGCGGGTGCCCGGTAGCTGATTGGTTGGGTAGTGATGAGTTCGATCATGGGATCGGGAGTCCTGGATGTTGTTCTGTTGGGTAGATCGCGGGGCTCTGGCCGTAGTGTTTGCTGTTATGGCGGAGTCGATCGGGAGCTAGATGATGCCTCTCTATGAGCCTTATGCAGGTTGCAGTCGGCGGGCTTTTCCAGCACATCAAGCTGCGGGTCCGTAAATCTTGATATCCGACCCACCAACGCACTCTATAGATCAAGCGCATCCGAAGCGTCGATTATGAAATGTACGAATGATCATTTGATCCAAACCCAGCCCAATCAAGCCGGCGCCGGAGCGGATTGATACGGCTGATACCCGACCAAGTCTTCATAATAGCTGCGATCCAGGCCGGCCTGCAGCCTCGCCTCCTCATTAAAGGGCTCCCTCAGCGGGCCACGATAATACTTCTGCACATTGCCGCGGAACACCTGCACCGGATCGGTGTCCTCCTGGCCACAAATCCAAGTCAACCAGCGATGTCCCGTGGTGACATGCGTGATCTCATCATTATGGATAATCTCGAGCGTATCCACGCTCTCCCCATCCCCGGCCTTGCGGAACTTATCAATCGTCACCGGATTGACATCCAGCCCGCGCGCCTCATGCACCAACGCAATGATACTAATCCTCGCGCGGAGATCATGCGCCGTCGAGGTCGCGGCCTCCCACAGTCCGTGGTGAACGGGGAGAGCGCCGAAATACGAGCCCAGCTCCTCGAGCCGCGTGCGCAGGAGCGAGAAGTGCTTCGCTTCGTCGTTGGCGACTTTCAGCCAGTCGTGGAAAAACGCCCGCGGTAGGCCCTGGGGCTGTGTCTCGGTTGTCTGGAACTGCGCGAACCGCACGCAGATATCCACCGCGAGGTCGATGGCCCATTGCTCGATGTTCGCTAGCGCATGCAGCATGTTGATCCGGCTCTTCTGCGTGCCTCCACGGCCCGGCTTCGGGACCGCCCCGCGCGTCACGTCCTTGACGCCATCCCGCGGCGGAAGGTCCGGCAGCGTCACGCTGCTCCGATCCCCAATCACCATCGCCGATGTCGTCCCCTCCCGCTCCGTAAATATCTTGAACAGATGCGCCGTCAACTCGATCTTGTGTTCCGGGTGAGACGTGTTCAGGATATGCGCGCACCATTCACACACCGTCGCGTTGTCGTCCAGATACCGCACCGGACCGTCATCCTCCCCCACCCCCATTTCCCCGGTCTTCGGATTTGGATTCGTTTTGGCCGTGGTGGAAATAGTAGACCCCTTCTTCAACTTCATCGTCTCACTAACCGCCTCCAACTTCACCAGCCCCACCCCCTCATCCCATCCCTCCCTCTCGGAAACATACTCCACCGCCACCATCCGCGTCTCTCCCTCTCCCTCCGCAGTAACATCCACCGGAAACGTACAAGCCTTTATCCCCACACTCGACTCCCCCGTCTCCACATTAAAGTCGTACGCGTGCCACGGACAAGACACCACATACGCCGAGTCCTCGATATCGATCGCGGAATCCTGCATCGGGCCGCCGGCGTGCGGACACTCCGCTTCCATCGCGTAGTAGGACCAGCCATTTGCGTCGTTGCGCGCTTTGCTGGGCTTTGTGTTTGTGTGTGTCTTTGCGTTTGCGTTTCCGTTTGCGTTTGCGCTCGTCGGGGTCTCGTTCTGCGTTTGGGTACCGTTCTTCGCCGGCTCGATGGTGGGTAAGCGGAACAGGACCAGGCGTTTCCCGTCGGAGAGGTGGATGACGTAGCGGGCTTGGGTGAGGTCGGAGAGCGGGGCGAGTGGGATGCGCGCCATTGTCGGGGCGGGGGGACCAGTATGCCTCAGGAGGTGTGGAATGTGGAGGGACGTAGTTGGGAATGGGAATGGGAATGAATGGTGTTGTTGGTGTTGGGGAAATTGAGGATTTGTTCGCGCGGGGCCAGATTTTGAGGTCACGTGGCGGGGCAGGGGGGAAGTTGGGGGGGGTGTTCTGCCGCTAAGCCGGATCGGGATGTCGGGATGGGGAGGGAGCGCATCTCACGAAGTTTGTATGGAGTATTGTGAAGAAGTTGGGTTGTGTCGTGGGTGGAATGGTAGCTGCAGGGATGCAGGGGGTGGTGATGGTGGCTGATGAAGTTCTGTGCATAAAGAATGTCCAGGTGTGGCGTTGTGTCTCCCACAATGTAACTTTTTATGCCGATGATCTTTTCCCTGATCGACCAATTATGTATGTATGGGCTTTCAGCTCAGAATGACCGCCAATGACTACAGAAAACGGACTTGATTGGTCGACGTAATAGAAACCCTGCAAGTGGCCTTGTTGCGCCTGGGAAGGGGAAAACATCTAAACCCTCACGGTAGGGGGAAATGTGCCCCTCACATCAGCTGTCGACAGGTTCATGGTTTGGTGGTCAAGCTACATCTTCAACTTAAGCATGGTCTTGTTTTTTCTACGATGAGGATTAGTTGAGGGTAGGTAAAGGTAATATTGGAGGTATCGTCTGCACTGCTCGTTTCATACTTTGTATGCTTTTCGCGACGAATACCTAATTATTATCCTGATATACTTATTTATTAAGAAACCTTACATTCTACAATCTAATCAATTTGAGCCCAGCGATGCACCAATACAACCCCCATAACAGCACAGTACTCACCCCTCCACCTCATCCCGCCCTTCAATCCGCTCAAGCAAGAACCTATACCCAGGCGCCACACCCTCTTCCCACCCCTCTGACCCAGGCATCAGGGAAAGATCATGAATATGTCGGGCTCCAGGGATGGCGAGGAGCCCACATTCGATCCCGTGGTCTTTCAACGTGGCGACGAATTCCACGGCCGTATTAAAAGGGACAACCTCATCTTCCTCGCCAATGATGAGGAATGTCGGGGTGCGGTAATTGCCGGCACGAAGTTGCGCGAGCGGGCTGATGGCAGCGGCACGGTTGAGGTCGGGGGCGGGAATTTGTTCGCCTTCGGTGGGTATGCCATTTATGAGCAGGCCCATGCCGTTCTCCTCTTTGATGAGGGCGAGGACGAGTTCTGATCGAGGATCCCCGGGTTGGAGCCAGCCTAGACTAGTAGTGTCGGTTGTGTTGGGGGCGTGGGTGGTTATCTGTTGAGTGTCAGTATGTCTGGATTTGATGTTGATGTGAATTACGCGTACCGGTCTTGTTGGGAGGGCGCGGCGGATTTCGCTCATGGACATCATGCGAGGGGGGTACTCCTTGCCCATCTGTTGCTGGGCTTCAGCGAGGAGGTGTTAGCGGTTTGCACGTGTCGGTCGAACGAGGGTCTTACCGGAGGGATCGTAGTTCGTCGGGCAGTAGAAGCCCAGGATAGCTACCGGTGGCGAGAGGCCTGCTGCCAGTGTCGTCCATGACGTTGTCATGGCAAGATGACCACCGGTTGACCATCCGACAACCACAATCTGCGTAGGGTCTACTTCAAGACTCCTTGCCTTCAGTATCTGCGGGAGGTCTCGATGCGCCCAAGCGTATGCATCTCTCACATCAGAAATGGGGCCGTCAATGATGTTGACCTCCGTGCAGAGCCGGTAGTCGATACTGATTGGGAGAATGCCCTGAGCGAGCAGAAATGATGTCTGTGCTGGTCGTACTGCCTTCCGCGATAGGGTCATGTGGCCGCCGCCGTGGATCATCAGAGCTAGAAATATGCAAGAACCGTTAGCCACTTTTCCACTGCTCGATGGTTTGTCCTGGAATAGACTATACCTAGGGGCATGGCGCGCCGTGGTGCGTCCAACGGGATGAATACGTCCGCGAGAATCTCGACCCCTTCAAGCTCTTTATACACCATTGTCTCAACCTTATGCCTTAAGCTTGGACGGGCTTTTGACCTTTTTACATGATTGTTGGTTAAGGAGTGGTTAGTCGTCCCGTTGGTGGTTGGTGGGTGGACAGACGAGGTCTCCGGACTGTGCGTATGTCTGTTGACTTGACCGCTAGACGCTCCATTCGGCATCGGAGCACCAAAATGCTTCTTCAAATCTTTGATGCTGTTTGCTGCTAGGTCATCTGAGTCCACATGAACACTGAAGGTGGCTTTGAGCTCGTCAGCCAATTCAACCGTTGCCAACGAGTCCAAACCCATGCTTCCTAAGCTTTCATCCTCGTTCATCTCATTCACGGGCACACCGGTGTAGCTGGATAGGAGTGCCTCCAGCTCTTGCAGCCTGTCTGGGCCGTGACCGTTGGCTTCCGGGGCGGATAGAGTACTCCCGTTAATGCCACTATTCGTGATTATCTTTTCTGCAGAAATCGAAGAGGTTCCTGCGACTGCCTTGGGGGTACTCCCACCTAGCATCCGTTCCAGACTCGCAGCTTGAATCTTCATGAACCGAATCCCAGATCCTACCACGACCAATTCCCCTGTCTCTGAAAAGGTAAAGATTGCGCCGCTTCTGTTCTTGTTGTCAACGACTGAAAACGTGGCAAAGACGGTCCACGTCTGGGAAGATTGAAAGTCGCTTGGCCGAATGACCATCTTATCTATCGCGGTAGCGACGTATACCTCGCTGTCGGAGTTGGAATCCGCGCTGCTATTGATCAACAGGCCCAGGACCTGGATGAATGTGTCCAGAGTTCGCGCATCGAGAATATCTGCGGCCGTGCTTTCCTGTCGCGCAAACGTCACGCTTGGAACCCTGATCTGTGCTACCGCTTGATTTGTTCCAAGGGTGATAGTAGTAATACCCTGAAGAAGCTCTCCGTATTCCACAACTCTGGAGAATAGAGAATACGCTCGACGGGTTAGAAGCTTCTCTGCGTTCGGGTTGTTGTACAGCGCCGTGATCTGGTCTGAAACAAGGAGCGAGTACAGTTTGAAGTCAGCATCTGCTGCCGGTGACATCCCAAGATTACCCTCAGCATGGGTGGTGTCCGATGATTGAACGGCGAACCTCCAAGTATCGGTCTCGGGTCGATGGTCAATTCGCATTCGCACATTCAAACTGTTGTCGCAGCCGAGTCCGCGATGGAAGGTGATGTTTTGGAAGTTGAGTGCCTTTCCACTTATCTCAGATCCTAGCATCAGAGCCCCTATTGTTGCACACTCCATATACATGGATGCGGGGCAGAGAGGTTGTTTCCGGACTGCATGGCCCTGGACGATGCGTGTGTATCTTTCGGTTTCGGTGTGGATGCGGAAATTATGAGACGCACTATTGCGGGCATCATATCCGTGGTAGCTTACCAAGGTTCTCACCTTAGGCGATCCGCAATCATGTCCATTAGTGATTGGAACGGTCTTCTTTTTCTTCTCCTCGATAGCACGGTCAACGTACTCAAGCCAGTACTGCGGGCGCTCAAATTGATACGGGGGCAGCCAGATTTGCCTGAGGCCCACCTCCTTGGGGGTAAGGAAGGCCCAAAAAGAGTTACCAACTCCCTCGCGCCATAGGTTAGCTGTAGCCGTTTCAATCGGCGCCGTCGACTGAAAGGTATGAGCATCGGGGTGAGAAACAGCCTTCTTTGTCATAGGCACCACTGGCGTTTTCCAACCTGCTTCAAGCCAGACGCTCTGGCCCAGGCGTTCTTCAAGACGTCGAACCGCGTTGACAAAGTACACAGGCTTTCTCGAATGATCGGCCAGGTATGTAGGTCCTAGTGGGGTTGAGGCGTGCTCGGTGCACGTTTCCAATGGGATCTTGGGCTTTCTGAAATCAAGTGTCTGAGCAAACCCAACCAGATCATCGAGAAGAGGCTCGGTCAATTGAGAGTGGAAGCCGTGGCTCACATTCAAATGCTGTGCGCGGATACCGGTGTATCGATGATCGTTCCGTAAAATAATGTCCGCCATGATAATGGACGACTCCTTTCCCACAATAACATGGCTTTTTGGGCTATTGTAGCAGCCAATCCCAAGAGTTTCGTCCGGTGAGCTGATGATTGTCCTTACGGATCTTATGAGGTCTCGAACAGTATGCAAGTCGGTGTGGACAGCGAGCATAGCTCCCAAGTCAGGGCCCCATTTCGTGCTCATCAAATGGGCTCTGTGTGAGACAAGCCTCAGGGCATCGGTTAGGGACAGCACACCTGAAACAGCAAGCGCCGTGAGTTCACCCAGGCTGTGACCAATTACCGCGTCTAACTTGAGTCCGCCGTCAAGCCAGCATCTCGCGGATGCATATTGCACTGCGAAAGTACCGCATTGTAGGACAACTACGTCCTCAATGGGCTCCGGCTGACAAAGTGCTGAGCGAATATCGGGGTGTCCCAGGTCCATCAGAATCTGGCTGCAGGCATCCACATAAGCCATGAACCGGGGGTTTGCCTCGCACACCTCGGAGCTCAGACCGATATTAGTCTTGCTCTGACCCGATATGGCAAGCACCACCCGTTTGGGTCTCTTAGGGATTTCCAATGGCTGGATATCTGACTGTAGCTGTTGCAACAAGCCGGGGAGGTCCGCTACGGTAGCGCTCCAACGGAAGCGGTGATGTTTGCGTCGCTCACTGAGCGTATACGCAATATCGCCGACATTCAGACCGGGGGGTGATTTGAGTATGTATGAAACCAGCTCATTGGCGTATAAACGCAGACTTTGCTTTGAAGCTGCAGTCAGCAGCACTGGGTAGGGCCTAGACGGAGCTGGGTGTCTCTTCTGAAGACTCGACTCCCTCGGAAACTCGGAGCATATCAAGGCTGAGTTGCTTCCGGAAGCACCGTAGCTGTTAATGCATGCGTTGCGATTTTCTATTTTCCACGGTACAATCTTTGTGGGGATTATGAGTCCATCCGGCTCGAGTGACGAGATCTTGGGGTTCAACGCCTTGAACCCTGCCAACGGGGGAATGCTCTGGTGTGTAAACATTGCTATAACCTTCAGCAAACTGGCCACCCCTGCAGCTGTCTCACTGTGACCAACATTGGCTTTTAACGAGCCGAGATGCAGCGGTTCTTTCCGTTGAGGCCCACCAAAAACATTCCGAATACTCTCTATCTCAATGGGGTCTCCAACACGTGTGCCAGTGCCGTGCGCTTCGATGTAATATACTTGCTCGGGCTGGATTCCTGACCTTGAGATAACATTTCTGTACAGAGCTTGCTGGGCCTTTGGGTCAGGTACGGTAATCGAGGACGCGTGAAGTCCTCCCTGATTTGTGGCAGAAGCGCGGATCACGCCCATAATATGATCGCCACCACTGATGGCCTGGTCCAAATGCTTCAAGACAACCAGACCTACTCCATCCGCACGGCAGTAGCCGTCACTCGATTCATCAAATGGCTTACACTGCCCTGTTGGACTGAGAAACCCAGCTTTTGCCAAGTCTAGATAGTTGTGGATCCCGGTGATAATGTTAACACCACCTGCCAGCGCCATACTGCAGTCTCCGGCTTGGATGGCACGACAGGCCCGGTGGATAGCCACAAGCGACGCAGAGCATGCCGTATCAATTACTTCTGATGGTCCCGTCCACCCAAAGCAGTAGCTGATCTTCCCAGACAAAAATGCGCGAATCGTTCCCGGAGCTGTGAATGCGGATGGGCTGTAAGCACAAGTATTTTCCAGATACTCTGTGTACGTGGATCCAATGAAACACCCGACGGAGTCGCCATCTTCCTTACGATGTGTGTGCAGATACCCACTAGAATCCATGGCCTCAAATGCCGTAGTCAACAAAAGTCGTTGTTGAGGGTCCATATATATTGCTTCCCGAGGGCTGATGCCGAAGAAAGCATTATCAAAGGCGGCCACATCTTCGACAAAGTTGCCGTAGAATTTTCCTCTCTTGATCCATTCTTGATCTTGCTGGCCGCGAAATGTCTCGTTTATTTTGAATCGATCTTCAGGGACCTCTTCAGCCTTGATCTCTCCCTGAGAAATTATATGCCATAGTTCTTCAAGGTTATCGGCACCGGGGAGGCGGCAAGCAGCACCCACGATGGCGATGGCGTCGGATGGAAATGATTCACGTGGATGTGCTGAGGGTACAAGAATCGCCATTTTGGTAGGGTAACGAAGAGAAGAGTGGTGAGGTGGATGGGTGATGTAATGGACGCAGAGTGTGCCGGTAGTCAAAAAGGAACGGAGCCTTAGTCTGGGCTACACAACGTTGAGAAGTCGAATGTAAACTGGATGGCTTCTTGAGATATCCTGCGATCATAGATCAGACCATAAGGCTCAACCATAATCATGCTAACTTGTATGCATGTGCCTGAGTGCGAGAGAATGATAGGGATACCAACTGCTTCAGATGTTCTACGCACATCCTGCATGCGTACATGCAGCTCTAATCGGAGCCGGTCCTGGCATGCAGGTGGACCATTCCTCCATGGTAATTCTGCCATTTTTCAATCCGTCGATCAAGTCGAGTCCAGGCCCTTGGCCTAAGGCCGAGGCGATTCCGCCCGATTGCCGGGGTCGGATGGTTTTGGACCTCTCCCTCTAGTGTTAAGACCAGCACTATCATCCCTATCTAGGCACCTGCCTAGTCGCTCTTTTAGTCGAACGGCTTTGTTTCACCCTCGGCAAAATCACCGAAACATGTCATCTGCTCCCGCTAACATCGTATGAACCAGATATATTGAAACAAGCGGTAGCGCTCTGGGCGAGGTCTGCACCATTTGACCGCGTATACTGTTCTGGCCGTGACCCATTTCTTACAAAATAGGTACTTTGTCCCCGTCCCCGGTGATATCCGTAGCTAAAGACAAGAATGTAAGCTAAAGTAGTATATCCGCCCCTGAAAATCGCGAGATGACACGGGGGTGAATCAAGTTATGGGCGAGATCTTCGAGTGGGCATGGACTTGGAAGTTGATGCGAAAAGTGAAACAACAGTCATGCAGCTGGTATTCAGCATTAGTGAAGGTTTGCTATCCCCAGAACCATTTAAAGATACAGTTCGCAAAGCGTCAACTAAACAACAACGAGCATATTCTCTAGTTTCCCAATTGCATAGGTCGACTTGCGGTTATGGGTGGAGATTGCATGGAATAGTTTGATCAGGATAAACTGAGGCCCAAGCGATAAAGCTCGTCGAATAGAATCTGCTCATCTCCCAATGGCTGGAACGGAAGTCTGTAGGAAGCTTTGCTGCCTTTTGAGAGCAGCTACGGCTCCACCGGCCAGGCTCCTGCCATAGCATTTAATCGATTATGCATATTTTGACGTGGGACGGGTCTTCCCGAAATAGGTAAGGGAAGTAATCTGCTACCAGCCATTTTGCCAAGGGTAAATAGTTTGAGGAAAGGCTTCATTTCTGGCGAGGCCTACCTCGAGACACGGCGAGAATCCAAGCCCGATAGTATCAATTCGATTAAAGTATTAAACACGTGCAATACACATTAGTACGTGGGTCCCTATTGAGTAAACCTATTGGAGGTTCAAGGTCCGGAAATTTAGGTGCCCAAAACGACAAAAGTTCCTCGGACTCGGGTAGGGATCATGTATAACTGGTTGAGGATAGAATGACGTCTGTTATGAAAGGCGACCACCTGGGTGGAGTTGCATGCATGCAATTCAGCCAAAAGAAAGTACCCAGATGATGCTTCGTTGACGCACCTGAGCAGCCACTTTGTGTGTAGGGTGACCGTGTTCCAGTTAAGTGCAGCCCATATTCTCATCATTTTACATCGCAGCTTGTTTAGACCAGAACCGGAACACGCTAAGCCTAAAAATGACACTTTGCGTGGCACATGGTCATACCCTGATGGGATATCAGTGGCAGCAAATCAGATTGACTGCTACCCAACTGCTTCGAGTAAGCTTATCTGTCTTGTCCCCCCGGCATTCGGAGTGCGGATAGTTGACCGGCTAACCGGCGGATAGGTCAGAGGCTTTATCGATATACGTGAGACCGAGTTCATTTATTCTGACCAAGTAAGCGGTGTGAAAGTAAAGGAAATGTCTTTGGTATGCAGTCTATACGCCAGGATATGGCAAGGTTCAGTTGTGGGTCGCTGCCGTGCACAGTCAGGGACGGTTTCAAACGGAACTGCATGAGCAGCATGCCATGATCGCGAACCGGATCCCGGTCGATGGGAGTATCCATGAATTGCTGTTACCATTTCAAGAAAGGTCATGCCGCTGGTCGACGTATGAGCATCTACCGATCATCAATCAGCAACCGCATGCATCTGTATTAATGCAATCAATAAGATTCACGGGGTTGCGATGCCCACGCTCGTTATGAAGCGCGTAGAACTGTGAAGATTAGAGGCCCCGGAGAAAGTCTGGGGGTGCGAAAATCTCTCATGGATTCGAGGTCACGCGTTTTCAGAGCACACGGGTAATAGGATGTGCCACAGTCTCAAACAGCCTTCTAGTTCCATTGCAACCACAGATATGGCCACTTGCATAGTGACCAGACTCGTATTTCAAGGTCAGTAGAGGTACCCCGAGCGGTGGCCAATATGGGGAAGGTAGCACTGATTAGCAAGTCCCTGACTACATCCACGCGATACGAGGATACACAGGGTACCCCATCAATCCCAAGGGTTCCTGGCCAGGTGCCACCCAGCCGAGATTCGAGACGGTTGGATCGGCAATCGAACCGTTCTTTTGGACTACCTGCCCTGACTGATCAAACTATGGGCAAGTGGCTCGAGCATCCATTCACGAGTATATTGACGGCTGTCATAATGAGGGAACATATATTCCAAATAAGAGCGCTCACTCAGGTCAGCGCCACTCAGCATGGAGGATTTGGATCCCCGTTGATGCTGCGTGTTGCCAGTGGCGCCTGCAAAGTCATCTGTGCCGAATCGACCCACCACAGGCAGGGATTAAAGTCCTCATTATCCGCTCAGCATGTGCCAGTTGGGCTCGGCCTCGGGATAGGGGGGGAATTAGGTTGGCTGGTTGGTGGGTACGTGGTTGATAACGGATCATCGGGTCTGGATGTGGGGGGAGACGGACATGAGCATCGGCCGTCAGCCATCGGCGATCAGCAAGTAACATTGGGAGCGTTGATGAGAGAGGTCCGGAACGAGACTCACGTCAGAAGGTTTTGCCAGAATGAGGTTCTGACTACTGGATAAGCTCCGAGACCTCTTGACCTTCGGAGGAGATGGAGGTGGAGATGGAAAGGGAGGGAGTGGACCAGAGCCAAATGCAAACAACCGAACCCCGCTAAGCCCGACGCAGTCAGGCGGGCCCGACCCCGGATCAATCACCTGGTCTTTGACTGGCTGAGGTGAGCACACTAGTACTATCTAGTCGCTAGTTAGGTACTCTATCTAGTACGCATTTCTCTCCCCTCAACCCCGTGGAGTCGGACTGCCACCAATAGTTCGCGCCTCAGGCCTACCCCTCCAGGGCGGAATCCGGAGTATAGTACTTACCTCCCCCTTCGAGGTCTGGATGACTTGCCGAGTGGTATCGTACTCTGACCGTTTATCCCTGACCCATTGCATTCTAACCTCCCCCGTCATGACCGCTCCATCCCACTGGCTGATGGTCCGGAAATCACCTCTCGGGCACCAGCACGCCCGCAAGCCACCACAGCAATGTCGCCCTCCCCGGCGTGAAACATAACATATCGATGGCTACTACGTGTGGTTGCCCCACTGGGCAGGTACGGCCCAACACTAAGGGGCCAGGCCCTTTCTCAATGCGAGACAACTGTCGAGGGATCCGTCCTGGTCAGCGTCCCTTCCATCCTTACACCAACACGCGCTCCTGCCATCTCGATCTTACCCACCGATCAGAGTACCACTGCCGCATTCCCACTCCTCCCCTTGCTTCGACCATCCGCAGTCTGCGTCTTTCCATTCTGAACGGTGATACAACCACGTTGGCCATGGCTGGAACAGAATCGGGTCGCCCGTCGGGGTCAGATAAACCGCTTCGATATGCCTGCGATCGTTGCCATACACAGAAACTGCGTTGTCTTCGTGCCCATGTCACTGATACGCTCAATCAAAAGGAACCTTGCCTCCGCTGCCAGAAAGCTCATACCCCGTGCATTATCAGTGCGGCGAACAAGGTCGGGCGTCCCCCGAAATCCTCCAGCAAGAAGTCCCGGGCTTCTTCCGCTTCCCCCAAAAGCTCGGATACAATCTACGCGGCGTCTCGACGCTTTGTCCTGGATGTGGATGGGGACGGTATAAATGAGCTTACCAGAGGTGGGTGCTCTGGTATCCCTCGCCTCTACGTGCGTTCTGTTGATTAGGGATGGCACCAGATCATCCGCCCGTACAGTCGATTAACGCTAGAGACGACATTTCGATGTTCAGCCCCAATCAGCTCTACAATCTGCCACGATTGGCAGCGCAACTCCAGTCTTCCTTTCCCGTCATGTCTGACTCCGGAGTGTCTATAAACACAGAAACACCGGCTACTCGCTCCCTTTCTTCGATATGCGGGGAGGAACTGGAAGAAAAGGATGGGGATAATCAAGACTTCGGCCGGGAGATGTCAATGTGGCCCACTCAGGGTCAGTATAATCCTGCGATCCCATTCGAATCAAGCCATTGAACGTCTGATTTGGCATGAAGAACGGCTGTAATAATCTATACGTAACTCGCAGATGATTACCTGGGCTACGAGTGTCTGAGCCTTGGGCCCAACGGTGGACCTATAACCGGAGTCAACGAGATAGGGGTTCCGCATTACCCCGAGATGTACGATGGCGTCTATAGAAACGGATCTTTGATTTATCCCGCTTCATCTGGTCCTTTCGATGCCCAAAGATTAATCCTATCGAACACGCCACAGGTTAATCCTGTGCCACCAGCTTCCACCAAGGAGGCAGGGTTAAATATCGCTCAAAGTCAGTACAGTTCTTGCACTCAAACTACCAGCGGAGTACCCACACAAGGAGTTCTCCCGGACAATGGACTTACTGGCCAAAAATGCCTTGAACGATTGGTAGACCTCAACTCGAACCTTCTCCGTTTGTCAGAAAAAGCAAGAGCAACAACTGGTCAGGCCCTGAAAGCGGCTGCAGGGCGCGAGAATGAGGTGGTGAGCCAGATGGTTCAATTTGCAAGAGAGCTGATCGATCTCGTGCCACGCATCATCTCAATCTCCCGCACGAATCGAGCCTCCACCGTAGGCCATTCGGGCCCGGGCGTTCTCCACAAGCCACGAAATACGATTTCTGCCCTGGGGGGCTCATATTACAGTCCTAACGCAGGCTCGTGCTCTCAGTACGACTCAATCTTGCACAGCCCCACAGGTGAATCTTTTCGGATGGGGTTGCCGATTGATTCCGTGTCCGGAAGCACAATGATTCTTCTCGTAATGGGATGCTATACGCAAATAATGTATGTGTTCGAAACAATCATCAGCTGCTTATGTCAAGACTACTGCCCTGCAGCGGGATCTCCTGGTCAACGTCGGGGTGAATCCTCGCTAGAAACATCCCTTCACCTACACACCATCATGTACCTCCTCAAGCGATTGCACCAGGAGTTGTATGCCTATCCACCTGAAGTCTCTTCGGACCCTGCAATTGTTAGCATGCTCTATGATAATGAGCATAATCTACGTGCCCCGGGTGCCATTCGACGCGGGCATTCGTTTGACAATGGCGCTGCAGGCGGCCTTCTGGGCCGAGCATCTAGCGAAATCCGGGAGCGGGAGCAGGTGCTTGCCAGGAATATACAATCTTTGAGTCGGCTAGTGAGCGTGAGTCAGTACATATAGTACCTGATATTTGCAAACCCCGTGGAGCCAACGGAACGGGGCTTTCCACTTTGATATATTGCCTGTACACGGCCATCTGCAAAAATAACAGCTCGGGAAAGAAGGACTGCAACAACCACGATATTGTCTATGAAGCCCCCGGCCTCAAAGTTGACCATTTCCTATCTCATGTATCCAGTGAGAATCTCCGATAATGTTCAATGAAAAATCCGCCCACGAAGCTCGCGAATGCAAATGCAAAACAGCAGCCAGACAGCCCCGCCCAGCGGGACAGATAGGGGACTTGTATGAGTCCTATGACCGTTATTAACCCCAGAAAAACACCCACTACCGAGTACAAGATATATTGCGGGCACATATCAACCATCGATCCTACTACCCAGAGCAGCCCTGCAATCCCACAGGCAACGGAACCAAGGAGGGCGACGAGGTGGTGTCGAAACAGGACGGCCATTCCTTTCACGCCTGATTTGACATCATCCGCGGTATCCTGCCTTGCATATACCACATCGAAAAAAATGATCAGCATCATAATCGAAAGCATCAGACAGATTGTCGATATGCGACTTTTTCCCGCCAATACATCCACATCGAGGGCGTACGCCGATAATGCAACCGTCGTCCCTAGTGAGAATCCCAGCACCACCTGCGGGAAGCTGGTAAATCGCTTGCAGTATGGATATATTAGCGACAGGCCGATGACTACGCCTGCCATTTTCTTGGTGTTGGATGGCATATCCCGTATTGAAAAGACTGCAAGAGAAATAAGAATCGCCGCGCATATTTGGGCTTGCATGGATGTGACAGCACCACGGGCGATAGGTCGGTCTCGACATCGCTCGGTCTTCCGGTCGAACTCTTGGTCGACATAATCATTCCAAACGCAACCAGCGCTACGACAAAGTGCAGACCAAAGCATTAGACGAAACGCGTTAGTGATGAGTGTGTTGACGGAGGCGGGCGCAGGGCCAATGACAGAGGCGTAGGTCAGGCCGACAATATGGGGAAACCAGACGAGGCAGAGGCCGTGTGGCTTGTCGAGGCGAATCAGTTCGGCGTAGGGCACCCACGACGAGGGAAGGAAGGATAAGAGACCAGTCCGCGGGGGTCTATCTTGTGCATTTGACGGCGGATATGTTCTGATTTTGGTCTTCATATTGGATAGATACCACAGAAGATGGATGATTGGGTCACTTAGAAGGTTTCGAAGCAGTCAGATAGATCTATAGCAAGACTTTGAAAGAATCGCTACCCCAGCCCGGAATTCACTTCCAGCCCCGACACCCCACGAGTCCATATATCTTCCCCGTATACCCAAATGGTCGGAACGCGGAAGACCATGAACGGGAATTCCTTTCGGCCCAATCCACCCCAATTCCTCCCGACAGACCGACAACCAGCTAGACCGACCGACATACCGATCCACCGATCCCCTGAACACATGTCCCAAAAAGGCAACCCCAGTAATACATTGCCTCCCATGATTGCTACCTATTAAGGTAAGGAGTTACTATTCTCCGCGACGGCTCGGAACGCGCCGAACCCCTGCACATACCTTACCTACAAGTACTAGTCGTTAGTTTATTACTTGACTCCACTCCGCTGCTGTCTGGTTTGACTTGTTCGGGTTTGGTTTGGGGTGGTTTGGTTTGGTCTGGTCTAGTCGCGTCTGGCCTGGCCTGGTTACGTCTGGGATATACGGGGCTAGTCTGTCCGGTTATTCCCCGATGTACCTAATGGCGACTGGTGTTATTCGCCGAATCTTGATGGTTTACTAGTGGGTATACTAGTTATTAGTGGGCAGGTAGGGAATGGGTAGGGGGTGGGTACCAGGGGAAACGGGGGGACGGAGGACGGGGGACGGGAGGCGGGTGTGGCCACGCCGTTTGGTGTCTGGTCGGATGGATGGTGGTGGTGGTGATGGTGGTGAGTCGTGGATGTTGGTAGTGGGTGGAAGTTGGGTGGCCGGCTTGTTTGGGTTGGGTGTTGGGATTGGGATGGGATGGGATGGGCTGGACTGGGCTTGAGGTTGGGTATCGGGTTGGAATTTGATTTGGTTTCAGTGTTGGCTTGACTTGGCTTGTCTTTTGTTTGGAGGCTGGGTTTGAGGCTAGTCTTGGATTTATTTGGATGTGGCTGAGACGTAGATGATAGTTTGATGTGTTTGTTGATGTGTGGATGTGTGGTTGTTCAGGGGGTGAAGTCAATACATGATTTTTGATAGTCTCGCAATTAGCAATTAATTATTCTACTGGGTTGTATTTGTGGAGGGTAGAGGTAGATAATATACCCAGGCGAAGGGAGGGTAAGGGTAGGGTAAAGTGAAGTGGAGAGTAAGTCGCGATATAGGATGATGAATCAAAAGGATTAAGTAATCGAAAGATAAGGGGTTATGCCATATTATCTGCCATTTTAGAGGTGGTTGGAGGATTGGCTTTTCTTCTTCTTTGTGCCAGTGCAAGTGGGTGTGGTATACTTCAGGGTTGTTTGGGGTATTATACAATTATTGTAACTGTAGTCTTCTGCTGGGATGGATTAAGTGTTGCTGTAGTGTGTATTTCATCATATCTGGCGTGGGTCAGGCAGGCAGGGAAGAGATTTATTCGTCAGATGCAGTGTTGCTCTGGTATCTACAAAGGCAAATGTTGTATATAGTACGACAATTTTCTTGCTCACATAACCAGTGTGATCTGATGATTTCGTCGCCGCGCTCAGGAAGGCTAGTTAGTCAGTTCAGTTTAGGCAGTTAGCAACAGTACGAGAGTGATTCACCGCATTGCCCCCAGCAGCAAGCCGTGTTTCTCGCTACTGCTATCGAGTTTTGACGTGCGTTCTATCCCAGCGACTCGGAAACCTGGCAGTCGAGGATTGTTGTCTCTTGCTTCTGGCTATGCCATCTAAACTATATGTTCAGACACACACAAATGCCGCGGGTGTGTATACCTTATCACATCCGTTATCCTTCTTCACCAAAACTCCACCCCACTTTTTATCCGAATATATGTGCGCCTGCATCTGGAGCACGGGTCTCTTTCGAAAAGAAAGGAAAAGCGGCGGACATTTCGTGATGCTTAAGCTTAGGGTGGATCTGTTTTATATATCGGTTAGCTGCATGTGTCAATGACGAATGTTATAGACAGAGGGGGCGATTTGTTGAAAATATGCCTCGATATTCGGGTCTTTTTGTCTGCGGGACGAGGCTTGGGCTTTCGCGTGGCAGGTAGGATGGGTGGGATGGATCCCCGCCGGTTGACCATGACTGTGGCTGCTGCTGAGATTGAAAGCAGTTGAATCAAGGTAGACAAATCATTCCACTCGTGAACAAAACTGCTGGGCTCAGTATGATATCACGTTATTATTGCGGTTGGTCCTGCGGCAATGCGACAAAATAGATCGGGTGAGCAGACTGAATTCTTCAATAGACGGGTTGTTAATATAGTGCACTGATGAGAGAATCGGGTGGGACGCAAGTTTGCAGGTCTATTTGTTTGTGGAGACAAACGTCATTCTTCAGCATCACTTGTCACTGGGTAGGCGACTGCGAATATTAGTGGATCAGAAGGAGCCCAAATATGCTTGCGCAGATAGTCCACAGTATCCCATATCGATCCGGTGGATGGAAGTGGATAGACTGGAGAGTAGTTTCGGAATAAAAGATAGCCGTATGGATGTGCAAGAGGAACGAAGAGTTCAGTGTCCGGTCCAGGGGAAAGACTGTTAGAGTTCGGGCTGGCAGGGGTCGGCCTGAGGCAGCCAGCCAAGCTGCAACCCGCGATTTCTGGCCAAATCGAGCTGCTATTGAAGAATTGCCAATTCGAACTATTCTCTGGAAATTAGCATTGATGGAGTTAGCCAGTTGTTGGTCAATATGGGCGAGCAGGCAAATAGGCATGACTAAGCGGTCACATGCTCCCAGTGTGTATAGCATCATCAGTCACGTGGTATCCAATTTTACTGACCAATCAGAGCGCAGAGTAGCCAGCTCAGCTCTGCGAATCAACACCGTTGTCTTTGGTCTCTGTTTGAAGCGCCAACCTTTATTATTCAATCCCCATACTCAAAAAGATTACATTCAGCCCATTCATCTCTCCGAATTTCTTGCGACGTTGTTCTCGGCCAGTCACTCGAATCCTTGGCATCGCCGTTGGGCTAGCTGCTAACGAGAGCATCTCTCTCTATGCGCCGGACGGGCTGCGACGCAGAGCCTGCAGCTGTCCGGGCTAATCCTTCTGCCTCGTCCCTTCCTCTGCAACAGCACATCGATGGCGATGAGAAATTGAACCTGCTCTCCATTATATTCATAAGAACCATCGCTGCTCTTCGTTGATAATCCAACCTCTTTCACCGCAGCACGTGTCCCCCCACCGCCAGTGACGCAGCAGTTGATCTATCGAGTCCGGTGGACCTGGCCAGGCAGCTTCGACCAAGCATACATCCCTGCCGGCCTGTTACCCCGCCTCCCACGGAAACGTCCCTCTTTTCTCAAATCACTTCCTGCCGTCCCCTTCTCCCTGACCTTCTTTCCCACACGACACCGCGGCCAAGTTCCGTGGTTTCTCCCGGGTTATGGATGACGCTCAGAAGCTGCTGAGATGGTAAGTGATGATAACCCCATCTTTATTAGGCCCGTAACCCGTCTGTCAGCCATACTAACAACACTCTAACCAGGTACAACGGCCTGTATTCCCGCACCGTCGACCTGGTGGGCGACTACGCAGGAAGTGAGCTCTTCATCATCGAAGGAGACTCGCTGCTGCTGCACTGCTTCTCCGACGACCAGCTGCAATTTTCCCGTGGCCTTCAGTTGCTCCACTCCACGTACATCGTGGAGCGGTTCCTCGCCCAACTGCATCAACGGAACTGTAACTTCCACATCGTCTTCTTCTCGGAGAACTCCAGCGCCTCCATCCCGCCGCATGTCGATGCGCAGTCACGGCCGAAATATCGCCTCGCACGGGAAGCCGTCCTGCAGCACCTTCTCCACAATGCCCCCCAGGCCGTCCCATCGCTGCAGGTCAGATGCTTCGACAGATACGACTCCCAGGAGTTCAAGGATTACCTGGTTTCATTGGGTGCCTATTTTCTGATGTGTCACGATGGTGCCTTTGCGGAACTGTTCCGGCAGTTGAAAGACACGCCGGACCCTGAGGATCTTCAGATGTCATCCGATGACGAAAGCTCGGACGATGACTCAGACGACAGCAGTGACGACTCAAGTGAAGACACGCCGAAGCTTTGGCCAACTAGACTGACGCTCAGGTCGATGATCCATTGGTTCATCTGCCACGGTTATAACATCTCGTTGCTGAATAGCCTGGAGTGTCGTGATACGAAGGTAAAATCATCATCTCCAACCCTAGAATGCAAACTCACAGGAGTAGGTCATTACCACTGTCTTGGAGGGATCAGCAGAGCGGGCGCGGCAAGTCTTTCAAGCCGTAAAGCTTGAGGTTACAGAAGATCCAGAATCATCGGGTTCCGACACAGAAACGGAAGATGATAGTTTGAAGCCAGCGGTTGACAACTTGAAAATAGATGCCCAGACGAAGCCTTCCACTGACGCAGATCCCAACCCCATTGAAAAGACCCTAGAGAAATTCTTAGACTCCATAGGTAGCGCGTCCAGTCATGATCTTAGACAGCGCGAATGGGCTTCGGTGTTGACAGTAAGTGTGATGCTGGCATCGGGCCGTCTTCAGGAGAACGACGCTCTGGCAATACGCGCCCTGTTGCTGCATACAGTGATCCTGGAGGAATGCAAACTTGGCGACCGAGTTTACGATCCAAAGGATTCCTCCGCCGGCGAGTCCTTCCTGGTACGATATGCGACCGTGGCTCGTCATGTTATATCCTCACCGTCGTGGCTGAAATTTGCCGCAACCAACTCCCTCTCCTGCGATCTGGGTGACATGGTTGATGGGAGACTGTTCCTTGAAACCCTCAACACGAGTAAAGCCTCGCCCCTTGACCGTGCTTTTAGTCAGGATATCCTGGCCAGATTGGCAGTGTTAGCCGCGACCGTGAAAACCCTTTGCGGATCTGAGCTCGATGCCACCACCAATTCCAATGGGGCGATCAAGAAGCCGGCAGGCGAAAAGCGCGCAGCTCGGGGTAGTCGCCAGAAGAACCCTTTCACTGTGCTGGCTTTCAATAATTCTGTTCTCAATCCTCATCTCAAGCCTATTTCGCTCACAGTTGATGATTCTACCAATGACCAGGAAAGTCTTGCGGTGTCCCGAATCTTCGAGGAAATCAGCCACTGGCACAACCATAGACGCCCGTTGGACAAACGCAATGAAGGACCATTGCCATCGAAGCTCCTCCGCCGTAATCAGCTGTGGATGGCCGAGACAGTGGACTATGCTGCTAGTCTCACAAATGCAGCCGGGGGGATCCTGGAACCGGAGACAGTGTTTTTGAGAACGGCAAAGGACCGCAAGGGAAAGCCAGCGCAGACTTCAGGTGCTCCTACCCCTGCTCTCGAGCAATCCAGTCGCCAAAAGCCCAGTACGTCATCAGTCAGGACTCAGGCGGCGTTGCAGCTCCGGGAAAAGCAGGCCCAAACTCTTAACAAGCAACTGAAGGCATGGGAAAGCAAGTGCCGGACGTTTGAGCAAGATAGCAATCTGGTCCAGAGATACGTGAGCGCTCGCGAGTATCTTTCAAGTCTTCGGGATGAGAAGAGATCGCTAGTAGAAGCCGAAATATTAACCTACCTTGTGAGCACGTTGGTGCGGCTTTGGAAACAGAAGTGTGCTTCCAAGGAGAGGGGCCAATCTATGTCTGTAGTAGCTCTCATATGGCATCTGATTCTTCGAATCTCAAAGGTAAAGCAAGGGATCACTGAAGACATCGCGATATGTATACGCAGGACCACAAGGGCGCTTAATCTTCCTGCCGTTGACCTCTCGCCTGACGGTACGGGTGCGCTTTCTTTTGAGTTCGCACCCCTCAAGGCAGGCGAGCAAAGCCTGGAGATAGGACTGTCGCCAGTCGAGTTCCAGCTGGTCCACGCCGGGCCTTACTTTGACCGAAACATGGACTCGGCACCGGATTCTCGCGTTGACTTTGAGCCCGACAGATGGCAGCGAGAAACATTGGACCAGATTGACGCTGAGGCGAGTCTTTTTGTCGTCGCTCCGACTAGTGCCGGAAAGACGTTCATATCGTAAGTTGCACGTCCCGAGTTGGTTATCGCCACTGACCCTTGAATAGATTTTACGCGATGAAACAAGTCCTCGAGGGCAGTGATGATGGGGTCTTGGTTTATGTTGCCCCGACCAAGGCTTTGGTCAACCAGATCGCTGCTGAAGTCCAGGCAAGATTCAAGAAAACATTCAAACACGGCGGCAAATCTGTATGGGCCATTCACACTCGCGACTACCGCATCAATGAGCCGAACGGGTGCCAGATTCTAATCACTGTGCCTCACATTCTTCAAATCATGCTCCTGGCCCCGTCGAATGCAAAGTCGTGGTCCTCCCGCGTCAAGCGAATCATTTTCGATGAAATCCACTGCATTGGCCAAGCGGAGGACGGTGTTGTTTGGGAACAACTGCTTCTTCTTGCCCCTTGCCCTATCATCGCACTCTCTGCGACGGTTGGCAACCCCAAGGCATTTAACAGCTGGCTAAGCATGACTCAAAAGGCGAACGGTTGTGACTTGAAGATGATTGAACATAAGACCCGTTGGTCTGATTTGAGAAAATACAACTACAATCCGCCCCAAGGATTTGTGTTCAAGGGGCTACAAGACTCCGCTAGGGTATCTGCACTTGGCCTCGAAGATTGCCCGAATGTGTCTCTCATTCATCCTGTCTCGAGCTTGATTGACCGCTCAAGGGGACTGCCGGATGACTTTGGTCTTGAGCCTCGGGACTGCTGGACTCTTTGGAATGCCATGAACAAATACAAGACGGCAGAATATCCGCTTGACCCAGCACTGGATCCCGCCGTCGCGCTACCGAAAATCATCGTGAAGGCAGATGTCCTTGGTTGGGAGGCTGGTTTAAAAACCGTTCTCAAAAGCTGGATGGAAAACTATGACTCGCCCTTCGATGCTGTTTTGAAGGAGCTTTCTGAGCAACCACCTCGTAATGCTCCTGCTGTGCAAGTCTCATCCGGAACAATCACTGACTCCGATACTCCTCGTGAAGTCAAGAGGAACAGCCTTCTGGAAACTACGCTTCCCCTCATTTGCTCCCTTAACGATCAGGGTGCCCTTCCAGCACTGTTTTTCAACTACGACCGGAGTTGGTGCGAGAAGATCTGTCAGTATGTCCTCATCGAACTACAGGAGGCTGAGACCCGTTGGAAAGAGACTAGCTCAGCATGGGCGAGAAAGATCGCAGAATGGGAGGCGTGGAAGAAGGCTGAGGAAAAGCGCGCCAAGCACAAGCCGGCCAAGGCCAAGGCCAAAGGAAAGGGAGGCAAAGATGATGAAGGAACGTCAAAAGCGGATCAAATGCGCGATTCTGCTTCCGAGGAGTCGAGCTGGCATGCATCTTTCAACCCTGAAGACCCGGATCCCAGATTTTCTCTCGCCGATGTCAAGAAATTCTCGCTTTCTGAGCTTGAAGATTACGCGAAAGAGCTGAGGAGACGTCAGGTGCCCGAATGGCTGCTTGATGCCTTGAAACGTGGAATCGGTATCCATCACGCTGGTATGAACCGCAAGTATCGACATGTGTGTGAGATTCTCTTCCGCAAGGGCTATCTCCGCGTTGTCATCGCCACGGGTACTTTGGCCCTGGGTATTAACATGCCCTGTAAGACTGTTGTCTTCTCTGGTGACTCTGTCTTCTTGACGGCCCTTGGTTTCCGACAAGCAGCCGGTCGAGCGGGTCGTCGAGGCTTCGACTTCTTGGGTAATGTTGTCTTCCAGGGCGTCTCGCACTCGAAGGTTTCCCGCTTGTTGAGCTCCAAGCTTCCAAGTCTGAATGGTCATTTCCCGATCACAACGAGCTTGGTTCTGCGACTGTTGATTCTCCTGCACGAGTCCGGACAATCCCCGTTTGCCGTGAAAGCCATCAACTCGATTCTGTCGTGTCCACGAATCTACCTTGGTGGTCCCGAGTCGAAGCATACCGTTCTCCATCATCTGCGTTTCTCGATCGAATACCTTCGCCGGAACCACCTCCTAGATTCGAGCGGAGTGCCTCTCAACTTTGCGGGTACGATCTCGCATCTGTACTACACCGAGAACTCCAGCTTTGCGTTCCACGCACTGCTCAGTAGTGGCTACTTCCACAGACTATGCAGGAACATCAACAAATATCCCACACAGATCACCCGTACTTTGATGCTGGTGCTGTCGCATCTGTTTGGACGTCAAGAACTGCGGCCCGCTGTCCTGGAGAAAATGCTGATGTCTGAGAAGAAATCGCCTTCACTGGTGGTGCTTCCCGATCTTCCAAAGAAGGCCGTCAAGATTCTGCGCGCGCACAACACAAAGACCCTCAACATCTACTCCACTTATGTCACCACCTTTGTGGAGCAGCACATCACAGAGCCGGACTGTTTCCTCCCGCTGACCCAGATCAAATGCGGAGGCGACAAGTCCCCCGAGGAAATCAGCCCCTCGATGCCCGTCAGTCCGCCAACCCGGGTAGCCTCATCATTCGTGGCGCTCTCCGGACACCGTGATAAGTGGCAGAGCATTCCCGAGCTCTGTAAGACAGTCCGAGACGGTGTCTGGCTCGAGGAAGCCGTCGTTCCGTACGTCGGCATCTACCCGGAAGAAGGCAAGGTCCCCCTCAACGCCTACCTGTACGACTTCTTCAAGCACGGTAACGTGCACGCCCTGGAGAAGAGCAACGGTGTCCGACGAGGCGACGTCTGGTTCGTACTGAACGACTTCTCCCTCGTCCTGGCCACCATCGTGACCAGCTTCGAGAACTTCCTCAAGCTGTCCCCCGGCACAGATCTCGACATGATCGACGCTACCGGCAGCGGTGATGCTCATGAGATCGACCTAGACGACAAGATCATCGATGCTACGCCCGACCGGTCTACCGGGATAGCTGGACGACCTTCCGCCCCCGCGCAAGCGAAAGCACAGGCGGCACTCGCGCCCACTCCTGCCCCTGTCAAGAAGAAGAAGGCCAAGGTTGCGGACAGTTGGGATGATGATATGAGTGATAGTTCGAGTGAGGAGGAGGAAGAAGTCAAGCCAGCGAAGCTTGAGACGACGCCGGTGGATAAGCTCGGTGATAAGGGCTTCTTGCAGGTACTGAAGGCGTTCAAGCTGCTGCAGGAGGAGTTTAATGGCAAGTTCAGGGCTATGTGGGCTTAGTAGAGTTGATAGAATTGGGCTTTTGGGTGCTTGTTTCGTATGTCTAGTTAACGGAATAAATTGTCATGGATGAATTGAATCGCTTTTACTAAAATGAATGCACTTGCACTGGCTACCCCGTCCAGCGCCACCCCACCGGCCCACCGCCCCACAACCCTCCGTAGAAACACTCCCCGCAAAACAGAGGACAAAAAAGGAAAGAAAAAGATGATGCATCATCCGTGAATCGAACACGGGCCTCATCGATGGCAACGATGAATTCTACCACTAGACCAATGATGCTACTCTATGCTAATCAATATCCAATTATGACATTATGTTCAAATATACTATACGTAGATATAAATATAGATATTAGCAGGTTAAACGATTGAAACCTATTAATAGATACATCATCGCAATTCGCAAGCATCCAATCCAATCCAATCCAACCACTTCCATCCGGGTAAGAGAGGTAGTAAGTAAGTAAGTAAGGAAAGGGAATTCGATCATCCCGGACGATTCACCAGCCACTACCACCACCAAGTCGACTGAAAAGCAAAAAGGACCAAGTTGTAATTATGTTATGTTATGTGATGTGATGATTATATGAGAGGGACCAGTCCCTACCCATCCCATGAAAATCAGCATTGGTTCCAAACCCCAAGAATACTGTATGCAGTATCTAAGGAAGGGCATGTAGGGAAGGGGTGTGGTGTGCGTGCTCACCTCTGGAGATAGATATTGGATCCATTTACATTTAAATGTGGAATCCCAGACCGGCCTTAGCGGCGGCCTCGGCCTCAGCCTGGGCGTTGGCGTTGACTCCGAATCCGATGCCCCAGGCCTCGGCCTCAGCCTCGGGGGCGGCCGCGGGGTTGGCGGCGGCGAAGGCAGCCAGGAAGGCGGTGGCGAAGAGGGAGAAGTAGGTGAACTGCATTTTGGTGGTTGGGGGTTTTTTTTTCTGTGTTTTGTTGTTAGTTTTGGTGTTGGTGTTGGTGGTTGTGATTGTTTGTGAGGGTTTGTGATGGGTTTGTTTTTGAGGATGGATGGGTATGACTGGGGAGGGGGGGGATGGAGATGGATGTACCCTGAAGGAATAAAGATTAAAGAATGGAGTGAAAGATTGGGATTGGAGATTGAATGCGATGCGATGCGATGCTTGCTGGATAAGAAAAAAAAAACGATGATTTGGGGAGGAGGTTTGGAGGGTTTTATATCTTTCCCACCCCCCAATCCCTCTTGTCCGTATGTCTGTATGAGTATGTTCGTGCTACTCGTTGCTGGAATCGGTTATCTGACCCGATTCCGAGGTGTTGAACTGATTTCCTGATTCTTGGTTCTCGTGTGGATTGGATTGGATAGGGGGGGGGGGGAAGGGTTGTGTGTTTGGGTGTTTGGGTGTTTGGGTGTTTGGGTGTTTGGGTTCTGAATCTGATACCGCGGACTGGAGTTTATTTCCGCATCTTGAAAAGCGGGAGGATGGGGATCTACAGTCTACTGGATTTTTTCACTTGCGCACTACAACGGAGTACAGAGTAGTATTGCATAGATACTGCGGAGGAAGGGGGTCGAGACTGGGGTCTAGCTCGGTGTGTTTGGGTCGTGTTTTGTTTGGGTTGGTGGTTTGGTTCGTGTAATTGATCGACTCAAATTTGGGAACCCGCAAGAAGAGGCCCGCCATCCCTTCCCATCCCATCCTATCGCTTGCAGAATCCGCATTTTAAGTACCTCAACGGAACTCATTAATATAATTAGATAGTGGATGGTTTCTGCTGATTATTGCGAGCTTTTAGCCGACAACCACTTTACCGGTACTTATCGATCTATAATTGTCTGATTCATCGAAGGGATCGACCTGCAACCGCCGTCGCCTCAGGCTCCGATCCGGTCGTTGCCGACGAACCAGACCAGCCAGACCAGCCCTAAGCAGCACCAGCACCCGCCCGTGCCGATCGAATCTGGGGGTGTCCCGGTTCCGGTTCCTGATGCTGAAACGTGCATCTTCTATTTTTGCTATACTATACCCCTGTGTTCTTTTTTTACGCGAACTTGTGTTTGGAACCGAACGGTGGGTTTGCTATCGGGATGATTTCTCCGAAATTCAGGCACGGCCGCGGGATAGCACATCTCACTATCTATCATTAACAAGATCGCGATGTCTTCTTTTTCGAGGGTAGTCACTGATAGGGGAGGTTGTGACTGCATTAGATCAAGCCATGCCGTTATGAGATGGAATGGCGATGATTATCACATGCATAGGCAGGCATTAGTTAGCTGACCTTCCTATCTCTGCGGTCTGGGCATGGAGATTCCATGTCGGTAGGTGTTGACCTACCGCTCCGATCCCCGAAAGTCAATCATCTACATCCCCGACACTCCTCCTGTGATCGTCTCGGTGACAAACTCACGCAGGTGCGATTGTCTCGAAATCGCGACGGTCAGGAGAGCGGCTCGGGTCGTATGCGTGACTTGACTTGACTTGACTCAGGTACATGTCCTGGAACTGGAATTGGCACCTCGACTGGGTTTGGCTTTGAGGATTATCATGTGTCAGTGTCTTGTCGTGTCTGGACTCGGGGATTTGGACGATCGTGCCGAGGTTGTTGGGTGGCATGGTGAATCAGATAGGGAGTGTGTTTTGTGCGTCTGTTTGTGTTCATTAGGTATACTAATTATCAAGGAGATAGTTGAAGGTGGTCTTTGTTTTGAGTTGGGTTCGTAAGGGCTGGCTATCTGGTGGGTGGTTGGCTTTTGTTTCTGTGCGATTTTGTAGTGCCAGTTGCAGGCCTTGAGTTGTTTAATAGGGTCTTCTTACTTCATCTTGGAGTATTCTGGGTGTCGTTGGATTCTATTTCGACGTCCTGGTTGTGTGGTTGTTGAATAGATACTCTTCGCATTCATTTTTTTCTAGTCGCAGTCTGTCATACCTGTATCACATTTTGTGGAGAATGGAACATCCGCACTCTTTGGATTGATTCTCTCAAAGATGCATCTCGTCGAACCTTTGCGAGTATCGTTCTTCCCGTTGCACTCTTGACGCATCTTTCCTGTCTTTGTTTCCGGGAAGGAATTTGGTCTTGAAATGATCGGGTTAGCCCCCTCTGCTGTGTAATCAACACCTTGAAGCTTCTGGTGCCAGAAGGGTAGATAATTATAGATGCTGGATCGCACCATCGCCCCGGTCCGTGTCTGGACGCTGTTAGTCATGCGGTTTCCTTGGAATATGGGGACAATTAACCATACCACCAAGGGTTGTATACTTGTCCAAGCGGCTCTTCAGGTCCTTTGATCCCATGTCGGGAATGGTAGTAATCTCCACAACATGGATGATTCACAGATATGTCGGACGATGGGGTCGAAGAATAATCCTCGAGGGTTGATTCAGTTAACCCTGGCTTACTGGAGCACGGGTTGAGTTTCTAACCCTCGGGGAGAATCGTGCTCACCGGCTGGGATGTGGACGGTGGGACATGAAGCATTGTGTTGTGATGAGGAATTCCAGGTGCCATATCAGCCTTCGTGTGTGTGGGACTTTGAGAGAAAATGTTGCTTGTTGGTACCCAACAGCTTGTATATATTGTCATTCTTTTATAGAATAGAGGCTCGCTGAACCCAGTCTGCATGGTTTTATTACCCAGCAGATTGAGGAACATTGCATCCGCGACAATAGTTAGATTGGAGCATAACCACTCGGCTGTAAGGCGTTCAGATACCAGGATAGGTGCGATAGTGATACACGGTTTGACAGTTGGTGTACCACGGGAAGAACCCGTCCCCTTGGCCCCTTGGGACTGTATCTCTCATCAACATATAAAGGGCACGACAACTCGTATGACTCACCCAGAATTAATACTCCAGTATTTCCAAGACAGCCTGCAAGTCCACAACATTCACCCTTATTATCGCCCTTCTGGCCGGAGCAAGTGAAATGGAGTACTTGGAGAAGAGTGCTTCAGTAATGGGTAGGATTGCGTACGGTTGTATTCAAATGTCTCCTTTTCTGGAGAGAGGGGAAACGATGGGAACTCTTCATGTTGTTTAGTCGGCGTGGTGCAAGCCGAGTGGCCTCAGGCTTCTCAGCTCGACGCGTCCACGTGCTCGCGGCGTCTATACCTCCATTGTCTGACCTCCACTTCATTCCCTCGCTGAATCCTTCCTTCATCTCCCCCACCCTCTTCTTTGCGCCTACCTCTCGGTCAAATTGAGCTATGGATGTAAATTTGGCTCGCCCTCCGAATAGTCCTGCGAATCCAGAGGACATCTGGTTTGTACCACTCAAAGATTCACTAGTTGTCCAAGCTTCTCTAAGCCTTTCTGACAAACTATTGGACTTGGCTGATGTGCACCAGCTATAACAGAATCTTCTCCGAGGAAATCTCGTCCATGACAGCCTATCCGCGACCACCTGTCTCCTCGGACCTCTTCTGATGTGACGAAATCGATGTGATCGCAGGCGGAGGCGTCTGCGTGCCTCGGACAAGGTGGGTCAAAACAAAAGTGAGGACACAAGAACCGGAGCCGATCGCTCGCACCGGACCAATGATCGTCGATCGTACACACGCTTCTTTGACCGACTAGTGACTTCCTTCATTGCATATTCCCGACCCAGTTGGTTATTCTGCAGACTTCAGAAACGTGGCCGTCTCGTCAGCTGGACATGGAGACTAGAGATAGCAGGCAGTGTCAGCACCTCGGACGATAAGCAGTCTAGCGCCTCGTGGAGGCAATAGCGTGAGATTATGCAGTGCGCTAATGCAACATATCGGCTTTACTCACTATGATATAATCCTGCTTATCAAGAGTGCGAGGTCCGATCATCCATAGGGCTGTTGCTTTTTGGTTCTCGAGCTTCCATGCTTGGACTATTGACGCATCTATGCCACTACTGCATCCTCAGCTGCGGTGTGCTTCCGCCTCACCGGGTGCAGACGTGTTTTCCCGCGTCTGCGGATCTGAAACGAGCTACCCTGCCTCTTCACGGAGCATCCTCGTCTTGTATGAGTAGATACCTTGCAAATGGTCCGACTTGGATGGTTCTTCAATCATTATGGACATCACTTGGTTCATCGAAGCACTGGAGTCATTTGCAAGTTTTATCCCTATTTCCGATGCGAAACTGTCATGCCATCTTTCAGTCAGCCACTTGTATTCACCGCTATAATACCCATGCATCTCGGAACTAGCTGCATATATAGCCCCAGATTCCCTGTTTCCAGGGTAGCTTCGACAGTGCTTCCGTGCTAATGAAGAACCCCATTGGATAGTCCGTTCCGCGGTATTTGCTGCAGCTGGCACCTCGCCAATGCCGATGCAAGGCCTGCCGACTATCGCCCTCAGCTGCTAGTCTGCCTGTGCTCTTCGCTCAGGGTGCATACTATCCCTCGTGGCATGGTGCCGTCACTCGATTTCTCGATTGCCTTTCCCGATTTGCTGGATCAGATCGCACACCCTTCTTTGCTGACGGCCCCCAAACCGTGTATAAGTACAGCTTGTGCAACTCAATCCTATTAACTTGGACTCAAGCCGGTATGTCTAGCCCAGCCCCTGAACATACTCAGTCCCGCAAGCGCCCCGGCGCTGCATGCGTCGAATGTCGTCGTCGCAAAATGCGCTGTGATGGAAAGCAGCCGCAATGTGAGAACTGCGTCAATTCGGGGGTAGAATGCATTTTCAGCCCCTCCAACACACGAAGAGGACCCAAGAAAGGCCACCTAAAAAGCCTGCAAATCCGCATCAGTGAGTCGTTCTCCTTCCCACCAGCCCATGCTCATCGAGGACAGCGAATCTCGAAAACCGACTGCTGGAACAGAGACATGACCATTCAACCGCCACGGGTGGTACTACCTCTGTGCAACCATTCTCGCATGGGTACGATGGGAGGTCAGAGTTAAACGTGCTTCCCCACGAGTTCCACGTTCCGGGAGCGATCCCCGGGCCATCCGCAGCGACGATCCCCGTCTCGGACTTACTACATGCCGAACTGTAGGTTTCGCATTGACACGGCCTGTCTGCCTTTGCTGAATGAGTCAGTGACCAGCTTTACTTCGATCGCGTACATGACTTTGTTCCAGTTGTCCACAGACATCGCTACTTGTCTTGGACTAAGGATGCCGACAAGCACTTGTCGAGACGGTCTCTGCAATATGCAATGTGGTCCATGGCCGCGTCGATGTCCACCCAGCTAGACCACTTGTGCGACCCGCTCTACCGATCTGCACGCGGGCTCCTGGAGGCTTCAGGCTTAACAGACGATCCAGCGCTCCACGATACTGAACATGTTCAAGCATTGCTGGTGCTTTCGATCTACGAATTCACCCGTCACACCTTTCGTCGCGGGTGGATCAGCGCCGGACAATGCTTTCGACTGGTGCAGTTGATGAATTGGCATAGAATTGACACCAATCTCGAGGCTGTTCCGCTTCAACCTGACGAGCTTATTTGCATGGAAGAAAAACGTCGCGTGTTCTGGATGGCGTACGTTCTAGACCGTTTTGTTTGCACCCGCCTGGAGAACCCGTTAACCTTCGATGAAAGAATTGTATGTTTCTTGAATGTCGCTGCTTCGCCGCTGACCCCGACAGATTACAACGCGACTGCCTGCCACGGAAAATGCCTTCCTGACGGGCCAACTGAGCCAGCCCACGGGGTTTCTTCCGGAAATCATCGCCGCAGGCGACTCGGTACCCCGGACATGGCTGACGGAGTGCATCGTCCTCGCGGCGCTGTGCGGGCAGATATTTTCGCACAAGCAGCAAACGACCGTGGAGCAAGTCCTCTGCGGCGTTTCGAGCGGATTTTGGCAGCGACATCAGTGGCTAGAAGCTCTCTTAGTCAAAAAGTCCCAGATCATCTCCGCCGCCCAGCTGTTAATACCCGCGGGGCCTATCGATCCGATGCTGCTGTTTCTCAACCTCGTGGCGCATTCGAATTTGCTCTACCACTGCACAGCAGTGGATTCTGTCAGCCCTACCGACAGCGACGTGGTCCTAGGTTATCAACAGCGCGCGTGGATCTCTGCGCAGGAGATTGTCCGACTGACGAGGATGGTGTCAGAGCTAAATCATTTCGAAGTAAGTTGTCCTCTTGTGCTACTGCAGTTGTACTAAATGCAGCAGATCCATCCGTTCACGCCGCTTCCCATCATGCTCTGCGCCAAGTTCTTCATGACGCATCCAAACATGGATATCTCCTCTCCCTTGCAGCTGCAGGAAGTACTCGGCACGTTGCAGCGCTTGGCTGAGACCAACTATCTCTCCCGGGACTGCTTATCCAGGTGTGTTGACGTTTGATGCAAAATGACTGGAGCAACTGTTAGATATATAAATCTGATTACGTTAGCATTCTGGTATATGATGGATGACTATCACAATGAGCTCGATAATAGTTCGGAAGGAACAGCCGAAGTAGGCCAGCCGGCATGGTTTGGGTTCGACCAGCTGCCGTAGGCAGGCTCACCCGCCTATAATATACCCTGTATACCTCAGTCCGGTAGATGAGGCCGGCGACTGCCGGGGGGTGGGGTGATAGTTTAGCCGCGGGAAGCAGACGCGGCAAGTTCGCTCCTTATCAGATCAACTTTAATAAGGCTTGGTCGGATCCACTCCTCTTTCTTCGTCAGTCAACCTCATGGCGGACAGGGCAGAGATCGAACTGGCCGACCGGGCAGAGTCTGTGGTCGAGATACCCCAGACGTCCCCAAAGCCCGAAGATACACGCCAGGAGAATGACACGAATGACACAAATGACACGGTCGGAGATGTTTATTCCCAATGGTAAGACGCACCCCACACATGCGACCCTGCTGACAGCGAAGGCACTATGTCTCCATCGTGGCCGCCGCCTTCGTGGTCATGATCACCACCTGCGCGTTTGTCTTCTCCTTCGGGGTCTACCAGTCGCTCTACGAAGAGATGGCCAGCGAACAGGGCACCCCGTTTACGGGGAGTAGCACCGCACTCATCGACCTGATCGGCACGCTGGCCATCGCCCTCATGTCCATGGCGGGCCCATTTGCCATGTCCTGGGCGAAGCTCTTCTCCCCACAAGCCGTCATCATCGCCGGTGGCTGGGTGTTCGGGATTGCGTACATCCTGGCCAGTTTCAGCAAGGCCCTGTGGCACTTCGCCCTGACGCAGGGTCTCCTACTCGGCATCGGGTGCTGCATGGCCTACGTGCCGACGATGGCGGTCGCGCCGACCTGGTTCAGCAAGCGCCGCGGACTCGCCATGGGGCTCATCATCTCTGGCACAGGAGTCGGGGGAATGATCTGGCCACCCGCCCTGCGAGCGATGATCTCGCATGTGGGATTCCGCAACACGCTGCGCATCTCAGGCTGCATCTCACTCACCGCCACAACCGCTGCGGGCGCCATCCTCCGCTGGGAGCCCAAGTTCCACGAACAGGTCAAGCTGCAAACAGCCGGGTCGTCGCGGAACCAACCAAAATGGACGCGTCTTTTCTCCGTCCCGCTGGTCAACTGGCGCGTCGCCCGCTCCCGACGGTTCACTGCACAGGCGCTGGGCTGTTTCCTGCAGTCGGCGGGATACTCGACGCCGCTGCTGTTCTATGCCACCTACGCCCAAGCCTTGGGGTACAGCGTGACGACCGCCGCCAACTTCATCACGCTCAGCAACGCGTCCAACTTCGTCTCACGCATCATCATCGGCTACGCGGCTGACCGGCTCGGTCGCGTCAACGCCCTCGCCGTGACGACAATGTTCAGCGCTGTCGCCGTCTTCGCCTTCTGGCTGCCGTCCTCGCTGGCTCCGAGTGCCGCCGCGCATGGGCTCTTCATCGTGTTTACTATCCTGTATGGCGCGTTCGCGAGCGCGTACATCTCCCTCTTTCCCGCGACGCTGGTGGAGTTGTTCGGCGTGCAGCATTTTACCAGTGTCAATGGCGCGCTGTATCTGGTGCGTGGAATCGGCGCGCTGCTGGGCGCGCCGCTGACAGGGCTGTTGATCCCAGGGAGGACGGCGCTGACGGATTCGCGGACGTACGAGCGCGCAGCGATCACGGTGGGGGTTTTGTTGTTTGCGGCGACGGTGGCGTGTTTCTGGGTGAGGATGGAGGTGCGGGGGAAGTGGAAGGTGTGAGCTGCTGCTGCTGCTGCTGGCCAGCTAGTGCAGCTGGGCTGGGATGGTGGCCGAGGACCTGCATGGTCGAAATCAAAAAAAAAAAGGTGACAAAGAATATAAGTCACCTTAATCAAGGATAGCATTAGCATCAATCATCAGAGAATATAATACAGGCCATTATGTATTATGCATCGATTCAATCTCCCATCCATACATAGATCCATCCATCCATCCATCCATCCATCCATCCATCCATCCATCCATCCATCCATTTATCGATATATCCCCTTCAATACCAGCCATCTCATCAATATCCACAGTCCCTCCAATGTCATCCCCCCATGAACATCAACATCAGCACCCCTCCTCCCCCATTCAAACTTCCACTGTCACATCCATATCAATCTAAAACCCCCCACGAGGCCCGCCAAGACCAACAACCCCAACACGCCCAGTCCCGCCTTCGAAACCTTCACATCCGTCCCCATCGACTTCTTCGTCTCGGTCGAAGTAGCCGAACTCCCCGTCTTCGTGCCCGTACTCGTCGAACTGGACCCGGACACCTTGGCCGTAGCCGTGGCGGTCAGATTGCCCGAGCAGAATGCCTCCGTCACGGCGCCGTTGGTCTGCAGACAGCTGAGCAGGTCCTTGACGGACTGCTTCTCGGCCAGACAGTACAGGCCGCAGTCGTTGTCGTATTTGGTGACCGGGGCGGGGTTGCAGCAGGTGGACATCACGCTGCTGAAGTTGCCGCTGTTGGGGAGGGCGCAGGCGGCGTCTTGGATCGGGAGGACGTAGCGCGTTGTGGTGCAGGTGGGGGTGCTGGCTGTTGCGGTTGTGGTGGTGGACATTTTGGTGGTTGTGGATTTGGGGGTTGGTTGGTTGGTTGGTCAGGAGAGGAGGTAGAGGTAGACGAGGTAGAGAGGATGAATGTGTGTAGATGATGCTGGTAGCTTATGCTGGTAGCTGGTCGTCGGTAGTTGGAGGATGAAGATGGAAGAAGGAAGAGGTAAGTAAGTGTAGTAAAGCAAAAGCAAAAGCAAAAGCAAAACCAGAAGAAGAGAGAAAGAAAGAAAGAAAGAAAAAGACAGCCAGCCAGGCAACCCATAAATACCCCCCACCCCCAACCCCGTACTACTTTACTTACTGTACCACGCCACACCACCAGTCACCTCACCTCACCTCATCTCACCCCCCGTGAAATCAACAAACACAAACAAAACCTGAGACAAAGCACCTGTACCAAAATGGTCCCAGTGGTGCCAGTGGAGCAAAAAAAGACCCTTGGCGGTCGGTACTGCCCCACCCGTCCCAAAAATATCCCGGGCGCGCGGGGTACCATTGGCCGGCGGCACGCAGGGTCTGCCAATCAGGGTGGGGAAGGGAGTGGGATCGATGCCGGGGTTGCTTTTTTGAGAAGCGGGCTGGGCTGGAGCGTGGTGTGTTTTTGTTTGTGTTGGGAGCGGTCTGACTAGTTAGACTAGTCATGGTTTGTTATTACTGGTAGATAGGATGGAGGGGTGGTTTCTGGTTTTTGGATGATTACCTTCCTGCTTTAATTGGGTGTGGGTATGGATGTGAGTATGGATGAATGGATGGATGGGAATGGGGATTGGGTGTGTGGGATGAGTGCTTTTGTGCTGTAGTAAGTACTAGTTGGGTGGTCGGGTAGCTAGCTGCGTAGGTAGGTAGGTAGCTTTTTGGTGACAGCATAGTGCACAGTACTACCATAGTACTCTGTACTACCTGAGTGATTAAATGGTAGTAGTGCTCCGTAATACTCCGTAGCTACAAAGTATAAGTGGCAGGTAGTACTCCGTACAAAGGAAGGTAAAAGACACAGTGTGATTAGTCCTCTTGATCATCGCATAATTGAAAATCGCACTCCGCAGCTGCATACATAGTAGGATTTAAGGTCCGGCTAACAGCTCACATCAATCCTCCCGCTCTCAGCCCTACACCATCCACCCTCCATCCATACTACCACTAATCAACCATCATCTCTCCATTCCCTTCCCCTTGATCTCTCTCTCCATCCCCTCCTCAACCAACCCCCCAAAACCCCCTCCACCCCCTCTCTTTCTCCCTCATCCCCCCATTCCCCACCCTCTCCCAATTCCCCCAAGCCCCCATCCCCATCCCCATCATCCCCAGCCGTAACCCCACCACCTCATTCGCATGACAATCCGAAAACACAGGTCCCTGCCACCCTCTCTCCCGACACGTCCTTACCGCCGCCTTCAACAGATCGTGCCCAAATCCCAGTCCGCGGACACGTTGCTCGACTGTCCATGCGTGGATGATCCCCACTGGGGCAGCGGAGAATGTGTATTGTGCTTGTTGGGTGGGGGAGCGGATGTGTCTGGTTAAGGCATGGGAGTTGGAGGGGGAGGGGGGAGAGCGTGGAGGAGTAGGACGCCGAGGAGGTGGGTTTTGTGGGTGAGGGCGAGGGTGAGGGTCAGGGTGAGGGTGGGGAGTTCTTCTTTCCGTTGTTCATTTTTGGTATGGGTTTGTAACTTGGATTCGGATTCGGATTCGTACTCGGGGGAGTCATGATCTGCATCTGGACATAATCAAGCGTTAGCATACCATCCTGATTCTAATCCCCACCACGATACCTCTCCAGACTTGACTCCATAAACCACTCCACCAAACTGAAAAAATCATATACAACATACCGGCACATTCCCCCCGTCCCTACCCCACAAAACGCCCCTCACATCCTCCATCCTCCCCATATACACCTCCGTCGCGTACCTCACCGCAAGCAATAGCACCGCCACGCACGCCGGCCAAACGCCCAGACCCAACGATATCCAGTCCACTGGCTTCGGGGCCAGCAGGTAGGTGAGACTGAATGCCTGGATGAGGGCGAGAAGCGTGGACGGGTGCGTGAGGATGGCGGTGGCGGCGAGCTGGCGTTGTTGGGAGATGCTGGTTGCGATGAGGTGGGTTATTTGGGGGGGAGGGGAGGGTTCTCTGCGGTTTTTGTGGGGGTTTCGGTGAGGGTTATTGTGGGGAGTTGGTGTTGGTGTTGTTTGAGGGGGTGGAGAGGGGGGAGGTTTGGTTGTGGTGGTGGTTTTTGTTGTTGGCATGGTGGATTGTGGGTTGTGTGGAGTAGACTGCTTGGATAGATGGTGTGGATGTGTAGATAGGATAGGCGTCTTGGTGCTGGGTTTGAGGGTGCGTGGTGGGGTTGGAGTGTGGAGTGGGAGGGAAGTAGATGGTGGAGGGTGAAGGTGGAGGGAGGTGGAGGGAGGTGGAGGCAGATGAAAACATACTGACGCGGTTCCATGGATACTGTGTTGATGACTTTTGTACTACCTCGATTCAGGCACTCATTCATGTGGATTGGCCTTGGATAATTCCATTAAACTGATTGAACTAATTGCAACGATTGAACTACTCCACTAACTCATACATTATCGATCGGACGTTGAATATCCCCAGTCTCCCCTCCTCTTCTTCATCTTCTCGGCATTATCGCTTACTTTTGACTACTTTTGACTACCTGCGTTCTATTCACTATTCGGTCCTCTCTCCAGCTCGTGTCTCGACTCCATCGGCTGCATCTCCCGCTCACCAGCCAGATACTCCAGAGTCTGCCGCTTGGTCTCCGGGATCAGCAGCGTCGTCAAGCATCCACACAGCATGAACAGCGCAAAAATCTGCATTACATGCTTGAGCCACGGCGTATCCGACGAGTTGGTCCCCTCCTTTGCTCCGCGATGCGCCAGCGGGCCAAACACGCACTGCGCGATAATGGCCCCGATCTTGCCCGACGCAGCGCTGATCCCATGCGACGTCGACCGATACCGCGTGGGAAAGCATTCTCCGGGGACAATAAAGGTCGTCGCATTGGGCCCGAAGTTGAAGAAGAACTGGGCAATGACGTACAGCGCGAGCAACCCGTTGTCGGACTTCTTCAGCGGCTCATACGCGAACCCGATGACGATGAAGACGATGGTCAGAATCACAAACCCCATCATCTGGATCGGCTTGCGGCCCAGCTTGTCGACTGTGGCCACTGTCACCCAGTATCCCGGGATGGCACCAGCACAGATCAGGATCAGGTTGCCCACGGCGTTGCGGTAGAAGTACTCGTACACGTTGCTTCCGCCGTTCCAGCCGATCGCGGAGAGAATGATCGAGTTGTTGAGTCCAAGACCGTAGAAGGCTACCCAGTCAGCGCGGTAAAGAATGGGGCAAGATACTAACCAACATCAAGGAAGAACCACGATCCCGCCGTCCCCAGCAGCATCTTCCCGTGCTTCCAGGTCAAGTAGTGGGACCAAAAGTCCGACCAGCTCGCCTTGGGGGTCAGGAAGTTGATATCCGTGCTTTTGAGCACGGCAACCCGCTTCACCTCGTCTGGATGTCCCTCATGCTTTCCCAGAATGTATGCCTCCACGTCTTCGTCTCCCTTGAGCAGGTCTCTGGCGACGTCGAAGGTGAAACGCGGGGTCTCGGGGATGGTCAGACGGTAGTACAGCGCAATACACGCCGGCACCGCGCCGAACCCGATGACGATGCGCCACATCTTGTCCACAGCCAGCTGACAGACCCCGCTGCAGTTTGCCACCGTTTTCGCCGACTCCAGGGAGCCCTTGAACCCGACGGTCGCAATCAGAGCCACGATGGCAGCCGCAAACTGTCCGAATCCCTGCATGGCGAACACGGCACCCATCATGGCCCCTCTGTGTTTGGTTGTTGCGAACCTAGACTGTCAGACTTGACTGTTTGAACACCGGCGAAACTTACTCCGAAGTAATAATCGACGACAGCGGGTAGTCACCCCCAATCCCGACGCCCATGATGGTGCGCCAGAACACGAGCAGGCCGGTAATCGACACGGCAGGAGAGTTAGACGCCAGCGACTGTGCCAGTGTAGCCAGGATGATGATGATCAGCTCAATCCCGTACATGCGCTTGCGACCGACAATATCCGCCAGCCAGCCGAAGAACAGCTGTCCGATGACGGTTCCCGCGGAGGTGGACACCTTGATGGCCGTGTCAGAGCTGTATGGCACCTTGCCGGGCCGGACGGCCGCCTCCTGCCAGTAGACCACGCCCAGCATGCTGGAGCAAAGGTTGATGGCGAAGATATCGTATGAGTCGGTGAAGAAGCCCACGCCGGCTACGACGATGGCCCGGGCGTGGCGCCATCCGAAGGGAGCGTTGTCGATGCGTTCGAGGGCGCGACGGCGGCGCTCGTTGGGATCCTCCACGTGAGAGAGGTCGATGGTGTAGTTGGAGACCGCGGGGTCGCCTGGGGCTGCCATGGCGGGTGTGACGCGGGAGGGAGGAGTTGATCTGTGTAGTACGAGGAGAGGTTAGAAGGAGGGAGGGGAGGGAGGTGAAGGCCAGGGGACGGACGAGCAGGAGTCTTTATGCAGAGACGCTTCGGGATGACGAGCTGTCGAAGCAGGAACTACTCCAGCTGCTGTCATATTTCGAAATGGTGTTCCTGTGGTTTCATGCGAGGGAGACCCAATCATGGGGGTGGATAGGAGGGGCGTGCTGGTTGCGCAGAAGAAAGAGGCAGAACTGATGCCTGCAGGCCACTGGCCAGAGCACGTGGGCCCCTCTGGCCTGAAGTCTCTGGCGACCAGCTGTCATCGGTCAACTTTATTTATCCTCCGCTTGTACCATCTTGCTCTGACATCACTCGGGACCATCCTCCTGTCGGATTGTATATCCCACCCCCCGCATTACTACCGAGGGACAGCTACTGACATCCCCTGTTATCCCAGGAATGACCCCGTTACGCACTTGATCCGGAATCTGATATACCTGGGGTGTGGACAGACGGGGAAGCTTCACGGCCCTTGCTGTCTTCATAGCTGTACCCCACTCTATCGGATTGTCGATGTGGGTGGGGTGGGGTGGAGAGCTTATGCAGATGGTCTAGACGATCCATCTGCACGCCCCAATCCCTTCCAGACGGGCACTTCATCTGATTGGATCTGAACTCTGGTCTGCGAATCACTGAGCTCATCCATGGTGCCCACCTTCCCTTATCAGAATACAGATGGTTTGTGCATACTCGGGCTGCTCCGGTCTGCGGCGATCATGACGGCTGCTCATTCAACCTGATGCAGATATTGCAAGCGAGGTATGGAACCTACCTGGCTAGCCGGTGTCCAGACCCCTTCAAGTGGTCATATTCTGACAGCAGGCACCGTATCATAGCCGGCCTTTTCTCTCCTTATCCACCGTCTGCCCTACTGCTCAGATGCACATGGTTTATCGGGTTATTCATTGACTACCTAGTTCGCAAGTGGTACCGTCCTGAATCCATCCCATTTCGACAAAGCTTCCGTGCAGACCCGCTCATACAACGGCAATCCCCCCACAAAGTTGAGCATCCGTCGCTTCTTCCCCGGAATATTCGCCCCCATATACCACGAGTCCGCCTGGACTAGCAGTGTCGCGCCCGCCATCTCGTCTGCCCGTTTCGTCCATCCCTCTGCAGCTTCCGGTGTGGCTTCGACATATGACAGTCCGCTTGCCCGTATCCTTTTTATGGCGTCAACAATCCATCGCCCCTGCATCTCAATCGACGTGGGTCCGTTGCTGAGCCCTGTCGGGCCGTGCACCCCGTATACGTGGAACATGTTGGGGTATCCGCTGATCGCTAATCCCAGGTATGTCTGCGCACCATCCGTCCATTGCTCCTCCAAAGACTGACCTTCCGTGTTGCGAAGACCCATATTAGTCAATCCCCCAGTCACCGCATCATATCCGGTTGCGAAGGCAACCCCGTCGAGCTCGTGGAAGGCACCGCTGCTCATTGTGATTCCGTGAGGTTTGAATTCCACGATGTGGTCTTCTCGCAGGTTGACCACGTCGACATTGGGCCGGTTGAACACGTCGAAGTAATCCTGCTCTAGGGAGCAGCGTTTCGCCCCGATTGCATGCGGCGGATCCAGGGGCGCCAGGATATCCCGCTTCCGGGGGTCATGAATCCGTGCACGGGTCTTCTTGGCCCAGAAGTCATATACCTCCCGGTTCGCTTGCTCGTCCGTCAGGACATCCATGAACCCTCCCAGAATAAATATAAACCCTCCCTCTGTCCAGTGGGCCTCGAGAATTGCCTCGCGCTCCTCAAGTGTTGCATCACTTGTCCGTCTGGGTATCAGGTCGGGTGTGTACCCACCAAAGGTCCTCTCGCGATCGCGGAAGACGTGCGGATATAAGGCCTTGGCAAGCTTCAGCTCCTCTTCTACACATCTCGCTTGTCGCATCGGCAGCGCCAGATTGGGTGTTCGCTGGAAAACCGTCAAGGAGTCTGCCTGCTTCGCCCACTCCTGGATGATCTGGACCCCGGTGGCGCCCGTGCCGATCACGGCCACCTTCTTCCCTGTGACGCTGACACCCTCCTGAGGCCAACAGGAAGAGTGATAAACGGGCCCCTTGAAGCTATCTAGTCCCGGGAAATCGGGCGTGTATCGCTTCGCTGCAAAGCCCGTGCAGGCCACAAAGAACTGCGACTCGGTGGCTCGCCCATCCTCCGTCTCGATCCGCCACCGTCCCATCCCCCGATCAAACTGCGCCCCCACCACGCGCGTATGAAAGTCCACATCCTTCTTGATCTTGAGCTTCTTCTCGACGTGCGCAAAATACCGGAGTATCTCCTCGCCAGCGGGGTACTTTTCACTCCACGACCAATCCTCCCACACCTCTGGCATGGAAAACTGGTACAGCCAGTTCTCCGAGTCGACCCGCGCCCCGGGATAAACGTTCATCTGCCACGTGCCGCCGAGGTCATCTCCGGCTTCGTATATCCGACACGATAGTCCAAGTTTGCGGAGGTGGTACAGCAGAAAGATGCCCGCAAAGCCAGCCCCGACAATAACGACGTCGTATTGAGCTGTGGCTGCCATGATGTAAGTCGGGTGGATATGGGTATGGTGGGATGGTGCCACAAAGCCAAAGGCTACATGCGGGATGGAGAGGTCGAGAGATGGAGGATCCATCTACTTGTATGCCCTGCTCTGGGAGGCAACACGGCTCTGAGTCTGTGGCCACTCACCGCGTTAGGCAAGACCTACGCCCCTTGACGTATCCGGGTATCAGAGTCGTCGACCTCCAGATCTAATACCAGTCGCCGGAAGTGGACGCTGGAGCGGAGATGAAAGCTTGGTCGTACGTGTGTTTGCCCGACCCGGTGAACTTTATTTGGGGTTCAACCGTGGATGGGATTTTGCCTCTGGGCTCAATAACAGTTGTAACATGGTTCTGTGCACAGACACGAGAGAGTCGGTCAATGATGTTTAATGTCAAGTGGTGAAGGTTCCGGTTGCATTTGTAGAGCGGGCGAGGCGAGGGACGGCTCTGGAATGCCGAGTCTGCCGCACTGCCGTGGTCGGGTTTATGCGGTGGTCTGAAGGTCAGGGTGTCATTGTTATGACGGTTGATCCGATTAATATGGAGAGAGGAATTGATCGAACAAGCTAGGAGTAGAAATGATTGATGTGCAGACAACTCCTACCACCGTGACCCGGAGATACCGCGTAGGATAGTATCAAGTCCTAGGATGATGATATAACTTATAAACTGATTCAGATAATTATTAGAATTTATATTAATCAAAAATTAAATCCTGTTTTATTATTATATTAATTCTTATTCTAATTAATATATTCTCTTTACTAGTTTCCAAAGACTGTATTTTGCCAGAGCCTCATGTGGCAAAATCTACTTTGTCAGTCTAAGAAGCAGCTCAGGATCTTTATATTTATTAACTATATAGAGGACAGCAACCTTCCCCCATCAAGGAAAGATATGAATGAGCTTGTGCGGCACAAGGCTGACCATTGCACTCAGGATAATGAGAGTTTCGACGATCACTATCCAATTGAGAAGCTACTTGTATTATGATTAAGTATTTATTTATCTAGCATTGAGTTGTGCTGCGGTCTGATGATTACTAGTGGCGCCTGCAAATATTTGATTCTATGGCCATAGATGCTGAGAGATATTCAACCTGCGCTCAAACAAACAGTAAAGCGCCTATCAGGTGATTTAATGCAAGGCTGTGAGTGGGAATTCCTTTCTGTCCAGCCACTGATCATCTTATTAAAATCCAGGTGCAAGGGTATGCCGAGTGTCAACTGGGTTCATCCTCAATACTTAACCCCTCTTTACCCCGCCCCAACTCGACACCTCTTTCTTTTCTTTTTGGCAGCAGGATCAAAAATAATTGAGAAGATAGATCACTAGAGTTGAAATTCGGTCAATGATATATGCTTATATTATGAAAGGACCTCTATCTGAATAAAACCTGCTCATCCGAATCATTTCGTCCATGAGTGACCAAAAGGCTCGCGAGAGCTTCGCGTCCATCCTCAGCTACTACCGCCACAATCGGTCCCAAACTGGGTTGATGACCCTGACAGTCAGAGTATCGTCATTGGCTTTCTTAGGGACACACCGACCGACGAACAAGTCGAACAGGCTAAGGAGGAACTAAAAGCTTTAATGGCCATGGAGGAGATTAAGGAAACGCTGTCTAAAACGGAGAAGGATTTGTTGACGGCGGCTTCTCTTTCTAGCCGTGCAAAACGACTGCAGAACAAGAAGGACAAATATGGCGATACCCTTGATTTAGATTTACATATCAACATACATGTTCTGATTATATGACATTCTATGATGATGGATTCATGGAAAGTTTCAATCTCTGTACATAGCCGCTGCTTCTTACGGTTTAGATTGGCATTATTCCGAGACGCCTTCACATGACCAAACAGGCGCAGGTTATAGACATGCCACCTAATGGTACTCTCATTGCAGCCAGCAGCCTTGGCCATCTGGGAGGGGGTGAGTTCGTTACTCATTATCATACCATGGATAAACTCCACGGTTGATGGGGCTGGATTGAGTGCCATCCTGTATTGTTGACCGAGTATGATTAACAAGACCTTTCAAGAGATCTTCGAGTGAACTGAGCGAGGATATCAAGGTGGGGTTACGGAGGTATCTGTTGTATAATTGAAACATATAATGTGAAGCTGTCTTTGTCGTGCCTTTCTTGACCATCCGCCTCTTTTTGGGTGGGCCCGTTAATAACTTACTTCCACCTAACCTCAACGGAGAAAGTGGTCTCATGCTGCCACGTTTGGGAAGACACGTCGCAAACATTCATGCATGCAGTTGGGGAGAAAGACACTGTGGGCGTATGATATATCATCTAATAGCCGCTACCAATCAGTGATCTCTTCTTATCTCTCCTGGGTATGCAAAGATGCCAAGTGAGGCAGCCACTGGTAGTCCAGAGTTACCCTTCTAATTTACGTCAACATTGTCAACAAAGAGCAGGACCGAAATGTTAAGCTTTATTTAAGATAGCCAAGTAGGCCCTACTGAGCCAACACGCGCTCTAAGCTCCACAAGCTATTTATACTTAGGAGGAAATGGAGGATGCCTTTTTCTCCCGTTTTCCAGGCTTCCAGCCTAACCCGTCTCTTTCCACGGTCGAAGAATTTTCTCGTCTAGCACATCATATGAATTGGAGTACTGGTTCTAAGAGATACAGAAAAGAACTGGCCAAATTCGCAAGCACAGAGTTTGCGCATTATTATGAGATCGGCAATAAGCTCCAAAACTACCAAGCTCTCTGTCAGGAACTGCGGCTCGAGGGGCCTTTTGCTAGCGTCACACAGTGCCGAAAGGTATGTTTTCCCTTGTTTTTAGTTATCAGTGGCTTACTTATATTCGCGGACTAAATTATAAAGGCTCTTGCTACAGTGCATATCAATATCTTTGACCTAATTGACTGTCGTCGCACAGGAGCGACCGTTCAAAGATTTCCTAACCAAGTCGCGCTCAAGAAGTACACCAGAGAAACCCAAAAGATATTCCCTAAGCAAGCGGCCAAAGCGGACGGCTTTCTTAAAGAACTACTACGCAAAATCTTCTGATTAGGCACGACTGGCGGTACTAGTCCTTTTTGACCGAATGATAGGAATTTTGCTTCGAGCATACAAGCTTGGGGCATAGTCTGTAGAAAGAAGTTTGAAATGTCCTATGATCTATAAGATATATTAGACAGGGACGTTCTTTGGTTTCGGGGAATGAATTAGCTTGAATGAAGTCCACATGATATTTTCGTGTCTCTACTTCTTAAATCAGCCCTTAGGTGCAAGTGCTATGCAACACCTAGTTTATACTAGAAAGACAGGCCCAGATAATTCAGGAAACTTCAATTTCCAGACGTTCGAGAGCAATTCTGCATAATCGTGGGGATCACCGCGGACGACCAGAGCTCTCCTTACGATAGCTGAAGCACCCGTCGGATTATTACTTTTTGCGCACAATCACCTTCAATAGAATTATTACATAGTGTTGTGTTGAACATAAGCAGAAGCTAATTCCAACTATAAAACCCCAAACCCCAATCCCCAATCCCAATCCCACAAACCAACCCCCCGAAATAACCCCAGAACCCCAAGAATACAAACCACAATCCCAATCCCACCACCCAAATGCCACAACCCCCCGGAAGAATGGCTATGACATACGTGCCACCAATCTTCCCCTATATATCAAAGAACCGTGGCCGCCTTCAACACCTTGTCTCGATGGTGTAGTTGGTTATCACGTGGGTCTCATACGAAAGTGTGACGTGGAAGATTAAAACTTCCCCGATATCCCAAGGCCGGGAGTTCGAACCTCCCTCGGGACATTTCTTTTTCTTCCTTTTCTTTTTGGAGAAAGATTTTGTGTTCAGTGGATGGGTGGATGGATAGGGGAGAGTAGTGGTCGGCTTATCTGTCTAATTATTTTTTCCTTTTTATTTTCATTTTGTGTACTGCTTTTGTCGACTGGTTTGCTGGTGAGGGTGCAAAGGGGAGGGAGGGGGGGGGGGGGCACTGTAAATGCAGTGCGCGGCTAGCTGGGTAGATAGGGTGTAGATAGGTCGGTAGGACAGGACAGGATAGGACAGGACAGAAGGTCAGGCAGTCTTGCGTAGTACTACTATCTATATCTATTGATTGATTGATTAATTGATTCACTGACCCCTGCTAGTATTCAGGTGGTACATATATTGATGCAAAGTGTACATGTGTAACTACGCAGCATAGCAAATCCTCAGGATTCCTTTATCCTGGTTTCTTATTTCTAGCTATTTTATTTACACCATACCATCGTTCTTCCCCGAAATCAACCCTTCCACCAGTTTAGTATGTACAACGCCTTGAGAATATCAGCCAATGAATGGCAAGAATGCAGCAGATACAACCACATCCACAACCATGCACAGCAAAAAAAGGTAAAAGAAAGGAAGAGATGAAAAGAAGCAAAAAATAAAAAAATAAAAAAAGGAAATAAGGAAAAACAAGGAAAAAAGGTAAACAAAACCATAGCACCCCCCCTCCCCCCCCCCAAAAACGGGTATCAATTAAACACATCTATCCAACCATCCAGCATCCATGCATCTATTCAACCCCAACCCAACTCAAACTCAGCAACCAAACCAAAGAAGCCCAAGGAAAAGAAAACCAAATAAAAGGAAGAAAAATGAATAAAACAAAATCTAAAGTTCTTGAATTCTAAACACATGCTTTTATACCACCACAAGCACAATCACAATCACGCCCACCCGTGCTTCATCTTCCAGCGCATAAACGCGGCAGCGAGGGGAAACAGCGCGATGGAGAAGGCGATCCACGCGAACAAGATGCCGAAGTCGAGGCCGATGCGGGAGTGTTTGTCGAAGAGAATGGTGCGGAGGGCTTCGACGACTTTACGCACATTGTTAGTATTATTATTACAATTATTCGGGGCGTCTGTTCGGGTTGGGCGTATGACACGGGGACAGGGGGGTGGGAATGGTAGAGGGACGGGTATAACCAAAGGAAACAAACGAGGGAACATACTCCTATGCAACGGCCAAGCATACCCCCAAGCAAAGAACCCCGGGGCGAGATCAAGGGCGTAAAAACCGGTGGCTACATTGGTGATAACCCAGAAGATAAGGAACAGCGCACTCCAGGGAAAGCCCAGAATCATGGCCATATTCTCGCAGGGAAAGCCGAGCGCGGACATGCCGACCCAGTTGAGCATCCAGAAGACGAAGAAGGAGGCGTGGCCGTAGGCGTTGGGGTTGTCGGCGGGCTGGGTGTCCGGGGCGGAGGGGTTGTCGAAGGGGATCTGGAAGGCGAGGGAGACGAAGGAGTAGAAGAGGGAGAGGAAGAAGTAGGTGGCGATGTTGGAGAGGATGCGCCAGAGGAGCCACTGGGGGATTTTGAGCGGGGGGTGGTTGCCCTTGATGAGCTGGACGTGGATGGGCATCATGAAGGGGGTGTTGAAGAAGGCGAGGATGATGAGGTAGATCAGGCCGATGGAGACTGCGGGCGTGATGACGGGGGGGCCGAAGGGGCGGAGGTCGATTGTTGTGAACCCGATGGCTGGGTTGATGGCCTGCGGTACGGCGGTGAAGTTGAGGCCTTCGCTGGCGACGGTCTGCACCCAGAGTGGCCCGAAGTAGGAGCGCACGGCGAGGTCGAACTCGCTCAGGAACGGGATGATGTAGTTGTAGTAGGAGGTGTCGTCGCGCGCGCTGATGATGATGAACTCGGCGGCGCCGAGAGGGTCGTATGAGGAGTTGCCGGTGGTGACGGCGTCGCGGAGGAGGGCGGTCGCGTTGGCGTTGATGATGATGGCGCCGTAGGCGTGCTCGTCGTAGACGCTTTGGCGCACAGCCCAGGGGTCGTTGTTGAAGTCGGCTGGGGTCCTGATCGTGTATCCGAGGTTGGGGGTGCCGGAACTTAGGGTCTGGTTGACGACCTCCACGACAGCCGGGCCCACGATCGGAGTCGTGTTCCGATAGGGTTCCAGCTGGGCGTCAAAGTCGACAACCCAGATTTTCAGTGCGGGCATGTTCTGGTTCACGCGGGACTGGACCGCCCAGAACAGGGAGAGTATAGCAAGGATGAAGGTGCAGAGGATCAGCACTGCTGGTCAGTTAGCATGGTATCGATATCAGAGGGATTTCACTGACCAGTCCGTCCCCATTGGATAAATACGCCGCGACGGACTGCACTGAGCGAGGGATCAAAGAATGAGACGGCAGTTGGAGGAGGCGCCTCGGGCTTATCCCCGGCCTCAGCCATGTGTAGCGTGTCGGAGCTCATGCTGGACTCGTGTGGATGGAAGTAGGAAGTGGCACGAGGTTGTAGAGACGGGACAAAGAGGTCATGCCACCGACACGAGATGGCTTCGAGGACGACGGATGGATTTAAAGCCCCTGATGTCTGCCCTGGTGGCGCCGATGTCCCTTTTCCTTTTTCACCCTGGCATTTGCATCGCGATGGGAGCCGGCAGTGGCTCGCCCGGGGAATTCACCAGATGCGGCAATCGGGCTTAACTCCGAGTGGTTCGCGCTCGCCAACGCCATTTCGGGCTGTTCGGAGACCGACTGAACTCTGACGACAGTCTTGGCTTGGGTCAGGCTCATCCGCATTTCCGGCTATACCTTTAAGAGTATGGGAATCGTTCTGGTCGATCCATGGATGTCTTAACTTGAGGCCATCTTATCCGATTCGACGCCGGTTACCTCTCGTCGTGTCTTAGTTACATATAGATAAGCAACGCCTCGGACGCGCGAACATTGAAGGTCGCTTCTCCTGCTGCGACGTTGGTGGTTTCTGTGTCTTTGGTGCCCTCCAATGCACATGTTCCGTTCGCAAATGTCTGCCCCGCCACCGTGATCGTCCCCCCTCCTCCGATCGTCGTCGCCGCCTCTCCAGTCAACCGGATCGCAGACACCATCGAGGAGCTGATGCCGCTCAGAGTGACGTTCACACTGCTCCGTGTGCCTGAAGTGTAGTATTCGGAGTTGTACAGCAGCACACGTGCGGGCTGCTCATCACTGTCGTAGATGGCGTATGCTGCGAACCGGGTATCTCCTGCGTCGAGCTCTGCGATCTTGGAGGCACCAGAAAGGGCTAGGGCAGCCGTATAGGCCCCATAAAATGGAGCGTTCACGGCCTCTTCCCACCAACAGTACGGGCCTAGTGAACGGTTACCTCCTGATCAGCAGCAAAAGCAAAATACTTACAGTCACCGATGGTCCCTTGGTGGAAGAAGAGTTGCTAAGCCCGATTAGAAGGACTGATCCGGGGTAGTGTGTGATTGTGACGAACTTACTTTAACCCCTAGGATGGTGGCTTGCATCACATAGTCTAAAATCCAAAGTCCAGCACCAAAAGTAGGGCTGATTCCACCGCCTCCTCCAGTTGCTGGTCTTCATTAGCGTTGAAAGCAATGCGCGCTAGTGGACGCACCTGAGTTTGTTTCACCAAAGACAAAGTCCTTGTCCAGGTCTTTTGCGGCGGTGATCTGGGCCTGGTATTCAGCCACCCCCTCCACGATTTCCTCATGGCTCATGAGCTCGTCCAGGTCTGCCGTGGATGCTGACTGTGGGTAGTAGTGATGGCAAAAAGAGCGCACATATTGAGTTGAGTTGGTATCTTCCTCCTCGGGCACCAGATTGGTCACTTCGAAAGAACCTAGGCCAAAGAAGACGCCTGCCTGGGTAAATGCCGTTTCGTCACCCAAGCCACTGCTTACAGACGCCTGCCATGAGACCTGTGACTCTGCATCGAGTGTGGCCGTCCAGGTCTGACCGTCAGCAATCGGATCGCTTGAAGTGTAAACTGGGTTCATTAGCGTGTTACTGTCGCACAGAGAGGAGACCTACAGTCTGGCTCGTTACCAAGCTCAAGGGCGTACAAGTTAGAGATCTTGGATTTGGCGACCTTCGCGGCGGCGATGGTATTATCGATGTTGTCCAATCGCCTGTTGAGCCCTAGAAGCAATGAGAAGATGTTCTCGACCAGCAGGACCAACCATACCGAATGTCACCGTCCCCTCATAGCTCGCTGCTAAATCCATAAAGGGGTCACCGAACGTAAGCGTTTCTGGCGCATCATCTGGTGAGGCGACGCTGTATGAGACCACCGATGTTAGGGATGCATTGTATGTGGCGCGATCCCTGATCGGTTAGCATGGTGATTATTGGAGGGACGATCAATAGCTCACTGTGTGGTTCCCCCGATCCGGATCGGGGGGCTCGTGCCCGTGACATCTTGCAGCTGCCCCAGGCAAGAATTGGTCAATGGCAGGCCCTCGAAGTACTCGGGAAAAGCAAAGAATTCGAAGCTAGCCGGTCAGCTTTCGTCACTAAAGCCAAAGGGTAACCTACGACACGCCCACTGGCGCCGCAGCCAGCTGAGCACTGGCGTTTGCTGGTGGTGACGATGGAATCGCAAAGCTGAGGCCATTGGCCACGCTTCCAGCCACCAACAGAACGGGAACAATTGAAGTATGCAGCTTAGTGCCAGCCATGGTTGAAGATTGTGTTGTAGCGACTGATGATTTGCAGTGCAGAAGTCTGAAGAGTCCTCGGCCACTATTTCAATCACTGCAGCCAATAGGTCCCTGGAACTCATGCAACACCCCCGTCGGTTATTTTCCTGAATGATAACCGCCATGATGGAGCCACTCGGGTAAATTCATGCGCGGAGGATGATCGCATCGGTTCGGTTCGTGGGAGACCGGCGGAGATCGACATCTGCCGCGGGGGAGGCCTTCATGTGCGGGGAAGTTGACAGAGAAGTTGTTCCACCAACATCCGTCGCCTGTCCGCCGGGGATCGTCAAACACCGAGGATGGGGGGTGGTAGTCACGAGGGATGGTTAGTCTGAGGAAGGGAGAGGAGGAGGAAGAAGAGAGAGAGAGAGAGAGAGAGAGAGAGAGAGAGGAGGAGAGGAGAAGACGGACTAGTCGGCGTTGTCGCGAGGGTGCTTCACGTGCCTGCGCCTCTCCTTCGCGCCAAATCTCACCACTCCGATCTGCTCTCCCGACCAAATACTGCTTCATGTCGCATCTTCTGGCATTTTGAACCTCGGAACTAACCATGGCTACCCCTACGATCGTGATCCTGGGCGATGACCCCGAGACCACGCACCGTCTCAACGCCTGCGCTTACCAGCAATCGGCCATCGCGACCTTTGACGGCATCCAGTATGCGGCCTTCTACACCACACACGAGGCATCACAGGCCAGACGAGTCGCAATTGCGCGCCACAGTGTCCAGGACACCTTGTCTGACTGGCAGTATCTGACCTTCGATGATTACGACCAGACCGTCGACGACGGGCACAACACGATCTCGATTGGCATCTGTGCGGGCGACGGGACAATCCATGTGTCTTTCGATCATCACTGCGATACACTCAAATACCGCATCTCAAGGCCAGGTCTGGCCAATGACCCAAGTAATTCGAGCTGGTCGGTCACCAGCTTCAGCCCAATTCAGGACCATCTACCCGGATGCGACAGGCTGGTCGACGTGACGTATCCGCGATTTATACCCGGGGGACAGCAGATGTTCTTCGAGTGTCGTGTTGGAAAGTACGAAGCCCGTTTGACTATTCAAGCAGATGCTGATGAAGCATAGGGCAGGTGCCGGCTCCGACGTCCTATACCGCTACGACCCCGATATTGCGCGGTTTGCGAGTGTGGGAACATACCTAGTCGGGGAGCAGTGCAATCCGTACCCAAATGGACTCTCTTTCCACCTGGAAACGAACTCTCTGCATGTCACTTGGACGAACCGTCATTTTATCGAATACGAGGGGGCAGTTGATAGCGCCTCCACCGCTCACAAAGCACAGGCTGGTCCTAATGGCCCCGAGAATAACGAAGGCCTCTATCATGCCTACAGTCGGAATTATGGCGCTTCCTGGAATAGTTCAAGTCACCAGAAGGTGTCAGTCCTGAGTGCAGAGAGGGGATTGAATTCTCAGGATATGCGACTCCGAGTCAAGGATATCCCTCGGGACAGTGGGATTATGAACCAGGAGGCACAGTATATTGATGCCAACGGGGGAGTCCACGTGCTGAACCGGGAGAACACTGGTGGTAAAGAGTCTTGGATGCATTATTATCGCTCCCCGTCCGATGGATGGAGCTTCTTTGCATTGCCTGATGTTTATCCAACTCCTACTGGGCCACGCGGAAAGGTCGTCTACGTTGCGAAATGCGACAGTGTCTTCTTCGTCCTACCGTCCAATACAGGAAGGGAGCTGATTTTTGCCCGACGGAGGATGGCAGGTACGAACCAGGAGCTTGAAGTAGTCTGGAAAGGGCCAGAATACACTGGGGAGCCCCTGGTGGACGAAGAGGCCCTCCATCTTGGGATACTGTCTATTCTCATATTGAAGGAGATCGAAGGGAAAAGGAAGATCGTCGTGCTCCAGTTTGACGTCAATCGACTGGCGACATGAGAGAAGCCCTCGAGATAGTACCCTGAACGCTGCACATGCACATTTGATCACAAGCATACATCCATCCTAGTTTTACTGCAGCCCGAAAGTCAAGTTCATCCTGGTTGTCAAGCAGTCGCAGCGCTAGGGGTGGTATTTTCCACCAACAGGAGAAATGACCAAATACTTCCATCGCTCCAGTCAGGGATAGAGTTCGTTCAATCGCCTCGGGCTGCTTTAAACCGAAGCCCAAGCACCAGCTGGGGAAGGATCTTCAGATCGACCCCGCAATCCCCAGCTTTTGCCCGCTGATAGCAGAAGCTTGTCCCCCACATATTTGGTCTTCAGCATTCCCGACTGAGTCCAAGCTGCTGGATCAAACCACCAGTTCTCCACACGTGCACCATGCCACTCAGTGCAGAGAAACATGTCGACCGCAGAGCGCTGGAGGAGACGACCCTAGTGAGCAACAAGCAAGGGCTATGGTGGAGGGACACTGGCCTGCGCAAGTTGAACTTGATGCTGTTCTTTCTCATGTTCAGCGAGTTCACCCAAGGATACGATGCATCCTTGATCAACAACGTGCAGGAGTTGACTGTCTGGCAGGATGGTATGTCAAACGTTCCTCAGGTAAACTGATAACTGACTCCAGAGACTTCAACCACCCGCATGGCAGTCTTCTGGGAGCCATGAGCGCAATGTACTGGATAGGTGAGAGCTGAATAGTCTCCCTCGGTAACATATCTAATCTGTCTATTAGGAAACATCGTCGGCGTCGTCTTCATCTCGTCCATCTCCGATAGACTCGGTCGCAGATACTGTCTCCTATTTGGTGCCATTCTGTGCCTCGCGGGTACAGGCATGTCTACCGGTGCCTCCAGCGCGGGTCTCTTCATTGCAGCGCGGTTACTGCTAGGCATAGGAGGTGTGGTCGTTGCTGCGATTGGGCCCGTCTGGATGGGCGAGCTGGCATACCCTGACCACCGAGCGACTGCAACATCCATGTCGAATACGACCTACAGTGGTGGAGCGATCATCGCAGCGTGGATCACATTTGGAACTTTCCGACTGACAAGTGCATGGTAAGTTATGAACCACCCTGCCCCCGATCTAGGATGGTATACAAACGAAACTAGGGCATGGCGCATCCCGACCGTCTTTCAAGCCCTTCCATCTCTCCTCCAACTCGTTGGGGTCTTCATCCTGCCAGAGTAAGCCCCCCCCCCCCCCCCCAATGCTCCCAGCGCATCACTCATACAATCAGATCTCCCCGCTGGCTGATCAGTCGAGGCCGCGAACAAGCCGCCCTCGACATCCTCGCCAAATACCACGGCAACGGCGACCCCAACGACAGCGTCGTGCAGTTCGAATTCCAGGAAATGAAAGAAACCATCGAGCTCGAGATCGCCGCCAACAAGACCTCCTGGCTCGAGCTGATCAACTCCAGAGGCAACCGATGGCGCTCGTTTATCCTCATCTGGTGTGGTAAGTCACTCACCTACTATAGCCAACTATCCCTTCCCCTTCCCCTTCTCCTACCCACTACCACTACCCATACCCACCCCCACATCCCACCACCCAAACTAATCCCCCCTCCCCCTCAGGAATCTGCAAACAATGGTCTGGCAACGGCCTCATAAGCTACTACCTAAGCAGCATGCTGAAATCCGCGGGAATAACCCGCGAAGTCGACACGACGCTCATCACGGCCACAAGCCAAATGTTCAGTTTCGCCTGCGCCCTCGCCTTTGCCTTCCTACCGGGTCGCGTCGGTCGTCGTCCACTTCTCCTGTGGTCAACGGGCCTGATCTGGCTCGTCTTCGCGCTGATCACCGCCTGCACCGGCGTGTACGTCGAGACGGGAAGTAAATCTGCATCGTACGCCACCGTCGCGTTTATTTATGTCTACAATGGCGTGCATAATCTCGGTTGGACGGGGGCGATGATGGTTTATGGTGCGTTCCCCCCCCCCCCCCCCCCTCCCCTCTTCCTTCTTAACATGTTATCTATCCCTATCCCCATCGTGTGTTCGGTTAATATACATATATTTATTTATTTATTAAAATGGATCCAGTCGTCGAAATCCTCCCCTACTCCCTCCGCGCGAAAGGAATCTCCCTCTTCTGGCTCGTGACCGGCGCCACCGGCGCGTTCAATACCTACGTCAATCCCATTGGAATTGATGCCTTCGCATGGAAATATTATTTCTTCTACGTGGGGTGGATTATCGTTGAGTTCGTCGTCGTGTATTTCTTCTTTATTGAGGTATGTTTCTCCCTTCCAAACCAGCCAGCCCTTTCAACCCAGTCTATCTTCCTCCTTTCTTTATCCTTGCCTTGTGAATTACCCATGGGATCATGCTGACGAGTGTATGTGTGTGTGCGCGTGCAGACCAAAGGACCCAGTCTGGAGCAAGTTGCGCTGCTGTTCGACGGGAAAGATGCGGTGGTTAGTCATATGAATCCGGTGGCGGATGAGTTTCTGGACGAGGAGAAAGAAGGGAAGGAGAAGGAGATGGACAAGGCGGAGGCGAGGGAGATTGAGGTTGCGCGGTAGGTACCTACTTACTTATAGTACTTACTTACTTACCTAGGTGGTACTGGCTATTATTACAGGGTTTACTGGTATCATCACCGCAAGGGGCCATCTTTCTTATCTTCACCTACCTTAGGTACTAGTAGGCAGGGGTTACAACCCATATATATATATATATATATATATAGTCTCCCAGTACTTCGCAGTATAGTAGTTATTATGCTTACGATTCTAATCCACATACGATGATGAAATGAAGGACAGAAAGAAGAAAGAAGAAACAAGAAAGAAGAAGAGGCTAAGCTAAGCTAGCAAGGCTTTTGAACTCGTTATTCCTGGTAGTCGCTATTAAAAGTATTCTGGGCCAACCAAACGACCAGTAACAGAAACAGAAAGGGATCATCACATCACCATCAATCAGCGCATGCATACTCCGTCCGTAGTGATTCGTACACAGCCATTCCATTCCAATCTGGTCCGGTCCAGTCTAGTAGTCCATTCCATTCCATTTCCATGGAGAGGAGAGGAGAGGACAGGACAGGACAGGACAGGACGGGATGGGACGGGACATAAATGGTGGAGCAAAGTAAAAAAAAAAGAAATATGAAATAGGAAATATGAAAAATGCAACAAAAGTGTATGAAGAAGAAGGTGAAGAAGAGAAAGCATCCCCACGGCGGTATGCAATATAATGACACTTCAGAAGGGAAGGAGACAATGTGAAGGGTGGGGAGGGTAAGCGGGAAATATTAAAGAACATAGACCGCCGGCACATCTATGAAACCGGATGCTGTCACAGAAGGTGATTTGTACAGACGTATCACATAAGGGAGAGAGAGGGAAATCAGAAGCAAGAGAATTTACTCGGGCTTGCGACCGACCATGAGGTACATGGGGGTGAAGAGATTCTTCTCGGCACCGGCGACGAGACAGTCAGCGGCGAGAGCCAGACTGTCGGCGGTCTTCTGGGAGCCCTGGGGGAAGAAACCGATCTTCTCCATGGCGCCGACGAAGCGGTGGGCGAGACCACGGCCCCACCAGGTCATGCGGGCGATGGTGAAGAAGTCCCAGACGGAGGCCATGTGCTTGAAGGAGCCGGCGATGGGGTAGTACCAGGGGATGCTGTCGGGGCGCTGAGCCAGGTCCTCGTTGTGGAGGAGCTCGAAGCCGGCGCCGCGCATGGCCGCGAGACCCTCGGAGACGTTGACCATGTTGGAGATACCGTCGCCCTGCTCGATGCCGAGACGGAGCCTGCGGTGCTCGGGGTTCTCGTTGTCGTAGTCGTCAGTCATCAGCCACTCGTAGACACCGAAGACACCGCCGGGCTTCAGCACGCGGAAGATCTCGCTGTACACGCCCTGCAGCTCGGGGGCGTGGCAGGTGGCCTCAATGGCGTAGACGGCGTCGAAGCTGTTGTCCGGGAACTGCATCTGCATGAAGTCGCCCTTGACGAAGCTGAGCTTGTCGCTCAGGCCTTCCTTCTCAGCGTACAGCGTGGCGCGCTGGATCTGGTAGTCGTTGTTGTTCAGACCGACGACGTTGGCGTCGGAGAACTTGACAATCTCACGGGCCGGACCACCGACACCGCAACCCACGTCCAGCACGCGCATGCCGTTCTTGATACCGATCTGGTGGGCCAGGTAGTGCTCGTGGCGCGCGATGGCCTGGTGGAAGGGCTCGCCGGGGGCGAAGCGGCAGAAGTGGAAGGAGGTACCCCATGCGTTCTCGTAGAAGTCGGTGGCGATGTTGTAGTAGCTGTAGGGAGTGGGTTAGCTGGACTGTCAAGGGCTTGGGAGGAGTGTGATGGAGTTGGGATCACGTACTGTCTGGTCAAGGTAGCATACTCCGCACGACGGGCCTATCCCCAGAACGTTAGCACCATGATAAGCGAGATCTGGGGAGGAATGAGCATACCGCACGGATCTCATCGGTCTCCTGCTCGGAGCTCTTGTTGTCCCAGTGCTTGAAGTATTCGTCAATGGCGGCCTTCTGGGCAGCGGCGTCCTTGCCACGCATGGCGGCGAAACCGCCCTTGGCCTCAGCGGACTGGCCGTGCAGGGCACGGTTGAACTCCGCATCGCGAATGTGGTTTTCTTGTTCGAGAGCCGCGGGAGCCATGTTGACAGCAGCGATTGAGTGCAAATTAAAGTGGAATAAGGGGGTGGATCGGTGAAGAGCACACAGGTGGCCGCGAAATTCGAAGGGAAGAAAGTGGATTGAGAAAAGGGAGGAAGAGGGGTTTTATAACCACAAACAGGTCAATTGGGGAAGGAGAAATGAAGAAGCGCGACAGGCAGCAAAGCAGTGCAGGGAGAATGGAATGAAACGAAACGAGAGAGCCGAGAATCGCGTGAAGGCCAGCGAGCAGATCGCAGGGAAGAAAGAAAGGGGCGGCGGTCGCAGATTCGCAAACTCCGACTTTGACACCTCCACAACCAATCACCGGCCCCCCGCTGCCCAGCCAACCAGGCCACAGCACGCTAGGCCTAATCAGGCATCCGGGGTTCCGCCGGCGGGAAGAATGTGCTTCCGAACGTGACGGTGGACCCGCGCTAGCCCGTTCTAGACTGTGTTTGGGTGCCTGAAGGCGGAAGCGTATCGGGCGTATCGCGGGATTGCGTCTGCTGCGTATCCGATGCGTATTCCACCGGCTGCTTCGTCTCACAGGTGGGTGCGACGCATCGCATTTCGATATACGCTCTTGTTATAGGCTCTGTCAGCTGCAAGGATGCGCCCCTACCTGTGATTTCCAGCCCCCGAATACGATGCCAGCATATGCTACGGCGTACCGAGTATACGACACAGTTCAATACTTCGTAGTGGCCCGTAGTCTGGACTCTGGACTCTTATCTGTGCCGCCATCTCCCGCCTCCAGACCGTCACGTGAAGCAGCGGCTTGTTGGGGGCTTGCCACCCAGCCACAGACCACCCACTAGCCACACTACCCACCAGCCATCGCCATCGGCCATCAGCCACTCCCACCAGCCACGCGACTATCGATAATCCTTCGTGCTGCCTCATCTCTCATCTTCACCTCCGCTGCTTCGCATCACCTGCCGCAGCAGCACCCAGACCCAACATGCCTCCACCACAGATCAAGCAGGACCTGAACCGGTCGGGCTGGGAGACCACCGACTTCCCCTCCGTATGCGAGAACTGCCTCCCCGACAACCCGTACGTGCAGATGCTCAAGGAGGACCACGGCGCGGAATGCAAGATTGTACGCACACCTTTCCACCACTCCCAGTTCCTCGACCATCCTACTAACGCAAGTCTAGTGCACTCGTCCGTTCACCATATTCCGCTGGAAAGCCGACCGCACGGCGCGCCAAAAGCGCACGGCGATCTGCCTGACCTGCGCGCGGCTGAAGAACTGCTGCCAGTGCTGCATGCTGGATCTGTCGTTCGGGCTGCCGATCGTCGTCCGTGACGCCGCGCTGAAGATGGTCGCCCCGGGCCCCGAAAGCACCATCAACCGCGAATACTACGCCCAGGGCCACGAGAAGGAGATCGAGGAAGGCCGCGGCGCGGTCGAGGAATACGAGAAGACCGACGAGAAGGCCCGCGAGCTGCTGCGGAGACTCGCCAACAGCGAGCCGTACTACCGGCGGCCGCGCCAGATCGAGGCGTCGTCTCGAGAGGAAGGAGCGGAGCCGTCCGGGTCCAGCGACGCGCCCGTTGTACACAGCCGGTATGGAAATGGGCCGGGCCCGATCCGCACAAGCGAAAGCCGCAGGGGAACGGCGCTGCCTGGCAGAGGGAGAGGAGGTGGCATGCGTGGTGGCCGGGGCGGTCGTCCGTTCCCCAGCGCCGCGCAGGTGCCCCCGTCGGCGGAGGATATCCTCCCTCCTGCGGATCCCAACGTCACGTCACTCTTTGTCACGGGTGTCGAGGACGACCTGCCTGAACACACGCTCCGGACCTTCTTCACACAGTTCGGCCAGTTGCGGTCGCTGATCTGCTCGCACCGCGCCCACTCCGCCTTCATTAACTACGCCACCCGCGAAGGTGCGGAAGCCGCTGCACAGCACTGCCAGGGCCGGGCCGTCATCCAGGGCTGCCCTCTGCGTGTCCGGTGGGGGAAGCCCAAGTCGCTGGACAACCTGGACCGCGACGAGCGGGTGAGGAATGCGCGGGAAGGGCGACAGGCCGCGGGCCCGCGTCACAGCGACTCCGGGAAGCGAGCCATCGTGGCCCCCGACCAGAGCGGCAAGGAGCAAAGACCACGCAACTACGCCGTGGCGCCGCCCCCGGGATCCGGCGAGATCCAGTACTCCAGCTTGACCGGAGACTAGATCGGATCGGTCGCTTGTCGAGGTGACGGTGTATTTTGCTTGCTTGCTTGCTTGCTTGCTTGGTGTGTTGCACGGGATTCGGAAACCAGGACAGGAGGCCTTCACTTCATGATGTTCGCGAGCGGGCGTTGATGTACTGTATATTTATTGTTTTGTCTACATTGTTGTTTTGATCTGATCAAACGATAAAAAATACCCCCACCCCACACCCTAAAGAAAGACGCCGGAAGGAGAGAGAAAAGTTCGGGTATACTATAATACAATCCAGTCTGCAGTTGTGCTTTCACCCAGCAGCCACTAGCCATGCTTGAGCCATGCTTCACCCAGCCATAGAATCAAGTCTCATCAATCAACAACAACCATCCATACCACCCATGCCACACCCCTACGACGAACAAGGCTTGTCAACCTTAACCTGCTTCCCATTCACGCGAATCGAATCATTATCGCCACGCTCGATATCATCGTGGATGCGGAGTTCTAGATCAATCAACCAACCGTATTAGCCTCACTCCTCACTCACACCCCATCACCACCAAGCTACCTCCCCCGCAAAAGAAGAAAAGAAAAGCTTGTAAACTCACCCCACTTCGCATCCTCATCCCCCTTCTCCCGCACGCCCTGCACGATATTATGTTTCAGGATATCCGCCACCTCGACGGCGTGCTTGATCTGCATGGGCGTGTCGATGCCGACCCGGGGGTGGTTGTCGAAGTTGCGGCGGGCTTCTTGGCGCGCGCCGAGCATGACTCGGATGTCATCTGGTGATGGGTGTGTTAGTAAGGTGAGAGTGAGCTTGGTGGTGGAGGAGGAGGAGGGTATGGGACTGGGTTGGGACTGACTGCGGAAGGCGATGCGGGTGGCGCGGAGGAGTTGCCGATAAGCGCTGCGGGCGGAGATGGCTTGGGACATGGTGACTGTGGGAGTGAGGGATTGAGGGATTCAGGACGATTGGGGTGGTTCGAGGAGAGGTGGTGCGTATGTATAGTTTGTTGGATGTTGGAAGTTGTAGACTGTTGTGGTGGTGTAGCGGTGATCGGGTGTTTTTCAGGATAGACGGTCGGGAGAGGGAAGGGGGGAGAGGAGGACGGCGCAGCTGGTCGGTCAATCAAATATGGATAGTCTGGCAGGATACATAGACGAAAGGAAGAAGTACGTAGTATACAAGGCAACACGCACGAAGCAAAGCAGGCAGGCAGTCGACACCATCCGGCGACTTCCTGAAGGGTAAGGCTCGATGACCTCCGAAACAGCCGGCCGGTGATTGGCCGAGGGCGGCGCGGCAAGTCGGGGCAGAAAAAAAAATGGAAAAAGGGCAGGCGGGCGGGCAAAAGTCCCTTGCAAAAGTCGTTGCCGCCGAGCCTCTCTCCTCGTCACACAACCATCTCCTCCCACCCACAATGTCGACCGTTCAGACCGTCAACCTGTCCCTCCCCTCCCTGCCTGCCGGCTGGACGGCCGAGAAGGACTTCAAGTCCGTCGGCTCTCTGTCCGCCGCGACCCAGCGGAACCTCGAGCCCGTTGGCCCTCACTTCCTGGCCCACGCTCGCAGAGTATGTGTGCTAGCTATTCTTACGGATGGGAATGAGTATTCCGTGTTAACGATCGATCTAGAGCCGCCACTCCCGCACCTTCTCCGAGGATGAGCGCATCCAGGCCCAGCAGAACGTGAAGAGCACCGAGGAGGACGAGGATGATGACATCTCCGAGGACGAGGACTCCGTCCTGCTGTCCCGCGAGGCCAAGGACTGGAAGGTATGATCACCACTTCAATCTGCTGCCCACGACCGCACTGACATCCTTTCCAGAGCCAAGATCACTACCAGGTCCTCGGTCTGTCCAAGTACCGCTGGCGCGCGACCCCCGAGCAGATCAAGCGGGCCCACCGCAAGAAGGTCCTGCGCCACCACCCCGACAAGAAGGCCGCTCTGGGCGACCGCGACGAGAACGACCAGTTCTTCAAGTGCATCCAGAAGGCCACCGAGGTTCTGTCCGACCCCGTGAAGCGTCGCCAGTTCGACTCCGTCGACGAGGCGGCCGAGGTCGAGCCCCCGACCAAGAAGGAGGCCACCAAGAAGTTCTTCAAGCTCTGGAACCCCGTGTTCGTCGCGGAGGGCCGTTTCTCCAAGAAGCAGCCCGTGCCCCAGCTGGGAGACGACAACAGCACCCAGGAGGAGGTCGAGACCTTCTACAACTTCTGGTACGACTTCGACAGCTGGCGTACGTTCGAGTACCTGGACGAGGATGTTCCCGATGACAACGAGAACCGTGACCAGAAGCGTCACATGGAGAAGAAGAACGCCAACGCCCGCCGCAAGCGCAAGACCGAGGACACCGCCCGTCTGCGCCACCTGGTGGACGACTGCGCCGCCGGCGACGAGCGTATCAAGAAGTTCCGCAAGGCGGCCCGTGCCGACAAGGACAAGAAGCGTCTCGACCGTGAGGCCGAGGCCAAGCGTCTGCTCGAGGAGAAGGAGAAGGCCCGTCTGGAGGAGGAGCAGCGCAAGAAGGACGCCGAGGAGGCCGCCAAGGCCGACCGCGAGAAGAACAAGAAGGCTAAGGAGGCCGCCAAGAACGCCGCCAAGAAGAACAAGCGTGTGCTCAAGGGCTCCGTCAAGGACGTCAACTACTTCGCCGATGGTGGCGAGCCGTCCGCCGCCCAGGTCGACTCCGTCCTGGGTGACGTCGACCTGGTCATCAGCAAGATTGACGCCGAGGAGCTGGCCGGTCTCGCTGAGCGTCTGACCGCTGCCGGCAAGGACGGTGCTGCCGTCAAGACGGTCTACACCGAGGAGGTCCAGCGTCTGGTTGGTGCTTCCAAGCTGAAGGAGGGTGAGGCCAAGTTCTTCGTTTAAGCTACGGTATAGACAGGGGTTACGGGGGCTGCCTTGGACACGGTATATAGATCGATAGACATTGGCCAAGATACTGAAGCGATGCGATTATGGAGTCAACTTTTGAACTGCCTGTAAGCGAGTCTCCTCGACATCGAGTATCCTCACCAGGCACCGGCACGTGCCACGGACCGCGGAGTGGACCAATCAGAAGGGCCAATTGTCTGCCTTCCCGTCCGGGACTAGCGGCCCGCGGGCAGCCAGTCAGGGACGATCGAGGCACAACGTGCAGCATCGACGGAGTGCTCGACTTTGTCTTCTCTTCTCTTCCCCCTCCATCGTCCACCAAAACAGCCGAGGAAACAATCTACAATGGAGACATGCCGATCCTTGGCAGTGGGCATCTGCCACCATCGGCTACAGCCCCCAATGGCAATTCAGCAGTAGATTGACGCGGGATATCCCCGCAGGAAGAATATTGAGTCGAGTCTGAAGAAAGTATAAGAATGCCTTCCGAGCAAGCTTCTGGATCCCTTCATGTCTCTTCCTTGTGTCTCCGAACATTGCTAGATTGTGTCTGCTGAAGGCATCATGTTCACTAAACAGTCCCTCGCGACCCTCCTCGGAGGCCTGTCTCTGGCGCTGGCTCAGACCTCGTCCCAGGAGTATCCCCCTCTGGCTGAGATCCTGGCCAAGCAGGCATCGGTGCAGCCGTACTCCCCTGTGTCGAACGTGAAGGGTCTCGCGTTCAACCGCTTCGTGAATATTTGGCTGGAGAATACCGTACGTCTACCCTTCCCTACAGACTTTCCCCCTTCAACCCCCACGCATTCTCATAACTCACAAACCAGGACTTCGATGTCGCGGCCTCCAACTCCCACCTGGCGGCACTCGCATCTCAAGGCCTCCTCCTCAAGAACTTCTGGGCGGTGACCCACCCCTCCGAGCCAAACTACTGCGCATCCGCCGGCGGCGACACATTCGGGATGGACAACGACGACTTCCACCAGCTACCCGCGAACATCTCCACGATCGCCGACCTCTTCGACACCAAGAACATCGCCTGGGGCGAATACCAAGAAGCGATCCCCTACCCGGGCTACCAAGGATACCGGTACCCGGAAAGCGGCGCGAACGACTACGTGCGGAAACACAACCCACTGATCCTGTACGACTCGGTGACCTCGGACGCGGTGCGTCTCCGCCAGATCAAGAACTTCACGACGTTCTACGACGACCTCGCCCACCACCGTCTGCCACAATACATGTTCATCACGCCCAACATGACCAACGACGGACACGACACCGACATCACGGTCTCGGGCGCCTGGACCTACGACTTCCTGACCTCGTTGCTGGAAAACGAATACTTCACCAACGACACCCTCATCATGCTGACCTTCGACGAAACAGACACCTACACGATCGGAAACAACGTCTTCACGTTCCTCCTCGGCGGCGCCCTCCCCGACACCCTCCGCGGCACAACCGACGATACCTTCTACACGCATTACTCCGTCATCGCCTCGCTGTCTGCAAACTGGGGCCTCCCCTCCCTGGGCCGCTGGGACTGCGGCGCGAACCTGTTCAGTTGGCTAGCCGAGAAGACCGGCTACGTGAACTACGAGGTCGACACGAGTAATCTGTTCATGAACGAGACGCATTGGGGCCCGCTGTCCGAGGACGATTATAGTGAGTATTACGCCGGCTGGCCGGTCCCGGTGACAGAGGGAGAATGCTCCGCGGGGAATGACGTGCTGGACAAGGTCAAGCAGACCTGGGGGAGTCTGACGGCCACGTTTAACTATACCGCCCCATTTCCGTATGATTCGCGCAGTGGGAATAATGTGGGCGTGAAGTATAGTAGGACTTTGGTAGGTTTGCTGCTGTCTTCTGGAATTGGGGATGTGTGCTGACTGTTCTTTTCTTTTAGAAGGATGGGAAGGTCGAGGAGGGTGTTTCGGAGTGATTGTTGAGTATCATCATAGGCTATGGCCTGTCTCGTGTAAAAATTTGTATCATCAACTTTAGATAATCGCCCCATGGTTAGAAGAAGATTAATAATGTATGTGCCCAACACTTGGTCTCGTATAGCTACTTAGAATTGCTTTAATATCTTGTCTGAATAACAAACAGTATGATTATTGATTCATCCCCAACCACGACCACAGACTCACAGTAAAAGAATGACAAAAAAGGAAAGAAAACCATTCTCCTGCCACACGCCTTCTGTTTACCCATCCGTCCCTGTCGAAACTAAGGTCGGTACTACGCTCTAGGTACAAAGGAACCCCCCATCCGCAAAAGCCCAATCCCACTGATACCCAACCAGAACGCGGATGTTAGATCGTGGTAAAGATATATACTATCTATATATTAATCCCATATACTGCCTGATGCAGAGGCGAGGATATCAAATCGAATTATCAACTTATTCCTATTAGGGGTATATAGAAATTGACTTTCCGGGGTAGGGAGGGGGGGTATATATATGGTATCGAAAGATCCCGGAACTCGAAAGACATAGATAGGTAAGTAGTAAATAGTGAGTAGTACTCTGTAATAGTATGTCTAGAGTTGTTGTGATGATTCCTCAATTGACGAAGTAGAAGAGGGAAGGGAAAAGAGAAAAGGAAAATAGGCGGAAATAAAAAGATATGTGGTCGGTCATTATACCGAGTAGATAGTATATACTATAGCTACGTATCTAACTTAGATACCCTGACTCAAAGCGATACTACGAACCCATTCCCCCCATCCATCCTTCCCAAACCCTAACATCGAATCGCCCCAGGGAAGCAAGACCCACCGTCTAGACCACAGAACAAAATCCCGCCCTTCTCCCGACCATTCCTCCCTCCCGACAAAACACCAAATCCCAAAAGAAAGATAGATAAGCCTTAGCCTTAGCCTTAGCTCATTATTACCCCTGCCTGCCTCTCCTACCTCGTCCTTGGCCACGGTATTGACTTTCTACAGTAGATAATTAGTGATTTGGTGTTATCTTCCCCCCCCCCCCCCCGGGCGACCCCTTGTCTCGGCCCTAGGATGATAAATTCGGTCGCGCAGATACCTCCGCGGTATCTATCTATGTCTGGAACGGATGAGATGGGATGAGATGAGATGGAATGACCAGCACCTATCTAACAGGGACTATTGACACCATGGATGGATTTATACATATTCACTCCTTGGGTGTCAGCCCGACTGAATGAATGAATGAATGGATGGATGGATGGGAGAGGTATTTCCCTGTATTCCCTGATCTAGCCAGTAGGTCACCACTGCATACTGTATCTGGCAGAATACTCCATACTATGGCAGGAAAAGTAGTAGTTGGATTATTATCGCTGTGCTGCTACTTCAAGGTGAATTCGATCCAAACTACGTATTTTTGTTACTCACTACATCATCCACAGGACTGATTTTGATTGAAAGAATGTGGTGTGGCCAGCCTCCAGGGTTATAAGGCAGGAAGGATATAGATAGATAGATAGATATACTCATGCCACTCTACTCCACTCCACTTCTTCCCCCCCCCCCCCGAGTCTTCTCACCGGGAAACAGACAGAGAGCAGTCTCTTGGTCAAGCGAAGAAATCCGGTCCGTGGCAAGGAGATGTCACATTGCATGATTTGAAAAACCCCTCACACATATCTTCTACAAAAAGAAAAAAAAGAAAGAAAGAAAGAAAAAAGAATACTAACCATGCATCATGCATCTAGAACCCCATCAACGTCTAGAAAACACCTATCAAAAGCCGAGTCATCGCAGGGTCCCAGGCTGAGTGCTGAGTGCTGACAGGACCATGGACACCAGAACCCAGCCTGCAGGCCCGGTCATGCAGTCAGCACTATCCTCGAACTAGCAGGTCAGGTCAGGTCCACCGTCCGGGTGCGGTGGGATTTATCTTCCAGTAAAATAAAAATAAGGAACAGGATGACTATGTAAGTAATTAAGGCAGACAGACAGGCAGACAGGCAGACAGGCACGGAATGTCCGCACTCGGGACTCGGGGGCGTTGCTCCGTGTCTGTATCCCCTAGGAGAATTCTCAACTCCAGTTCCAAGTCCATAGTTGGTGAGTGAGTGCCTGGTCTGGTCTGACCTGGCCCTGTGCTCGATGGGTGGGCAGTGGATACTGGAGACTGGGTGCTGGATAACTAGTGCGCTGTCGCTGTCGCTGTCACTGTCACTGTGAGTGGGTTGGATAAATTCAAAGCCCTAAAGACTAACAAACGGTGGCTGCTCGGACCACAGTACCGTGCAATGTCGGCATCCTCCGGCATGATGCACGTGGTTTGATATCGCCCGTCGCCACTGCTGCTGCAGGTGTGCTGTTGAACATGATTCACTAGAGGGAAGGTGGGTATATGCAGACTGACAACATCCACTAGATACTATCCACTAATCCAACAAGAAGCACCTAGATGCTTACCGGCAGACGCTTACCGAACCAGCACAAGCGCAGTGGATCCCCAAACCAAACCAAACCAAACCAAACCAACCAAACAACCTGATCGAGAAACTGCGATGGCTTGAGTCGGCCTCATACACCATGAGGATGTTGGAAAGTCAGACAGTTCGAGACCTGATACGCGGAGCTGCAGGACGGATGGAGTTTGGAGGGGGAAGTTAGGGTCCCCGTTGGATTTAGAACGGCATCCGAGCAGATTGCAGCGGGGCGGCACTAGCGGGTTAGCCTTCCTGCTAGGATGATATTATTTGTCTAGATATGGAGTAGTGTCTATGCTGGATAGTGGGTTAGTTAGTGGGCTGGTTGTCATTACTCACGTCCCTTAGGTGGTGCAGGGGTAGACTAAAGTAGGACTAGCCAGGTAGACATTAGACAAGGCCAGGCAAGGCCAGGCAGATGGAACCATGCTATTATTGCTATCTACCTACCAGGTTACAGGGACGCTACCTACCTAGTACCACTACCTAGTCCAGATACCTACTTACCTTAGCTACTTATCTACCGCGCAGGGATTATTCCCCCCTGCCTGCTCAGTCCAGTCCAGTCCAGTCTACTGCACCTCTGCCGGCCGGTCCAGGGGAGATTATTTCGCCATCCATCCACCCTCTGCAGGATCCAATTCGGATTCCCAAGAAATTATTAATTGCGAGCCATTTGCCGCTCGGAAATTCCGAGCGGGATCGTGCTATCGTGCTACTACCTACCTAGTCTGGTGTGGGCTCCATTTACAAAAGCAGGGGTTATCTCGCAAGTCGCAACCCAGACTGACTGCTGTGGAGAGCGAGTGTGGTTCTTTAGTCTTTTCTTTTTCTTTCCCCCTCATAGTGATCGAGGTGTGATCGAGCGTGATCAAGAGCACAGAAGAGAAGAGAAGAGAAGAAGAAACACCATGCCGACAGAGATGGAGAAGATCGACCTCGAGCCGCAGGTCCTCGAGTCGGGCTCATCCCGTGAGTTCGACCCCGAGCTGGAGAAGAAGTTGCTGCGCAAGATCGACTGGCGTGTTGTGCCGGCGCTGTGGTTTCTGTTTCTGGTGTCGTTTATGGATCGTTCGAATATTGGGTATGCTATCCCCCCCCCCCCTATCATATTCTTTTCCGTCTTTCTGTCATTCTGTCTGTTGAGGGATGTGTGACTATGACTATGCGAGGATACTAACTAACCCCCGCCAGAAACGCCAAAACAGCCGGAATGGCCAAGGAACTACACCTGGTTGGCAACAAATACAACCTCGCCGTGACGATGTTCACCCTCGCGTACGTCATCTTCGGGGTGCCTGCGAACCTGCTGGTCAAGAAATTCGGCCCCCGGATGCTAGTGCTGTACATGTTCACCTGGGGTAAGATCTCCCTTCCCCTCTTGCCGCTTATCTGATCCGGGGTGAGGTGAGATGCGATGCTAAGAGGTATGAACACACTATAGGACTGTTTGTTATGGGCCAGGGGCTGACGAAGACGGCGACGGGGCTGATTGCGTGTCGGTTTTTCATGGGGATGTGTGAGGCGGGGTTCGTGCCTGGTATGTATACCATCTATATCATACTTCTTATCCCGAGGTCTCAGGGGTCGAGTGGGATGTGATGTGATGCTGACTGACGGACCAGGCTGCGCGTACTTGATCGGATCGTACTACAAGCGCGATGAGTTTCTTCGTCGGTATGCCGTGTTCTTCAGTGCCAACATGGCGGCGGGGGCGTTCAACGGGGTATGTTCACTGGAACTGGATATATATACGCAATGATGACACCGCTGACTGACTGATCGTTGCAGCTTTTCGCGAGTCTCCTGACGCCGCTGAGTCTGGACGGACTCAAGGGATGGCGGTGGCTGTTCCTGATCGAGGCGATCATCACCATGGGCGTCAGTCTGGTGTGCTACTGGATCGTGGTGCCCTTCCCGGAAGATGCCACCTTCCTGACGGCCGAAGAGAAGTCGCTGCTGCTGGCCCGTCTGGAGGCTGATGGCGGTGGTGTGCGCGACGACCCCATCTCCTTCCGTCGTGTGCTCAGCATGGCTGCCGACTGGAAGATCTGGATCTGGTGAGTACAGATCCATATCCACACATACTCCTGCTTCTGATAGACACATCCGCTAACGACAACGACGCAGTGTGCTCGCGTACATCGGCTCGGAAGAAAGCGCCAGCTCCCTATCCAGCTTCATGCCCACCATCCTCAAGGACCTGGGGTGGTCGAGCCGTGTCGCCCAGGAACACACCATCCCGGTGTACGCGGTAGCCTTCGTGGTGACGCTCAGCTGCGCGTGGCTGAGCGACCACCTTCGCCACCGGTACCTCTTCACCCTATTCGGCTCCGTCCTGGTGATCATCGGCTGGGGCATCGAGCTAGCCTACTACCTGCCCGCGGGGATCCGGTACATGGGGGTATTCTTCGTGGCGTCGGGTGCGTTCATCATGATGTCGACAACGGTGGTCTGGCTGTGCGTCAACCTGGGCAAGGGCGTGAAGCGCAGCGTGGGCATGGGCCTGCTGCCGGCGTTTGGCAACTGTGGCGCGTTCGTGTCCGGCAACGTGTTTATCACGGCGCAGGAGCCGAGGTATCCGGTGGGGTTTGGGGTGGGCCTGGCCTTCGCAGTCATGGGGGGCCTCGCCTGCACGGTGTACTATGTCGCTCTGCGGATGGAGAACAGCCGTCGTGACAGGTTGAGCCAGAGCCAGAGCCAGGCCCAGGACCAGTCGGCCAAGGAGTGGACCTCCGACGCGCAGGATCTCGGGGATGCGCATCCGGATTTCAGGTATCAGTTGTGATTTGTTGTCATGCTCGATACGGAGTACAGAGACAGATACAAGTCGTATGAGTGATGAGTGTACAGTGTAGATATGGTTGGTTGGCTGGTCCTTGTGGGTGCGGTTTGTTTAGCATCGTTACGGTACTAGCTGCTTGGACTAATTACGGGATTAATATAGCTGGAATGGGATTATGAATTTTCTTACTTTTTTTTTTTTCTTAAATTTCATTTTTCTTGTCTCGCACGGAGGATCCCCGACAGCCAAGACGGCAACGGTATATATGTACTGCGTGTTAAGTAGGAGGATCAGGATGGATCGCTAGGGCGTGGCGTGATGATAGCATAGCATAGCAACAGGACTGGATCGGATAAGTAGGATATTCCGTAGCCTGTTTCAAATCCCCCAGCACCTAGTTATTAGATCAAAAAGACAGTATGTCTCAGCCGACCAGCCGACGGGCGGGGAAAGTGACAGCCGAGGGAATCAAATTTGCCAAATGCCAGTGCCAGGAGTCCGGTCCAGCCCTAATCCGAGCAAAAGCCCTAAATTATCATAGCAAAACCCACCAACCAACCCATTCATTACCTGAACCCAGGCGAGCCCCCCTGTAAGTAAATAGTCTGTACAGGAGATACCAACCGCGAACCGCTTCAATACCGGAACACTTGAGCAGATCCCGCGCGGTGGATCTCGGGGACGGACCGGCACTGAAGCTAAAGGGCCACTAACCGCGCGATGGAAGGTTAGTGCCACCGCGCCATAGCCATTAATCTTACGCATGCAGAGTCCCCCAGGTGGACGCGTTGTGACTGGCGGGCTGGCGGGCTGGCGGGCTGCATTGTGCAGATGGTCGACAGGGATGGATGCCGAGCACGTTGCAGGTAGATAGAATGGACAGGCCCCTAGGTAGATAGTAGATGGGTGAGAGACTGAGACCGGTAGATGGAATTTGCTGAGGAATCTGCTGTAGAAACTAGAAACTGGAAACGAGGAGCTAGGAAAATAAATTAACCGTGTCAAGATAGTCGGCAGGTAAAGTAGTCAATCCCGGTTGGCAGTTTGTTTGGCAGTTGCAGGCTTGTAGCAAGGCAGGCAGGCGAAGAACCCTAATTTCCAATTTCCTCCCCCAGTTCCGACCGGGTAAGGACGATTCCTTCCTTCCTTTGTTCCTTCCCTCGTTCCGTTCAGATTCCTTCGGGGAGGAAAAGCAGGGAATGTCCGTTCTATTTCTATTACTAGATAAATGTTTCCCCGACATCTAATGCCTACATATGCATGCACTTCCGTGGATAGAGTCTAGGATTCTCGCTAGTGTACTACTACCCTGTAGACTAGATACCTGTTGCTTAAGAGGTAAGTATGTGTCCAGCATGTGCGCCACTGAGTATCTACCCAGTATTAAAGCGAAGGCGAAGAAAAAAACGAAGGAAAAGACCGGCATCCCGACCTAAGAAATCCTGCAGCAGGGTTTAGAATCTGCTAGCCACTACGTATCCGTACCTAGGATGCGAACAACTAACTCCATTGCATGCGGATCTAACACTGCATGGGATGTTGCACCGTTGTACGACTGCCTGCCTATCTATCTATCCATCTACTAGTTAGTCCCTATAAGGACTGCAATCTTTTCCAACACCCCATGGCACCCGTTCGTCCCTCTGTAGTAGTCGCTCGGGGTATTCGTCTTTCTGTCATGCATGCAGCTACCAGCGGGCTGATTTGACCTATCCACCCATCCACCCATCCACCCATCCATCCATCCATCCATCCAGTGATCATTCATTCATTCATTCATTCATTCTCTAGGTCTCGCCCAGTCATTCATTCATTCCCTCCATTCCCATTCTCTTTCTTTATTTCTTTCTCGCCCTGTCTTTCCCCCCTTCTCTATCATTTAACTCCCCAGTTCATTGACCCAAAAAGAAAAAAAAAATCAAGGGTCTGGCCAATCTGGTCCAGACCAATCTCAATCTCGACAAGATGCTCAGTCCCCTCGACGTCCCCAACAAAGGCCCGCTGTTCGTGCGCGTAACGGCCATCTTAACCGCCATCGCGTTCGTGCTGGCCGCGTACCGGCTGTTCTGGAAGGTGTATATGAAGACGAATATCGCGACGGATGATATAATTATTTCGTTTTCGATGGTATGTCTACCTACCACGATCCACATAGTCTCTGTATTCGAGGATGTCTGTGTGGCTGGATGGGATGCACTGACCCCGTCGATCAATAGGCGATTCAGATCGTGAATACGGTGATGGGGGATATGGGTATGCATGCCGTTTATTATTCTACTGACTCTGCTAGGTATTGAATACTAGCTTAGCTAACATTGACTGAACATAGCATGTCACTACGGCTTTGGCAGGCATAAGAAGGACATTGTGAGGACAGGCGGAAACGTGATTCTCACGCTGAAGGTACATCCCATCTTCAACCCCAATCCCAACCCCAACCAACTAACAAGCAAAAAAAAAATAGTACTTCTGGCTCTTCCAAATCCTCTACAAACTAGTCCTCTGTCTGAACAAACTCTCCTTCCTCGCCTTCTACCTCCGACTCTTCCCCACCAAAAAATTCCGCCTCATCTGCTGGATCACCATCTCACTCGTCCTCTGCAGCACATTCGGCTTCGTGATCGCGACGATCTTCCAGTGCATCCCGGTGCGCGCCAGCTGGATCAAGTCCCTCCCGAAGCACTGCGTCAACAACTCCAGCTTCCGATGGTCGTGGGCGGGCTACAACACGATCATGGATATCTGGGTGTGTCTGATGCCGTTGCCCGTGCTGGCGCAGCTGCAGCTGGACCGGCCGCGGAAAGTGGGCGTGATGTTGGTGTTTTGCATGGGGCTGTTTGTGTGCGTGACGAGTGTGATTCGGATGTGGGCGATGGTGGAGAGTACGAAGACGGAGGATCCGACGTGGGGGAGCTTCGATGCGTTGCTGTGGAGTGCCATTGAGGCGAGTACGGGCATTATTTGCGCGTGTTTGCCTTTCCTGAAGCATCCGATTCAGAGGCTCCTCCCCAGTTTGTTTGGGAGTTTGTCGTCTGGGGTGAGGAGTCGCAGTCGCAGTCGTACGAAGAAGAGTTATCGGATGAGTCGGTTGGGGTCGCAGTCGGGGACGAGGACGATTGGCGGGACTGGGAGGATGGGGAGTGGTTGGAGGGAGGGGAGAGATGAGGAGGAGGATGATGATGGCGAGGATTTGGATGGTGATGCTGAGAGTATGGGTAGCCAGGGGCCCATTGCGAAGAACCAGATCCTCATGAAGACGGATATCGCCATGCATAGCGAGCCAGCGTTCAAGTGAGGGCTCGGGATGTATTGGGTGGGGGGGTTTCTTTTCTTTGTTTGTATATAGATACTGATAGCTACGTATGGGATGAGTTCGTGATGCTACAATTGCTACCTGATTTTGATCGTCAGTGTGGAGGTGGTTGGAGTCGGTCTGCGTGGTGGTGATGCTGATGCAGATGCAGATGCACACACTCCAATGTCCTCCGTATACTCCGTAATGGCCGCCCACCCATGCGTAAGAATTTTAATTAGGCTGAATGCCATTTGCCTCGCAGCCACCGCATCACAGCGCCATTAATCGCGCGTAATTAATCTCCGGCGTATTCAGCCGGTATCCTCCCGTCAGCCAAGCAGTAAGCAGCCAAGCTAAGGTGGCGCTAGCCACTAGGATGCTTATTTCCAGGGCTAGCAGCCTTGATAGTCCACACAGGGGCCACCAACAGGACAGCATGCCACACAACCCCGAGTGAAACATTTTGTAACTGCATGGCCGCAGACACCATGTTCCAACTATCTACGGAGTACCACTATCATCGCGTGATGGCCGGTGGACCCGGCTGCCGATTCCTATCTCCCCGACGGTCTAGCATCCTCCAGGATGGCCATCCACCCCAAGTGGGGACGTGCCGGATATGCAATACAGTAGACGGCGCGATAATGCTGCTGGAACCGGCATAAAGCTGGAGGGCTAAAGGCGAACTGCCATCTGACTGTTGCTTGTGTTGTTGTTGTTGTTCAGTGTGGAAGTGCTCTATCTCCAAACCAAAATGTCACAAGAAACATCCCTTGCCCCTACCGTGGCAGATTCCTTTCTGGAGGCCCTGGCTGAGGTACATCCCTCCTCTGAACGAGCCATTCGGCTGAGATATGCTAACTCCCTCCAGGCCGGCGTCGACTACCTCTTCACCGTTCTGGGCTCCGACCACCCCAGCATCATTGAGGCCTACGTGCGCCGCCAAAATGACCCCGCCCGCCAGTATCCCAAGATGATTCTGTTCCAACACGAGGTAAGTTCCGATCGCCACCCATCCAGATGCCTGCTTAGGTACCCCCGCTGATCATCCATCATCCAGTTCGTGGCCATGTCCGCCGCCGATGGCTACGCGCGGATCAGCCATAAACCGGCGTGTGTGATCGCCCACGTGGACGTGGGGACTGCAGCGCTCGGCCAGGGCCTGCACAATGCATCCAGCGGACGGGCCCCAGTGGTGATTTTCGCAGGCGTTGCCCCCTCCACCCTGCACGGCGAGGCGCCGGGCTCACGCTCAGAGCATGTCCAGTGGTACCAGGACATCCGCGACCAGGCCGCCCTGGTGGCCCCCTACAGCCGCTTCAGCGCCGAGATCAAGTCCCCCCACAACGTCGGGAGCGTGGTTCATCGCGCCGTGCTCATGGCTACCACTGGTTCCCCAGGCCCCGTGTACCTCACGGCCACCCGGGAGATCCTGGCGACCCCGGTCCCCGAGCTGCAGCCCCGGCCCAAGCCCGTTCCATCCTGCCATCTAGGCTCGCTGTCCTCTGAGGCAGTGGAGTTCCTTGCAAACGCGCTTCTAGACGCGAAAGCCCCGCTCGTCGTCACAGGTTATCTCGGACGGAACCACCACGCCGTCCAGGAGCTCATTACCCTCGCCGACACCATTCCCGGACTACGGGTCTTCGACTCTGAGCTCCGCGAGGTCTGCTTCCCCGCGACTCACACCGCGTGCGTGACCCGGGGGACTGGCGCCGCGCCGGCCGTGCAGTCGGCGGACGTGATCCTGGTCCTCGATGCCGACGTGCCCTGGATCCCGAGACGGGTGCGTCCGTCTCCGACGGCAGAGATCTACCACATCGATCTGGACCCGCGCAAGGAGCGTATGAACCTGTTCGACATCGGTGCCTCAGCCACCTACCACGCCGACACCAGCGCCGCGCTGACCCAGCTGAACGCATACATCAGCGGTTCACCCCGTCTCGCATCCCTCCAGAGCAGTCCCACCTGGACCTCTCGCGGCGAGGAGCTCCGTAAATCCCACGCCGACGGCCGAGCGCGCATCGACGCCCGCGCCGCTGCTCTCCTCAAGACGCCCTCCGCGCCCTGCAGCGTCGACTTCCTCTGCAGCCGGATCCGCGCGCTCGTGCCGTCCGATAGCATCTTCGTCACCGACTCCGTGACTAACCAAGTCGCTATGACGGAGCAGCTGCAGCTCACGCGCCCGGGCTCGCATCTCACCAAGGGCGGAAGCGGACTGGGATGGGCCGGCGGAGCCTCTATCGGCGTGAAGCTCGCCACGACGCGGTACGACCTCTCCGATCGGCCGAATACTCAAGCGAACAAGTCCTCGACGAGCCCGTTCTTGTGCAGCATTACGGGCGATGGAAGCTTTGTCTTCTCTGTCCCGACGGCGGTGTACTGGGCTAGTCATCGCTACGGATGTGCGTTCCTCACGGTGATTCTGAATAACGGGGGCTGGAATGCCACCAGGCAGTGCCTTGCGGATGTGCATCCCACCGGTGCAGCGGCGGGCTTGACGAACCGGGACTTGGGCATTTCGTTGGTCGAGGACGGGCCGAATTACGGCGAGATTGCGAAGGCGGCCGCGAATGGCAATCTGTGGACGAAGCGGGTGGTGAGCGCGGGGGACCTGGATGAGGCTCTTCGCGAGGGTATTAGAGTTGTTGCGGAGGACAATATTTCCGCCGTGTTGGATGTGATTATTGGGTAAAGACGTTGAAAGCCTGAGTGTAATGTTTATGAGAATTTTGATATGAGTTCTGAATATGACTTGGGGTTGAGTTTGTGTCGAATATGTACCATCAGACGACTTGCCTGGGTGCCGGGTTGTTTCTCGAGTTGTTCTGGCGACTTGTTTCGTTGAGTTGTTCTTCAAGTTGTTTCGCCGAGTTGTTTTTGTTCGGGGTCAGCTCGTGGGGTTGAACCGATTGAACCCAGGTTGAACCCAATCATAACCAGTGACTGGTATCTTCAATCAACATCATGGAATGAATGATTTTTACCACAATCTCAAGGATGCTTGTAGAAGTTCAACCGGGTCTTTTCGCAACCCTTGCCAACAGAAAGAGAACATTCACAGTGGGTAACCGACAGTTCGGCATGCAGAAAACCCTATACGGGTTGAACCCAGCTTCGTTGGGGAGTTGAACCCAGCAAGCACGCACCAAGTTGATGTCCCAAACCCCCTCCCAAGTCCCAACAAGTAAACCCCACCGATCGCACAGCGGAAATTCCTCCTCCATAATCCCAAATCCCAAATCCCACATTCCATATCCAACATCCAGCCATCACCGTCTGGCCTTCTTCAACGGCTGCGCATCGTCGGATGGCGTCCAACTCATCGCGCGTTTCATTCTACTTTCAACTCCAGCTCCAGCTCCTGCCGGGCGCACCTCACCCAGACCCCCATCGTCTGTCGCCCGCGTAGCCGACAGAAATATCTTCATGTAGGCCGCGGCGGTCGCAGCGGCATATCCCTGCCAGAGGTTATTTTTGTGGGAGTCGGCGTAGTCGCAGATCCCGCGGATGACAAGACAGGGGACTGTGTTCATGATGCCCGCAGCTTCCATTTCGAAGCAGAGGACGTTGTGTTGGCGCGCGAGGCGGTCCCGGGTGACGTTGTCGCGGATGACTTGGTTTCCGGACGCGATGAGGCCGTAGTGGATGCGGGGGTAGGGGTCTTTGCGGGGGGGTCTGGGGAGTTCGGGGCATGTGCATGTTTGAAGACTGGGGCTGGGGCTGGAAACGCAGTCTGATTCGTAGAGTTTGTCATGCTCTGGACCTGGGCTTTTATAGTCTGGTCGACGGTCTTCGATTTGGTGGACGTGGGCGAGGAGCTGTGTCTCTGCGGAGATGTCTGGGTCGGATCTCAGGCTGCTGAGTGCGGTCATGAGGAAGCTGGACGAGCCGTTTAGAAAGCCTACTCGTCTAAACTCGCCGTCTTTGAGGGTTTTCCCGAGGTCGTACTGAATCACGCCGGAGTACTCGTCGGTGGGCCAGCTGACAACTACATCACCCAGGCGGATGTCGTTTTCAGCAGAGGGCACACCACCTCCGATACCCACCAAGAGACAGAATTTCAACGAGGGAAAGCTTCTCACCATGTGTGATGCAACGTTGGCAGCTGAGTTAGTACCATATTGCCCCGATGGCAGACATGCCGCGACGACATTGTGGTGCTTGATTCGTCCCAGCGCGTAGTGATTTGTGTCTCCGGAAGGCATTGGGAAATTAGTGTGTTTACTATCGAAGACTGCTCGCACTGCCAGGAGCTCTCGATGCAAAGCACAAACAACCCCTACCGTGTAGTTGTCACAAGTGGGCGATGCGGATTTGGCGTCAGGCACGATGGACGGGTTCCTGATCTCAGCCAGTGCGGTAGACCCAATATGATGGGCTCTACATTCTGAATCGAATTCGCTGCTTTGGCGGGACAGTGTCGACCTAGAAGGATACGATAAACGAGACGAGGTCAGGCTCTGCCCAAGCCCACTGTCCTGTACTGGGGATTGCAACTCTTCAGGGTCCCCAAAATCACGATCGTCTCTAGTCCACTTGAAGCTGGAGTTGTGACCAAATATCACAGCGCCTTCTGGCTCCAAGCGAGGCGGGTCCATTTCTGGCAGTTTTCTACCAAATGACGACGGAAGAAGGACTTGAACTAGATCAGAATGACATTTACTGCCATTCCAAGTGCACTCACAGGGGTCCATCGCCCCGTACGGAGAGTGCCAGATGATTTCATCACTCAGCTTTATAGGGTTTGTTGTCTGGTCACCACCCAGCAGCATGACACGCTGGAGGTCAGCGACACTGGCACCTATGAGATATCTCCCTTTAGGTAGGCGTTTCCAGTAGTTGCACAGCTCTGGACCTTCAGGGACAAGAATATCGCCGAATCCTCTCCCAAACAAAGTAACCGCCTGGATGGATCTCACAAAGTCAACCCAGCTTTCAGCGGTGGGATGGAGGGTTGCCACGCGAGGGAAAGATGGATCATGATCTGTGGCAATATCGTCAAAGTCCCACCCTTCCAGATAATTCCGAGGAATATCCCTGAAGTCGGTGCCTCCTCGGATTCCAAGAAGCTGGTAGTCAATAATCTTCTCAAGTGACTCACCAATCTGCTCCACCCGATCTTCCAGGCGAATGAATTCGTCTTTTTCTGGGTACAGTTTCAGTTTTTTGTTGGAGCTGTTCAGAAGAACATCAATTGCAGAGTTAACCTTGTACGGGTGAGAACTCTCGTGTATTTGATCAGAGTGAAACAGGAACTCCGTCTTGAATATATCGGCTGCATCGTGTTGCAAAGATTGGCGGAGGAGATGTAGCAGGGCACTGGTCCCATTGACCAACCAGCCTCGCTTTTCATCCTCATCCCACAGCAACACAAATTTTTTCGAGAGCCATTTCAATTTGGGCAGGTATCCAAAGCGCGATACATAGGACGGCATATCTTTACGACCAAGGGCTGGAAGACCACCCATGATTGTGTGTCCGCTTCTAATAAACTCCTTCTCCAGAACGCAACCTTTGTGAGGCTTTGGAAGCCGAGATTTTGCGACATCATATGAAGAATCGGCTGCTCCTGCACATTGACCGCATCAGAATTTGCAATCGCAACCAGTTAAATACTCCAAGGTCATACCGGCATAGTATCGAACTTCTGAGCACCAACCCACGATGTGTCGAGAAGAATTGATGACGTCATTATTGAAATGGCCCCCATCATGTTTATTGCTTTCCAGGTAGGATATTCGACTCCCATCCCGCTTAAGAAGTAAATGCCATATTAGTATGTCAGGCGCTCGCTTGGTTGCAAGCAACATGGTTGAGAAACCTTTGATGACAGTTCTCTCTGCAAAATAGCCTAGGCGATTTGTCTGCGTCAAGCCAGCTAAAATATCTAGAGGTAGCTCGAGACCGGTGTTAGGCTCAGGCCTGCGAGGAATCGGGAAGCCTTTGACCACAATTGGATTTTTGAACAACCCATGCCAGCATTTACCTTGTTGAGCTTCTCCCTGAAGGGCTCGGGGGCGTACCGTGCAATCTATATAACCAAACACGTTGCATCGAGGACCTGGCAGCTCAGGGAGCTCAGCACTGAAAGACGGCATCGGATCTGAAGAATGGAAAAAGAAAGATGGGTTGCATGACGCAACTCCAAAACTATACGGAGAGGTGTGAAGAGCAGCTGCAAGCCATGTGAACTGCTCTGAAATTTCTGCCAGGCTATGTACTAACCCAGTAGCCTTGATTATTATATGCTTGTCATGGATAACGCCCGCAACCTCTGTGCGGTCGTTTAATCGAACTATACCCGTCAATATCCATATATCAAGAAGGCGAAGGACAAACAGGATTATCTACCTTTGCATTGATCTGAATTATTAGAAAGAAGAAGATCTTTGACCAGCTGTATAATGTGTTCCCCTGACCCTGGCCAGGTCTGTTTCATGTAGTCGGTGCATCGAAGGGCTTGTGCATCCTCTGTAGACCCTGTTAAGGTAATGGCTGAAGCCAGAGCGTCATCAGGGGATTCGCGGTAACCCTGCTCCTCAATGAACTTGCGTACATCCCAACGAATGTTGAGTAAGAGAGTAAATAATCTTGGGGTGTTTTTGGGACTGAGTGTATCCGATTTTGGCAGTATCTTGAATAGATGTTCGCGAATGGTTTTTGGATGATTCGGCTCTTGCGGAGACAATACCAGCTCTCTGCGAAGTTGATCAACCAACCAGGCATATGCGGATGATTCTAAAATAAGATCGTGGTATCTGCTTTGTGGCGGCCTTGATGCGGAATCCTTTACTTCGTCCTGATTAGGTCGTGAGAGTATCTCGGGTCCACTGCCCTCAGGGTCTTCTAACCCCCCAAGCCAGTCACCTATAAGTTGATTTAATAAGGCCCTGTCATGGTTATCAGGGTTTTTATCCTCCTCCTCTTTATATCTGTTTTCATGGAGGTTCTGAAGGTAACGATGTCGAAAGGAGTCTGTTATTTCCCTATAACAAAACAACATTAGCACTACTCCGCTGATTGCATATCAAAGGCGAGAGCCTACAATCGATGCGTTTGTACAAAGCACGCAATTTCAAGGTATACCGGACTCTCTGCATTGATTGCAAACTTCAAGGAGAATGCATTCAAGAGGTCCGGAAGCGATTTGCAGAGTTCAGTCACGGACACACTGTTCAAGCCTATCCGGTTGCACAAATTAGTAGCGATTTCCCCTATGAGATTTTCGTTATGCCGGGTGAATGTCATATAATCTGTGCGAAAGTTGCATGGATCCGATGTATCATCTCCTTCACGAAAGCGGAAATAGCTAGGGACACGGGACAGCGCGGCTTCAGGGACACGGGACAATTTGTCTCCTCTAGCATGAATCCTTGATACATCTCCAGGTTTTCGATTGGTGCGATCCATGCGGGACCCGCATGGCCTCACAGATCCGTATCCCGAATCATTCGAGACATAGGTCTTGTGAGATCGTCTTCTTAGTATTCCCTCCGGAACTGCCAGTTCACTAGTCAAAGCAAACGAATCCTGCTCCTCATCATCACTTGGGATAGAGTGTAGCACTTCTTGAGGGATGCAAGGCCGCAGGCTTGGTTCCTCCCATGGCGTCTGGAGGTCAAAGCTGTCGGATTCAGAGTAGTAGGAAATCATTTGCAGATTCTGACCGGTCGGCAGTATAATTCCGAAATGCTGCCTGATCAAGCCATCAGGCTGGTAGCAATCATGCCTATCTTTCCCCTTGGGAATGTTCCCTAGTGTGTCCCCCAGGTTCTCAGCAGATGTGCCGACAGACGTCGCAAGAGTTCCATTTCCTTGACTTACCATGGTTTATCTCCCGATAAGCCTCAGGGCTAGCGGAATCCTCACAGGGGATCCATTGCCTCCCATCAACCCAAATCTGGATATCTGCTTTGTGCTCGTCCCAGACAAACACGGAACCGGGTCGAATCGAAAGCTGTTCCTCGGTCGAGAGACACCTAGTAACACACGACAGCAAACCCATGCTACAGGCCTCAAACAAGATCCTAGCATCCTGAGAAGAGCGGACACGACCGTAATACGTCTCCATCCTGCTTTTAAACCCGATGGTGGGTCAAGATTGGATGATGTTCCGCGATGCGAGATCTAGTGGAGCCTTCACTCAATGTCAATGGCCGATCGGAATCAGAAACCGAGATAGGCAGCGTCTGCGACAGAATCAAAGCGATAGACTCACGTTGATGATACCATGGAAGAAGAACAGACGGGGGGCATCTAAGAGCATACACCGGTTGATGCTCTTGATGGCAGTCGAAGGAATCGAGGAAGGGGATCGAGAAAGGAGATGCGGAAGACAAGTGAGGGGGTGGTGAGGAGAAGAAGAAAAGAGAAGGGGCAGGTGTGAAGAGGGAAGTGGCAGGGCGGGGCTGATGGGACTTTGGGGGCCTCAGGGCAAGCGCAGCCTGGCTGCCTGGGGGTGCAGGGATTTGCTATCGGCATGATCCTCCCATGAATGCGAATCTTCTTGAATGTTCAACACAATCTATTACCCTGACAGTTCATTCCCCAATGCCATAATTCTGTACAGATTCGGACACGGCGCTATCTACAGGATATTTCAATGTATTGAAATGTCCGGAGAACAAGCTGCGCACTCTCCTGCATGATTGTACGTACTATGGGTTTGCTGGAAAGTGAGTCTAGATGGGCGCAGGCAGGATGTCACCAGTACCACCTCGAGGTCTGGCAGCGGGGCTGTGCCTGAGCAGCGCACGCCAGTGCCTGCCAGTGCCTTTGCAGCCCTGCGCGGTCTGCAGCCACCCCCTGGCCCCTCTAGGAAATTTATAATCCAACCTAAAAGAAAAGCAACTTGCTGGTGATAAGCTTTCACCCTAACAGCACCTCTGGTTGATACTGACCTGAAATCAGCTGCATTGACTTGATACTAAAATGCGTGTCATCCGTGCAGACCAGACTGTAGGCCAGTTACAGCAACGGGAGGTATGGACGCAGCTTAAAACCTTACCCGTCTGCATGCAAGGACCATTAATGTTATTCAGACCCCAACCAAATCAAAGTACACACATAGTACGCCATAGTGAATCACTGTTCCTGGCAGATAAACCAGCAACAATACCACCACACCACCCCAATCCCAAACGGGCAATCCGGCGAAACCTCCCCGACAGCGTCCGGAAACCCGGAAATGGCGACCGGTGATTGGCACCGCGGACCCCACATTGTCCGCCGACACGATAAAGTGACCTTCAGGCCTCCGCATCGAATACGATTCATGATTTCTACAACCACCACTCTGGTCTGACCGGCCCAATCCCCAATTCAAGTGACTCTAAATAAATCCCCAAGATGGAACCCCCTCAACCCCCCGCCCGGCCCCTCGCCTCCCAGGAGGAGCTGAAACGCTTCTACCTCGGCAAACACATCGACTCCGTGCCGAAACCGGCGGTAGTCCTCGACATCGCCATCATCAAGCGGCACTGTGCATCGATGCTGGAAGCAGCAAAATCATTGGATGTCGGATTTAGAGCGCATGTTAAGACTCATAAGGTAACCCTCCCTTTTCTAATTCCAATCCAAATAACGTGAGATTAACATCCGACAGACACCGCAACTCGCGCGCCTACAAGTCGGCGAGGAGAGTACGGAGTGTAACTTCGTGATATCCACCGTACTAGAAGGAGAAACCATCCTCCCGCTCCTGAAAGACCTCCAAGCCATTGGACGCAAAGTCAATGTCCTCTACGGCATCCCCCTGGTTCCGTCGCAGGTTACCAGACTAGCTGCGTTGGCGCGTCAGCTAGGAGAGAAGAGTATCTCGGTTATGATCGACCATCCGGATCAACTGAACCATTTGACTGCTTTCTACAACGTCGCGGGTGTGGCTGCGTGCGTGTTTCTTAAGGTTGACTCCGGCTATCACCGTGCGGGGCTTCCGCCCGCCAAGCTGAACAAGAACGGGCTGCTGGAGAGAGTGGCTGAGGAGGAGCGGGTCGGACGCGCTGTCCTTCTGGGAATGTACTCGCATAACAGTCTGAGTTATTCGGGGTCTACTCCGGAGGAGCTGATGGCGTATCTAGCGGAGGAGATTGTCAGTTGTAAGGAGGCGTTGAAGCAGAATATGCATCTGCTTCCGAAGGATCGGGAGCTGGTGGTTAGTGTGGGGGCGACGCCGCAGGTGGTCTCGGTGAATAATCTCCTGCAGGGGACGCTCAGTCGTGAGGCGCAGGCATTGAAGACGCTGCTGCATGATTCGGACCCCGGCATCAGCGCGCCAGTCAAGGTGGAGCTCCATGCGGGTGTTTATCCGGTGCTGGATATGCAGCAGCTGGGAACCAACGCGCACAGAACCGGAGAGGCGGAGAAGGAGATTGCGATCTCTGTGGCCGCGGAAGTCTGCAGTGTCTACAACAACGATGAACGGTCCAGGCCAGAGGCGTTGGTTGCGGCAGGCTCATTGGCCCTGGGGAGAGAGCCGTGCCAGTCGTATCCGGGATGGGGTTTGGTTAGGGGATACAGAGAGGGCTCGTCGCGACTGATTGTCGAGCGCATCAGCCAGGAACATGCGATTGTGGCGTGGGAGAAGGGGGAGGCGAAGATCCCCCTGCAGGTTGGCCAGACTGTGGGGATCTACCCCAACCACGCATGCATCACGGGAGCCTTGTATGGGTGGTATCTGGTGGTGGATTCCAGCCAGGCTGAGGGATCAAAGATTGTGGATGTGTGGCCGAGGCCAACGGGGTGGTAGATCCATACTCTGTAGTCTAATGTGATAGTAGATGTACATCCTCCACTCTTCACCATAAGAATAGATACATCCATCGGACTACTCCACACCCGCCCATGAAAACCGACCAGTTGTCGCTCGTTTAGCCCGACGCCACCCCACCGGGCTCGGCCCACGTGGCCAATCAAGGCGCACCCCGCGTGGTTCTTATCTGGCCGGCCTTCCAGCAATCGAGACGCGCTTCAACGCTTGAACTCCTCGCAATCTCCCTTCTACGCTAACATCCATCCTGATCCCTTGCACCCTCCGCAGCCCACACCAATGCCGCCTAGTAGACGGCCGCGCATCGACCCCATAGTCCGGGTGCGGACCGGCTGCTGGGCCTGCCGACGGCGCAAGAAGAAGTGCGACGAAGCCAAGCCGATCTGTGGGGGATGCGTGCGAAACAAGCTGACGTGCCAGTGGCCGTCCGCCGTGCCGGGGGGGTCCAAGACCACGAATGCTTCAGCGTCTGGCAGCGTGGATGGCAATGACCCTCAGCATCGTCCACCCGTCCAAGAAGATGCTCCTCCGCAAGCAGCGACACCATCATCACAGCGCGAGACGTCCAGCTCGATCGACTCTCGATCCACCTCTCCCTCCTCCTCGGAGATACTGCGGAATACCAGCCCCGAGGACACCTCCTTAGAACGCGCTATCACCCCCCTGACTCCCACTGGCTTCCCTCAACCCCCCTCCATCCCCAATGTCCAGGAACTGGGATCCTCTACCACGATGACCGTGGGCAATATGCTGCCCCGGAACATGTCCATGTTTCCTGGCCACGGGCCGGATTCTTATCAGCTTCTGAGCCATTACCTGGCCACGACGGCCGATTGCATGGCCAACGGGTCTACGCCCGTCAACCCCTTTCTAGTGCAGATTGTGCCGCTGGCATTCAGCAGCGATCTCCTGCTGCAGCTGGTTCTGACGCAGAGCGCTGCGCATCGGGCGTTTCGCTCGCGCAAGGAGTCCGATGAGGTGGCGCAGAGACACTACACCAAGGCCCTGCAGCTGTTTCGGAAAGGGGTCACGGAGTTTATCGATGGGAAGGAGTCGAATCCGCTCATGCTGACGGTGGGAGCGCTGGTGATGTGCTTTACAGAGGTACGACCATTATCTGTGGATAGCAGCATGGCTAACGATATCAGACTGCGAAAGGCGACATGAACGGTACTATATTCGACCACCTGACAGCAGCCAACTCTCTCCTGATCCGACTCCTCGCGCAAAGCGACACGGCTGTCCCAAAGGACCTGAAAGACTTCGTCATCGAATACTACACCTACACCGCGGCGGTGAGCATGATCTCGATCGACGCGCGAGTCAGCACGCAGCTTCTGCTTGATTTCGAGCTCGAACAACGCGCCCGCCAATTACTGCAGTCGGACTACGTGGGGAACCTGTGCGGGTGCTGGCTGGAGCTGCTGCTGCTGATCCCGTGCATTTTCGACCTCGGTCGGCAGTGGCTGATGCACGATGACCAGCCTGCAATGCCGACGGCGGACGACGTCGCGATGTTTGGCTCGCTGCAAGTGCAAATCATGCGGTGGGCCCCGTACAACTCCGTCACGCCGGAGGTATTTCTCGCCGGTCGGATCTTCCAGCAGGCAATGCTTCTCTACCTATACACTTCCCTAGGAGCCTTTTCGCGGACCGAAAACGGCATGTACCAAGGGATGATCGTGACCGCGATCACAGACGCGATGTCGTATCTGGACCAACTCTCCGCCACGGTACGGATCAACTCCGGGCTCTGCTGGCCGATCGCCGTGGTCGGGTCGTGTCTCTCCAGCGCGGAACACCAAGAAAGTCTACGCCGGCGCCTAACCACAATGGTCAACACATTCGGACTCGGCAACATGCAACGCACGCTCCTCCTGCTCGAACACATGTGGGAGATGCCCCTCGACGAGGCGGGGCCCTGGAATATCTGTCGGGCGATGCAGCGCAAACAAATATGGATATCATTTGCCTAGGATCTATCTAGGCTAGTCGTACAAAATCATCACTCAAGCAGTCCCCGGAGCCAGCGCGGAATGCCCTCCATCCATCCATCCATCCATCCATCCATGCATCGATCGTCTATTGGCCGAGGTTCTGGGGGGCCGGGGTCGCGGGACCCTCGGGGGTCACGTAGGCCTTGGTCAGACCGCCGTCGACGACGAAATCGGTCGCGTTGACAAAGCTGCTCTCGTCGCTGGCCAGGAAGACGACGGCGTGGGCCTGTTCGATGGCCTCACCGAAACGGCCGGTCGGGAAGTGGACCTCGCGACGGAAGCGCTTCTCCTTGTCGTCGCCGAGCCAGTCCTGGAGGAGGGGGGTGCTGCGATCGTCAGCTCATCCATTCACACCCCATCCCATCCCAGCAACCATCACCATCCTATCGGAATCTGCCTGAAATACTTACTTGAGCGGAGCCGGACACAGCGAGTTAAAGCGGAAGCCTTCCCTAGCATGCACAATGGCCAATTCCCTAGTCATAGCCAAAACGGCGCCCTTACTAGCGGTATAAGCCAACTGCGGCGTCGCCGCACCCACCAAGGCGACCATACTGGCCGTATTAATCACACTACCGGTCTTCTTCCCGTGCCTGCGCAGCGCCTTGACCGCATGCTTCGACCCATACCACACACCCTTGACGTTGATGTTCATGGTCAAGTCCCAGATATTCTCGGGGGTCTGCTCGGCGTCGCCGTCGTTGGCGTGCATGATGCCGGCGTTGTTGAACATGACGTCCAGGCCGCCCCAGGCGTCAAGGTGGGCGACGGCGGCTTCAACGTCGGATTCCTTGGAGACGTCGACGACGCGGGTCTCGACTTTGCCCGTGGGGGAGGGCACGACGGCGGTTACTTTCGACAGGGCCTTTTCGAGGCCGGGGGCGGAGATGTCCGTCATGAGCACGGAGGCGCCTTCGCGGAGCATGAGGATGGTAGTTTCGAGGCCGATGCCACTGGTTAGAAAGAGCGTTTTGTTAGTTTTGAACTTCCGGAGAGTACATGACGATGTTCATGATGAAGCAGAAGCAGACGCAGACGCAGACGCATATGCAAACAAGAGATGTAGAGCGTGAAGAAAGGGGGGGAAGGGGAGAAGGGGAGAGGGATCCTCACCCCGCGGCACCCGTAACGATAGCATTCTTTCCAGCGAGACGTCCGACCATTGTGATTTGTGATATGATCTGATTAATTTAAGTTCAAGTTGATTAAGATAGAAGATATCGTCAAAGAAGAGTTGTTGAGAATGGATGAATAGAATATAGTTGAACAGAAGAGAAGCGAAGCGAAGACCAGACCGAAGGGAGATGCAGAAGTGCAGAAGTGCAGAAGTGCAGAAGCGGGACAGCTTTATAAGAAGAAGGTCGAAAGGTCGATTACCCCTCCCTACCGCCCGCACGCAGCCCACCACCACTGCCACGTTCATCGTGCGGTGCGGGGATCCACCGGCAACCGCCGGCGTCGGAGCGCTCGTTTGCTCGCTCGATAAGCGCCGATAATTGATAAAGGTGGGGTTGGGGTTGGGGACCCCGCGGTCCGGGACCGCGCTTCTTTCTGTAAAGTATTTTCTAACTAACTAGTTATCTAGTCGACGGGCGGTTGTTCATGCCCATGCTATGGGATGGGAATGGTTATGGATCTTGCATCTTGATCGTCTGGCTGGGGAAGGGGGGGGGGGGGGGGGTGGTTAGAATGAGGATTAGTATTAGTGTTGGAATATGAATTGCAGATAGCAGAAATGCGCCTGTATGCAAAGGCGGTCAGCACTTCACCCACTTCACAATTACAATCACAACAACTATGAGGGTGTAGAGACTGTGGTCTGTAGACTGTGCTGTGATGATAGCTATCTATTACTTACTAATGATAGATTGAATACGCAGTGTTACTGTGGGCGGTGTAAACTATAAGTCTCTGAAGATAATAATATACAATATAAAACAAACAAGTACTAGTCAAAGAGCCTCTTATACACACCTTGATACACAATTATTGGACTCCCTCAACTTCCCCTCCTAAATCGATTCTACATTTTACACCCATCCTCAAATATCACAATTTTAGCACATTCACCTGTTGAACTATTGAAATTTGGATACAATATAATAGTCCCTAACAGCACTATCGAGACCCAAGTATCTGGAATCTGGGCATGTTTCCAATTTGGTCATTGGTGGTAAAATAAGATAAATAAATCCAGGTAGGTCATCCTAATTTAAAGAACAGAGTGACCATATTCTCAACTCAAATAAAATTGAAACTGCAACTGAAACCATCCCCATCACCATAATAGACTACCGTACCTGCGCCACAGCACACCATCCCATCCCATTCCATCCCATCCACAACAACACCATCCCCAGAACCCCATCTCAACCTCTCAAGAGCCAAATGCATGGATAGTATCAGAAAACAACTGGTCGACCCACTTGCGTCCCGCAGCAAGAGAGTCCACATCCTCCTTAACCACCTTATTCTGCAGCGCAACGACAAGGCTATCCGAGAGATGGTTCAGATTCTCGAGGATGCGGCGCACCTCGTAGGTTTTTCCGAGGGTGGCGACGGTCTCAGCCTGCAAACAGCAATCATAGAATGCGTTAGTGGAGCTCATGCATGCGTGCCTGTGTGCATGAAGTCATGCTTGTTGTTGTAACGGGTATATAGATAGAAGGTAGATAGCAGATAGTCGATAGGACAGCAGACAGCAGATACACGACAACTGACACATGACAACCCATGGGATAATAAATCAAAGTCAAAGTGAGCAGTACGAACCTTCCCCTTAAATGCCCCCAACAAATCGCTCATAAAATCAGGATACGGCAACTCAGTCGCCTCCAGGACCTTCTTGCTGCTGTCTGCGTTGAGCGGCTCGGCGGAGGCGGCGGCTTCAATGACGTGTCTGATATCATGCTCGACGACGGATTCGGCAGCCAAGGCGGTGTTGTACTCCTGTTCGGTGGCGGTGATGGCTTTCACGTCGCTGTAGAGGGTGGTGTAGTCGGTCGCGAGGGTGTGGATGGCCGAGATGATGGCATCGGCGGGGGCGGCGGCGATGGTGGTTTTGTCGGAGATGAGGGTGGGGAGGGCGTAAGTAGTAGTGATGGTGGTGAGGAGCATGGTGAGGAGGGGGGTCATGGGCATGGTCATTGCCATGGGGGTGGTGGTGGCGAGGAGGGTGGCTGAGGTGAGGGTGAAGGTGAAGGTGGTGAGGAGGAAGATAGGGAGGAGGGACTTAGTGGTGATGGTGGGGGGAGACATCATCATCATGTTTGGGTAGAGGTTAGCTTTGTAGAGGAGACACAAGATGGAGATGTGTTTTGTTTGGTGGGGACGAGAAGAGAGAGAAAGAAAGAAAGAACGACGGGAGAAGAAGGGGGATGGACGAGTATTTATGTTCCAGTCGAGTCGAGTCGAGTCGAGTCGGTGTGGGAGGAAGTGAATCGCCCGTCGAAGTGCAGAGCAGTGAATATACCAGGTGAAAGTCGCCTGCCAGCCACCACCAGCCTGCCACTCTTACTCTTTGTCCCAGGACGGTCGGTCTGGATCCTGCCTTCAGCAAAGTGAAGCATACGCGATCAACATTCACCAGGATGCAATGGTTGGTGATTAAACTTTCTCACCAAGTTCGTGGAACCCGGGGATGGAAGTTTACCAGGGTAAGAAGATGTTGTTTACACCATGTGGGCGTCGGCCCTGATTGGAATAAAAATTTAAAACTGGGCCGTGTATGTGTCACCCGGGCTGTAGGAGTCACGGCTGGACTGGGAAATATTGATACACATGGCTTGTCCATTTGCCTGAAGGGGTTGTTGGTTGCAGTTCTGGGTGGGTTGATCGAAAGCACAGAGTTTGGAGGGTGGCATAGGTAGGGACGTACCTGATCATCCCGTCTCGACCATTGATTTAGTGCATTCAATATACTGCGTGATTGTAACGCAGAGGACAAAAAGCAACCCTGGAAGATCATTTCCAGGGATGTTTCCTTGGGCCATTTGTCATGATCAAGTGTGCCAACACCCTTCTTGGCTTGGTGGGCAATCCGGAAATGTCATATAAGCGTCCAGTATGTATGATCGAGAGTCGATAAAAAAATATATCAAACTGTGGAAATATGTACTAGCTAGGTCAAGTGGAGATGAAGCAATGTGCAGTTTCTCAAAAAAAAAGAATTTGCCACACCAGATGGTATAACTAAGATTCAAAACGGACTCGAAGAATCGAAGAAAATACACCACGTCCCCACCCCCAGGAAGTACTCGATGGAGCTGAAGTCCGGATTCATTCCCCATTCCGTTTCGCTGCCGATCTCGCAGTGCGGGAAGATAAGGGCCTGGTTGGCTTCTCCCCAGTTTTTGTAGTAGTAGGAGAAGGTCTGGAGCTGTGCGGAGTCTAGGCAATGGGTGTTAGAAGCGGTGGAGGTAAAGTTGGAGTTGCAGAGCATGGCGTCGAGGTTTGTTGAGGTCGCAGTCCTGGGTGTCGTTGATGATGTTACATTTCACGCCATCCTGGAGATGTGAAGAGGGAAGAGGGAGGGGGAGGGAAGAACAAAGCTCACCGCACTGTTTAAGAGTCTCATTAGCAACAAACTCTAGCAGGTTTGAGCTAAGATGATGGCTGGATGTGTCGGTGAGGTTGCAATCGGCCGCGAAGATGCTGAACAGCTGCATATGCGTCTTTTACCATCCCGGCGCTTCCACCACCGCGCCATCGAAGTTGTCTAGAAAAGCCTACACCTCTTGCCCTGCCGTCCTCAAGTTAAGCAGCTGCTGTAGTAACCGTACATCAGGATGGTGCCGTAGTAAGCCGTGGTTGCTTTCTGAGCCTCGACGATCGAGTAGTGCATGTCCTGCCAGCCCTAGTCAGGTTAGTCACAGACTCGGGGTTCTAAGCCCAGGAGTTGTCAAAGGCCGAGTCATGCCCAGTGTCGGTTAACACGGCCATGGATCCTTAAGCGATGCGAACACCCTGTATCAGATTGAGACATGGCTGTGAATCTTCAGAAGAGGGAACTGGCCATTTCTTCGTCGTTGGCTCCGCCTTCTCGGGCGGAGTTAGTTACCAGAAACCCTAACAGAGTCAGCTTAACTGCCAACCCGATTGCCCAGTGTGTCAGGTCAGCCTGTGACTTGCTTGGCGGAAAGACTTGGCAGGGAATGACGCGTCCTAAAGAACGACATAGTAAGTGAATTGATGAAGGACAGGGCCAGACCCGCCATTTGATCCGGGGCACCTGCTTGGCTCCACGGCACGACCCGTCGGCGATGGCAGCTTTATGGCTTGGCACTCATACTTCAGCAGACGACGCAGTATAAGAGAGTGTGCTCGTGCCAGGTGGATGCATTTTCTTTTTTTCACCAACCACACCGTGCATCCGAGCCCTATTTCCAATCCTCCAGAGTTACTTTCCAAGTTACTGCCTACCATGCGCTGGACTTTGGGGTGGTCGATGCTGACGGCGTCGCTGGCCGCTGCGGTTTCCACGAGCACCACCTCGTCGGCCTCCTCACGATGCCCTCAGTTGCTCTGGACTACTGCACCGTGGTGGCCGCGATGGGCAACGACAGCCTGGACTACTACCGTCACCAGAACATCCGGTTTGCAGCCGCACCCACCGGAGACCTCCGCTTCGCAAAGCCGGAGTGGCCGCCGGTTGAGACGGAGACCAACCACGGGCACATCGTGGAGGAGTCGATTGACTGTGCCAGCAGCGAGAACTGCCTGTTCCTGGACATCGTCGCCGACACCTGTCCGTCCCTCCATCCCTCCCATCCCTACAGTGTATATAGATAAGTAGGTCGATGACTGACGTTATACAAACACCCTAGCTCCCCAATCTGGTAGTTACATCTGGTCATGTGAATACGGCTAGTAATCCACGCTAATCTCTTCAGGAAATAGAGGATGTTCATAGTTAGTTCGTACCATCATGAAGCCCCTCCCCTGTAGCTCTGTACGGGGGTAAAAAAAAAAAGAGAAATCGGCAACCAGATCATCAATCTGGTATCCACCGTATATAGATATATAGAGTGAAGGATAGATAGATAGTATATATACAAATCAACTCAACTCAACCAATCAACCAGCCCTCCTCACAAAAAATAAATCATAATCACCAGGAAATGGAAGTAAGCACACAGCACAACCACAACAAATCTGCTCATAATACATCCATCCACGCGAACTGAAAATCCCCAATCTCCCATCTCCAATTCTCAATCTCTAATCTCTACTCTCCAACATCCAAAATCCAAAATCCACCCCATCTACCCCTACTCCGATCCACAATCATCCTCCTCGCCCCCAGCAACACCCAACGTCGTGGTCACCCTAACAGTGTGGAAATCATCCGGTCCCGATGAGGCCGAAGCAACGGGCGCAGGGGTCGGCACGTGATCCAGGGTCACAGGGTGGGAATAGTCTGAGTTCCAACCAATAGTCTTAGGGACGGTTCCAGGCTTGACGAAGTGGGAGGAGGCAGAGGCAGAGGCAGAGGGGCGGGAGTGTGCAGATGGTGGTTGTGGTTGTGGTTATGGCTGTGCGATGCGTGGGCAGCAGAACCGGTAGGGCTCACCGTGACATAGACAGTGGACGCCGCAGCGCAGGTAGACGGGGTGGCGGTGGTGGTATCAACGCAGCTCTCGGCGTCAAGGTTCTCGGAGACGAAGAATCTGTCGCTCTGCGCGTAGATGATGTACACGTTTGTGCCGTTGATGCCGCTGATCTGGTAGCCCCATTCCGGGGTGGCGTCGCAGGGAATCTGCACGGCGTGGGAGAGCTCGGAGGTGGGGATGTCCAGGGCTAGCGCCGAGTAGGTGGGCGGCCAGTAGACGAAGTTCCATAAATAGAGACTGAAGGTGGTGGGGTCGGTGTCGACGGTGGTCCAGTTGACGGTTATGGTGGAGCCGGCCGCGTAGGTGGAGTTGAGGGCGGGTTGGGTGATGCTGATGGCGGAGGCGAGGGTGGTCAGGGAGACCAGAAAGGGGAGGGAGGACCGCATGGTGATTTTCTTGAAGAACTTGAAGAATGTAATGAAGTATGGTGTGTGGGGAGTTGTGTGGGGGAGAGGAGAAATGCTTGGTGAATAAAGGATTGACGCGACCGACCGATCAGAAAGAATGACAGGTAGTTGGGGGGGACGGACGGAGGTGGTGAGATCGGGTTCCTGGCCAGAGAGAGAGACAAGACAGAAACAAACGGAGGAACCCCAGGATTAAGTAGTAGTAATGTAATGCAGTCTTGAACCACCGGAAATTAAAGGTTATGCCAGGCAGCACAACCATCCGCAAGGACCGAGCGGCGATGGGCCAACTAGCAGGAATAGTTCCTGGCGCAACCGGCTTAGCCCGACCGTTAATCTTCGGGGCGCGTCGCCGATTGGCAGTGACCAAGACAGGGGCTGATGTGCTGCCTAAATTAGTCCCTTGGCTGCTCCGACCTTTCTGGCTTCCGTGGCGGATCGTTTGTGCCTCGGAGATCGCTTTTTTTTTTTTTTCTTTTTACATATACTCTGTCTGTCATGTCAAACAGCCTTTTGTGCCGTGTGGTGCGCAGCACTTGCGTCATGTGGTTGCGTGGTAACCCTAACAGACCCGGAGTTGGGTTTTGTATAGCATCAGCAGAGCAGGTGGAATCTGGGAGGAACATGCGTGAAATCTGAAATTAAACGGCCCCTCCAGTAAAAAGATGACTATCACCTCCGAATCTACAACTTCTTATCACACCCCCCTCTACAAACACGAAGCAATTTCATGAATCGAACCAAGCGGGTAAGTCATTACCCTCCTCCCTGTTAGTCCACATACTCAGCACAGATCATATCGCCCCCAAGATTCATAATCTGCGCGATGGTCACATTGAGCGTAAGCCCCAGCGTGTAGAGCACGTGTTGCGGTGCAGTCGTATTCCCCGGATCGCCGTGGTATCTTGTCAGCGACTCGCTAGGAAAGGAGACATTGCCCTCGACAAGCACCCACGCTGGAGGGACGTTGTGTCCGCCCACGACGGTCAGAAGCGACCTGAAGTTCTGCTGCTGCCAGCGTCACCACACGCGGTCCGGGTAGGCGTGGTGCAGGTAGAATGCCGGGTCCCCGTTTCTCTCGACGAGGTTTTTCATCTGTGGTGAATCTTGAAAGAGGGATGGGAGGATGGTTCATGAGGCATTTTTCGGGCTTTGATAGATTCTGGAGAAGGGTGTGTATGTAGGCAAGCGGCCGTTGTGTGCGTGAATCGACTTACCATGCTTCTCATCGTCGCTGGGGGTGCTCCTAGAACTGGGTGAGCTGCATCCTAGCTTGAGTATGGGGTTGTTGTATTGATGGTAGCGATTGGCTAGCAAACTGCGTTGTGGGGGAGCAAAAAGAAGGAGTTGATTACTGGAAGGCGTTAGCTTCAGGCACTGCTGTCATTCACTGATACGTAATTTCCAAGATGGGAAAAGGGAATCTAGTCCGAGACTGCCTTTTTTTGATCTTCTAAGGACTCAAAGCATAGTCGATAGAGTGTTCATTTCATCCATGGTGATGCCAGTCGATCAGTATTATACCTTGAGGATATCATGCTTAAACTCTAAATTATCCTCATATCAAGGTCCGACCGAAACTCTGGGCTTGACTCCTGCGGCAATCTTTTCTCCCTGCGGTAAGTATGGAGGCTCAGAGCCATTCACCATGCCAAAGGGCTACGAAGCCATGGATGGAATGTTGCAGGGGTTTGGGGTATGGAGAAATCCCCATATCTGCTATATTATGCTTGATTTAGCAGACAAATTATGCAAAGAAATCCCTCTCACAATGACTCTGCGCGAGGGTCTCCAAGGAGGTGCCTTCCTCAAAATGGCGATATCGCAACGCTTATTGAGTCACGACCGTAGCGAAGGGTAATCTGCTCATCGAGTATCCAATCATCCTATATGAAATGTCCCAGGGCTGTGGTATCTAATGCTGTGACCACTAACATCTGCATGTTCGAGCTGTTGGGGAAGGTACACCCCTGTTTTCATGTTAGTTACTCATACCGAGCATATTTCCTTTGGTGGATTTATCAAAGGGCAGAGTATGGTACTTCCAACCCCTGCCAGCTGGTGACATGGCATGTAAGACTCATGTAGGTGCTTGGGGGAGATTTTGTTGATTCAAGCTTTCATTGGTAGATTCTATGGTTTTGCTATTACCGGTTCATAATTTCATATTGGAGACTGTTAAATCTCTCCGCCTATTATACAATGCTGTCTTAGACAGGACTCCTGCTCTCATGTTCTTAGGATAATGAGATAATATAGAAACAGGATTTAATCAGTATTCCAAACATTGCTCCCCCTGGAGCCCCATTCAATTATTAACTCAATATCACTATCATCGGTTGAGGTCGATTTGATTGGGTGTGGTAGATACACACCTTCATCTTTCGTGTTATGTCGATTTCTGGAATCGAGCGATAAGAGATAATCGCAGGCTTCCGCGGCAGTCCCAGAGGCCTAAGCACAACGATTACTTATGACAAATAGTACAGCTGTGATGAACACTATATATGTGATCGATCTTCTATATCTCTTCCTGCGCATCAAATTGGGTGCCGTTGCTGCCCGCGTTGCATTTAAGGACCTCGGAGATATTCTATACTTGGTGCGAGGCTATGGAGCTCAGATCAAAAGATTTTTCCATTGTCTGGATCCGGGTACGGTCAACATGTTTATTAAAGCGGTGTCTTATTATAGTATTGGGCATTGGAGGGCGTTCTTTGGGGTATAGCTCGGTATGGGGTATCTCAGGCACAGTCTCAAGTTGACCCAATGTCAGAAACCCATCAACAGAAAATGGGAGGTGTTCTAAACCGCAGATAAAGATTCTGGAGTATCAGTGCCGTCTAGTTATTGAGAAATGAAGTTTGGGCAAAACCAAAAAAAAATCAATCGCTGCCAAGCCTGTTTGTTCTTCTGCATCAGAAGATGCAAAAAAGAAATCCTCCCTGACTGGGAGTCGAACCCAGGTCTCCCGCGCTTGTTCCCGGAAGGGATTGACAAGCGGAAATCATGACCGTTAGACCATCAAGGATTGGAAGATATGATCTCGGTCCATGTTATGTTATATAAGCGTCAACCTTGTTTAAGTCCTCCTATAAGCATCATCAGCTGGTTAGTTTGTACCCCCTATATTCATTCATACCCCTGGTCGACCCTTCATCATCCGACCCTCCGATAGCTTATCGTATATATCTCCTGTTGATACTTCCATCCCAAGCGTCTCTGCTTTTTCTGCGCCGACTTCATTCAGAGCTCTCTGCGGGATGCCGGGGTCGAGTCAACGAAAATAAATATCGGTTCCACACCGTCATCCGCAAATGCCTGAACACGATCTCTTAGCCATTTGGTATCTGTATCACACTCCATGAAAATAAGATTTTCAGATCCCCATTTTTTTCGGAATGATTCATCCCATCTATTAATTCATCCAGTTTCAGGATAATTTTGGAGTCGAGCGCGCTTTGCACAAAGAGCGATAACTCGGGGTACAAGACGCCGCCTGCTAAATAGGCCACTATATTCGCTTCCACGCAAGATGAACGGATAGTTGTGACAGTCTAGACTACATTCAATATTCTCAGGTTGAACAATCAGATGGCAGTACTTCCTAGGCACCAGTAACCAAACAATCGCCCACCCAATAGCTTTGAATTTTGGGTATGGTGGTTTAACAGGTTCGGTAACCTAGAAGGCTTTGGGCCACAAGGTGTGAGAATATTGCTCTGAGCCGTGAAAGGAGCCACAGCCTGTTCAAAGCACTAATCCGTGATGTGTAGTACTCGGTCCTAACCTCGGAGATTAGAAATCTGATTTTCTGCGAGCGGCTGATGAAAGGTGTACATGTACATGTTGGACACGATTTGTGCCGTAATAGATCAATGCGTATTTCTGAACGAAACAATGGGGTGCATTGTTGTCTGATAGGTTGGAGATAACGGTGGAGGCTTCCTGGGGAGGCTGGAGTTGCTCGTTTATGCCTCCAAGCGCTAGAGGGATAAACGTGTCTTTGGTGTTGCCTTCGGGATGTCTATGGTCCATGTCAGAAGTTATGAGAGGGGGGAAGTTATTGTCGGTGGATGCAGATGGATTTCGAGGGAACAGGCAGTCCGGTCCGTACCGGCGGTGATAAATCCGGGGTCACCTGATGGATTCATAATGAAAATCAAAGGGAATTTATACTGTGGACTTCATACAATGGAAATATTTCCACTTTGTATGTTTTGCACTGCTGGCCTTTCATAAGTAGACTGACAACAAACTTTCTCCTATGATAAATATATGCAAGCTCCATTCTGTTATCGAAGACAATCCATGATCAGCGCCAAACGATCTGCCAGAAGTCAACAAGAAAATCGCCCCCCTCTGCCAAAAGGTCCTGAAATAATTTACAGTCGCCAAGCTGCCCGAGAACAGATACAATATAACTTGTAGCCAAGGTCCTCAACTCATCCTTGTTATCAAGACGGGGTGTATGGGCATATACAAATCGAACAAACTCAATAACGTCCGACACATTGGTCTCACACAGTGTGAATATCTCCAACGTCTCCTTAAGCTTATGCAGGACTAGCTGACAGAGCGATTGAATCCTGTATGTATCAGCAACGACATATAGCCTAGCATGTCCCAGGAGAACGGGGGTGAAATCTTCATTAGGCCTCGTGTTTGCTTTTGGATTGAAATTCTGAGTTGACGCGGTTTCATGCGCCGTAAGGTCGAATCTGAGTTTCCTGAATTTGTCGCGGAGTTGATGAATCCATATGCTTTTCTCCCGATATGGTAGCTCATAGCCATCAAAAGGTGAGGGAACATAGTCTGCAGGACTTTCCGGATACGGCTCCGGCTCTGGCTCCGGCTCTGGTATCGGATCTGGAGCTTCCGGAGGCTCATAGTCTACGTCAGCGCCGTTTGTGAGATCCTGCAAGGCTGTATGCCAGTTATTCACTATCCCCCAGAAGCCCTTTTTTGATGTCTACCAACCTTTATCTTCTACATCTGATCCCTGTGGCATGGCGTCTTCTGGTCTCTCTTCACACGGTGGCGGCGTGTAGTTTCGAATATAGGCGTATTCACACAGTCGAATGAAGGTATCCTCATCAACCTTGGGCCATTCGACGTGACGAAGCCTCGCATCCAGCATTGTGCCATTCATGAGCGTATCAAGGGCGGGTGAAAGGCTGGCTAGAGGGCTAGAATGCACGGTTATCTGCTTTCTATCCGCCCCGAGAATGAATGTAAAAAGCGACGACGAGAGAAATCTGTTGCGTTTAGCTTTCGCAGTAATGCGGAGGTTTTAACTTACTTGCCAAACTCCCCGTCCATGCTGGGCGCAGTCAATCTAGCGCAGCCCTGTATGGGATGCTGATCTTTATGCAAACGAGAAGAACTCAAGGTGAAGCTTTGGATAACTCCGAAGCAAACAAATCAAAAGGCAACTGTTGTTGTTTTAAATGAACAACTTCTGCCAGAGAGCTAGCTGACGTCACGGCGCTTGTGATGTGTTAAGTCATCATTGGGTCTCGAGAAAGCGACTCGTGTAGTAGAGAGAGACCGGGATTGTGAATCTGTGGCTGGTTTTTGTAGAACCAAATACGGTCTGGACTCTCCACATTGCAACCAGGCCCGGCTATGTTATGTATCAGGGTCCCAACACACATTTTGGCTTTTTAAAATATAAGTTTATTCGATTACCGAAGAGAGATTTACTCGACATACGTTCAATTACCTAGATGGAGCGTAACCCGGAAGTCGTCCCAGCTGCCAATCGGAATTCGAGGATGCAGAGTCTTGGATTTCGCGACCCACTGGCGAAGCACGGATGTACCTTACGCACGGTGACTCGTGTATACAGCTAGTTGGAACACCTCGATGACTCGAACAAATAATTTATAGTATTATCCGAACGCACCAAGTTATGAGCAAGATTGGGTGTTAAATAAAGACATTGACAACTTGGCCAGATTGCTGAATCTAAACTAAATTAACAAAATAATGTCTCTGTCTATTGGAGATCTATATGTAGGGTGATGGTTCTATGTTCATGATGAAACTAATAAAGTATTTTCCTTTCATAAGCAGAGTATAACCTTAAATGATAAAATCTTTCTGATTGTCTTCTCATTCCAGGAAATCTAAATATGACTTGCTTCAAAAAAAAAAAGAAAGAAAGAAAGAAAGAAGAGAGAGAGAGAGAGAGAGAGAGAGAGAGTTTCCGATTTATCTTTCCGCTACAGCCTACACGGAGGATTCCGCCGCGAAGTGCCCTCCTCGAATGATACAGAAGCAAAAAGAGATGACAAGAGTGGGATTCGAACCCACGCCATGAAACCATGATCAGGAAGCTAGAAGCTGTTTATTAAGGTAGACCTTAACCTGACGCCTTAGACCAACTCGGCCATCTTGCCTTTGGATGAGAATATCGTCAAAAATTGTGCTACAGATACGCAATGTTAAATGCCAAGAATCGACGGGAAATCTCCCGCACGAAGGATCGACTGCCAAGATATAAATTCGTCACCCAATTTCCGCAGATAAGCAAAGGATTGCGGAGTTGTCCGCCAGTTCAGACACAGAGATTGGGAATTACCAATCATTCACTTTCCAGTATATAAAACGCTTGCATTCATCCACACCAATCGGGTGAAAACCCGTCAATCCTGGTAGGTATGACCCCTTTGATCTTCACGGTAAGTCCCGAGGTCGGCCGTGAGGGCCATGTCGACATTGGCTGAAGAAAAGCACAATTCAGGTGATGGATTCCGTATTCCGGGAAAATTCACCCATATAGCCTGAGTAAGTAGGTACAGGGTCTGATCGCGCTATATCCGAGGGCAGCAGACTTAGCTCGGTGTTACTAGCACCACCTAAGGTCTGTGGGCCGCGCGTATCTAGCCCCTTCACTAACCCCGACCCGACCCTGGATAAGGGTTCCGGGGAGATGCGGACGTGCTGCTCCCCGGGATAAAACCCCCAACCCCGCCATTCTTTTGGTGCAGAACTTTCTGCACGCAACTTCTCCACAGAGAAGCCTCGAGTACAGTCACCAGAAAGCCAACTAGAAGGAGTACATGGAGAAAGACTCGGAATCTATCCATTGTGAAAGTGTGAAGGCAATGGCCGAACGCCAAGAGTAAGTCCCCGAGTCCGTCTGCTGGTTATCTCCACAAAAATGACGCTTCGTTTGAGATCGGCTATCCTAACCTATTTCTACGCAGTTAGCCATCTTGGCAAATATATGCTGGCGCACGTGCCCTGCAGGACCCTACTTCCCCTCTTCCTCACCTCTCCGACCCTTCCGTTGCATCAAAAGCAACAAACCAGCGGCTTGCAAGCTACAATGTAGGTTGATGCTCGGCATGGCTTTGACATGAGCGGGGGAAACCATCCCAGCTGCTCACTCAACCACCATGAGCCTCCTCCACTGCATACTCGTGACAGAATAGAGAATATTGATAATGATGTGCGCAAATCACCAACCCTTATCTTCACAGGATCCATCAGTCGGAGAGAAACCGTCAACCTGCATCCATAAACCAAAGCCACCACTATACAGACCTCCCGGTCAGCAATGAACAAGCTAAATGGGAACGATGTGGAGTAGAGCGGACAAATACCTCGAAGCTGAAGCGTCGGAACGTGAGGCTATGGAGCGCTAATGCTCATTCCGCGTCGTCCGCGGAGCGATCGACACCCTCCATCGAGAATCATCCCGTCATTCACTGCCCCATGCGGAAACCTCTTGCGATGCCCTATGTGAGCACCATGACCCGAGGTTCTCTCGCGTATCGGTGGACTCTCCCGGCCTACTGCGCATGAGTCCGCGGACCAGCCCGAAAAGCATAAATAGAGCCACAGCCGTGCCCAGAAATGCTTGAATTCGGATCAGCATCCGCATCCTGCATCAGCATCAGCGGCAGCAATAGCAGCAGAAGCGAGGTCTCCTTCACAGCCCGCACAATGCGCCTCTCCTCCCTCCTCACCCCACTGCTCTGCGGCCTCGTCGCAGCCGGGTCCTGCCCGTACGCGAACCAGGCCCGCTCAGACGACACCCCCTCTGTGTTGCCCCGCGGCTCACCCATCGAAGACAAGAAAGGCGTGATGTTCATGAACCGCATCGCGCCGGCAACATCCAAGCTCTACGTCTCCAACATCGACGGATCAAACCCGCGTCTCCTCCTCGGCAACGAGACCACGTTCGACTACCATGCGCAATGGTCCCCAGACGGCGAATGGATCGTGTTCACCAGCGAACGGGCCGGGGACGGACAATCCGACCTGTACCGGGTGCGCGCCGACGGCACCTCCCTCCAGCCCATATCGACCACCCCCGCCGTCGAAGACGCCGGCTCGATCTCCCCCAACGGCTCCCTGATCGCCTTCGCAGGCACCCTGGGCAACTACAAGGCCAACATCTGGATCAAGAACCTCGACACCGGCGCCCTCTGGAACATCACCAACTCCACCTCCGTCGCCGGCAACTCCTCTCTCCCGGATGGCCACTTCCGTCCCGCCTGGTCCCCGGACGGCGAATGGCTCGTCTTCTCCTCCGACAAAAACACCCCCTGGCGCGGCCACAACAACGTCAGCGGATGGGAGCACACCCAGGAACTCTCCATCTACGCCATCCGGCCCGACGGGAGCGACTTCCATCGCGTGGCCAACAAAACCGGCTACTGTCTCGGGTCGCCCAAGTTCTCGCCCGACGGGTCCCGCATCGTGTTCTACGAGATCCCCACCGAATTAACCTACTACGCCCGCGTGTCTGAGCCAGACTTCTACGACGTCGGCACGGCCATCGTGTCCGTCGACTTCGCCACCGGCGGAAACCCCATCGAGCACGCCTCCGCCGATACAGGCGGCATCAAGCTCTTTCCGCAGTACCTCGACTCCGACACCATCGGGTACCTCGTGAAAAGCCTGCTCACGAACACCACCTACCCGGGCTCGATCAACTACACGTCAGCGCTCACGGAAGGCCCCGCGGCTCTCAACGCGAACTCGTCCCTCATCGGCCACTACCGCTCCCCGTCGTGGTCGCCAGACGGTACGAAGATGGTCTACGAGCTGGTCGAATGGGACCCCATCCGTCCCGTCGGCAAGAAGCTCTACAGCTGGAGCAACGAATGGGAGTACCGCTTCAGCGACGTCTTCCCGCAGATGTCCAACGGCGGAAAGATCGCCTACACGTCCCAGCAGACAGAGAACTCGTCCCTGGTGACCATGAACCCGGACGGGACAGCTGCGAGGGATATCTTCGACGGGTCGCGGTTCCCTGCGCTGGTCAACGCGTCGAACACGAACGGGACGTTCCAGGCCTCGTGGCGGGGGGATGACGAAGTCATCGCCGTCGGATTGGGCGATTGGTTCGAGTACCGCTACGAAAACCCCGGGTGGGTGTATCTGGTGTCTGCGAACGGGACGTGGACGAAACGCGTGACGGACGGGACCACGAACGCCGGGTTTCCGACCATCTCGCCGGATGGACGGTGGTTGGTGTGGCGCGAGTTTGATTATACGAGCGATGAGGTGGCGCCGTTGGGGCTGCGCAGGATGGATCTGAAGACTGGCGAGGTGGTTGTGTTGTCGACGGAGTGGGATAATACCCCGATGTTTGCGCCCGATGGGTCGAATCGTATTGTGTTTACGAGGAGGACCAGTTGGCCGATTTCCGGGCCGTATGATGATAATTATGATGTGATGACCATGGAGGTGGATGGGAGCAATTTGCGGAGGTTGACCACGCTGGAGTGTAATGATGCGCATGCGGTCTGGACCCATGAGGGCAAGATTGCCTGGGCGTCCGGCATGTATGGCTTCCAGGATGAGGCGGTTATTTATGATAATAACCAGCAGCCGTATCCGTTTATTATGCAGATGGAGGCGGATGGCTCGAATATGACGGCGCTTACGCAGAGCCGCTGGGAGGATACGATGCCGTTGTATGTCCCGAATGAGATTTGGGCGGCGTCGTAGGATGGGGTTGTGTGTATAGATTAGATGAGCTATAGTGTAACAGGAATAGATTGTTAAATATTGAGAGGAGGAATCTGTCTAGCTGACTACCCCATGGAAAAAGTTTAGTTAAGACATCCTGTTAACTACTAAAAGTGATCAACGCCCCCCGGCACCGCACCCCGGGCGGAATCCAAATTAGGGCTTCACCAGCATCCCCTATCCCCACTCTTCTAACCCCCTCTGTCATCTATATACACTCTACAACAACTCCGTCAAATCCACCAAACTAGCCGTAACCTGATTACTATCCCCGCCCAGCGGCCCACCACCCGCCAGAACCAAATAATCGCCATCCGCCTCACTCAACACCCTCAAACTCCTCGAATAGCTCGCCGACTCCGGCGTCGCAACCTCCGTCCACTCGCCATCGCCCAACTCCGTATTCACGAAGACAGAGCTATACGAGCCACAGCTCACGATGATGGTCCCGTGTTCGCCTCCCTGGGCGGACCAGACGACGTACGGCGAGGATGTCGGCTCGGTGCCGTCGCTCACGACGAGGCGCTGGCCCGGCGCGGACGCAATGTCTTCGGGGTTGCTGGCGATGCGGAAGTACACGGGGAAGGTGTAGGTGGTTGTGCTGAAGTACGAGCCGTATTCGTAGGTGTAGATATAGGCGCCGTTGGGGAGTTGGGCGAGGGTAGGCATGCCGGGGCGGTCGGTGTAGGTTGGATAGGCGCTGGGAGGGGTTTTTAGCGAGGGGAGTGGAGACGAGAAGGGGAAGGGGAAGGGGGAGGACATACACGTCCGTCACGACATCTCCCCACGTAAGCAGATCCGTCGAAACCTGATGCACGAGTTTCTGGCCGTAGGTGGCGTTATCGCGTTGATCAGAATAATAGCAGATCAACTTCCCATCGCTATTATGATCCAGTCACACACAGTCAGCAGCCATCCATCTATCCAACCCTCAACAGATCTTGAATACAACCACAGCACATATGACATACTTGACGAGCAAAAACGGCTCCCACACCGGCGTCAACCCATCATCCGGCTCCGCCTCACCCCCCTTTGCAATCTCCGACACAAACTCCCAAGTCTGTCCGCTATCGCGTGACGCATACAGATCTATCTCCGTCGACGACAAATCCGCCGGGATGCTATTCCCCGCGATGAGAATCGTCCCGGCATCGAAGTCCCCGATCCGCTCAGACAAGTAATACAGGAACGGCTGGTACCGCAGCCCGTACTTGTTGTGCGTGTCTTCGACGCGCGAGATCTCGCTCCATGAGGCCCCGTGGTTGTCGCTGCGGAAGATGGGGAAATAGACCAGTCCTTCGCTTGAGGGGGAGTAGTTTTCCCACGTTGCGAGAAGGACGCCTGAGGGGAGCTCGAGGGTGCGGGCGTAGAGAGTCCGTGGAATGGTGTAATTGGTGGGTGGGGTAAAGATGATGGTGTCGTTGTAGGGGGTGATTGCGTTGGATTTGGGGCTGGTGGATCGGGGAATGGTGGAGCTGGAGGTGGTGAATGAGAAGAGGAGGGATAGGGTGGCGAGGGTGGGGAGTTTCATTTTGCTGGCTGGCTGGCTGTCTTTTCTTTTTCTTTTTCACCTTCAGTTCTGTTGATAATGTCGAGTGACTGCGACTGTGGGGATACACGATCCTTCAAGGGTTTATAGGGCTTAGATACGGGGTGAAGATGCGAGGTGCATATCCCACCGGAGTTGGTGGCTCACCACTCTTCCCACCTGGGGAATTTTCCGTCAATCGGGACGCCCAGGAACAGCCACGAGGGTTCGTCGGGGGGGATATGGACTGATCGCTTCAGTGCGCAATACGAGGTAGGATGACCGGAGAATTGCAGGGCTCCGAAGTTGTTCAATGGCCCGTTCGACGTTGAGCGGACGGGGTATATGATGCAAAGTGTTTCTTTCTATGCTTCTGATTTGCCCCGAAAGAAGCATAGGTATCCTAGATTGCATGATGAATGCACCATTGTTGGCGATATTTAGACTCGCTCATTTGATTCGAGGAAAGGCAGTTTGGGAAGAATAATTTGAAATGAAGTCAAGATCAGTGTCGAGTTATCGACAACTGGCAATCTCGGACTCCCAGGGCTGTTTTAGCCAAACCACAAGGTCCACGCCCTCGAAAATTACCACACCCGGATGCAACTAGTAATCGGTTGGACATCATTTTCTGAACCGAGGAAGGAAGGAAAATATGGCCAGATCTCTCACTTGACTGCATATTACTAATATATATCGACATGATTGCCACTCAACACGCAAAGCCAACATCTTCTACATACCATCATCTCCCTCCTGCACCGACACCTCAGCCCCCTTAACGCCATCCCCAGCATGCTTTACACTCTTCCACTCCAACAAAAACGACGCTGTGAAACAGGTCGGTGATATTGGGGATGGCAGTCCCGATGACGATGATGGTGAGTCGCGCGGTGCTGGGGTATTCGGTTTCTGGGGCCGGGGTAATCACCGAGTCGTAGGATTTAGGGCTGGGCGATTTGGTGACACTGTCATTGGTGCGTGCCTTTTCCATGGTTGAGGATGTTCGGATGTCGGGCGGGTCGTAGATTGCGGATCTTGGTTCATGATCGGATACAGAGGTGGTTGTCGAGGTATTTATCAACGCTCACTGGGACTGTCTCTATGATGAATAGTATAGGGCTTCTCCGGTTCCTGTTAGCATTTTGGTCTAACTCCAGTTCAGAGTCGGGGGTATCTCTGTCAGCTTGGTGCCCTGACTCCGACTTGCTTCAAACTGCAGGGATGTGGTGTGGGCTAACTACGGAATTTGTACCTTAGGTTTCTTTGTTCACCATCGGCGTGCATGCACTATTTCTTATTCTACTAGATCCACTGGGGATCATTAGACATCCGAAATGAATCATTAAAAAAAAAAAAGGGAAAAGAAAATCGAAGATCTATCTAGTTTAGTGTAATCGAGTCCACCCGCTACTTTTACTAACTAAGCGCTTGCTTCTCCCGAAGAAGGGAGAAAAAAGATTGGGGCAAGCCGGGCTTGAACCGGCCACCTTCAGATTTACAGGGGACATCCCGAGGGATGAAGCCTATGGCCGAAGTTTACTTCAGTCTGACGCGCTCCCAGATGCGCCATTGCCCCATTTGTTTGATTAATCATCTCTTTACCTACTTATACAGCTCGCTCCCGGAATAAGATCTGCAAATCTCCAAAACCCATCGTGAAACAATCCTTCGCCGTCGCTTCAAACGCCTTCCCATCCTCTCCCGGAGCGAACTCGAAATCGAACATCGTGACCAGTCGAGCTAAGGTGGTGCGAATGTTGAGTAAGGCCAATGGTTTGCCGATACAGCCGTAGGGACCTGGCAAGAATATATCCGTCAGCAGTGACCATCTTTAAAAGGAAGTAAGGCGAGCGAGCGCACCTATGGAAAAAGGCGCGAAACAGCTTTTCTCCCTGATCATCTCTGGGTACAAGTACCAGCGCTCGGGGATGAACTCCAACGATCGCTCGTAAGCCTCTTCGCCTGCAAAAAAGATTTCTTAGCCCTAAGTTCCACCCGAACAGTGGCCTGTACTACTTACTCCGCCCAATTACATACTGGGGACACATCACGTCAACGTTCCCTGGAACATAAACTCCGTCGATGGTAATGCCTTCGGGGGGCGTTTTTCGCTGTATCTCCGCAGGGACGGGCGGGTGCAGGCGCAGTGTCTCGTTGATGATGGCGTTGAGATGAGGGAGGTGGGATATTTTCTCGTGCAACACCTCGCCGGACGGGTCGGTTATGTAGGGGGCGAGTTCTTCGCGGATTCGCTGGATATGCTCGGGATGTTGCACGAGCTGGTACACCGCAGCGGAGAGAGTGGTTGCCGTTGTGTCACTGGTGGGTGTGGATTTAGGAATCTGTCTACTCGAGAGACAACATTCAATCAGCCTTACCTGCCTGCTACAACGATCAACTTTGCATCTCCTCGTAGTATATCGGTTTGTTCTCGGGTGGGCTTCTTCCCCTGGAGGGGTGCTTGAAGGGCGGACGCGATGTCTGGAATCTCTACTTGTGTCTGCGACCGTCAGTATATATAGGACGTCTTCAGGAATTGAGTGATTCGAAACCTCACCTCCATTCGTTTCTCCATCCTCTCCTCAGCAAAGATATTCAGCCGCCACCAGTCCCGCGACAGGAACGGAATGGCCATGACGACTCGAAAGAACCAGGTAGGAAGCCCAAGCCCAAGGGGCACCATCGCATCCTTCATCAACCGGACAGCCCAGTGCTCCTGACTCGTATCCAGCATGTTGAACGATTTCCCAAACGCAAGGTCGCCCATGAAGTCAAAGTTATACAGGCTGAACCATTTGGTGACATTGACCGGTCGCCCTTTCGAGTCCCCCTGGTTGCTCTCTGCCTGGGAAGCCAGGTACTCCATCAACTGATCTCGATAGACTCGAAGTCGCTGCTCATACCCGCGGAGCGCCTTGTCGCTGAATGCGACGCTCCAGACACGCCGTCGCTCGTCATGAGCCTTCCTATCGCGCAGCGTCTGCAGTGACATCGTGGGGTGGTTTAGATCGTACCAGGCTGCTTTTGTGCACTTGGACCCGGATCCGTAGATCAGATTGACGGCCTTGGGGTGTGCGATGGATAGGTAGTTCGGTCGGAGACGGACAAATGAGCCGTGTTGATCGTGCAGCTTCTGGACCTGGCGAAACCCATCGCCATGTCGGAAGATTATGGGGAGGGAGAAGCTGGAAAGCCTACAGCCGAGAGGACCGGGGAATGAATTGAGGGGATGGAGGAAGATGCGATAGAAGAAGGTAGCGCCGTAGAGGCCGGAGAGGAAGATACCCTCGTTTTGGGACGCTTGAATGAAGGAGGAGAAGAGGTCTTGGTGGGATTGGTAGTGGATGCACAGTAGCATGGACAGATAGATTGTGAGAAAGACTTTGATGTAGAAAACGACCCACAGGTGATGCTCTCCATGGTTGAAGTATAGGGTGTGCGAGAGAACCCCGACCGTGAAAGGGGCGATGTGAGCCCAAGGCATCATGAATGTCTTGCTTCTGTTGCTGGACGTACCAGGGAGACTATCGGGTCTTTATAAGGAGAAATTCAGAGTATGAGGGCTAGATCGGGGCTCTGGGTGGAGAGGGGATGATTGGAGCCTCCAAGATCGAAATCGTGCGATGGATCCGATCCAACCTTCCCAGCTGTCACTTCAATGCCTAATTATCTGGATACACGTCACCACCCACTAACTACAGATGCATGATTAGCTGGTTCAGCCCCAAGCCACCCAGCTCGGCCTCGCAGATGGGATGACCACTGAGGCAAAAGCATTCTCCCCTGTCAGGCCCCACATCTTCCCCTCCTCGTGGCCAAATTGGTCTGGACCATATGGTAATGTGAAGGGGAAGGCACACCATGTCCAACTAACAAAGCCTGGCCTTATCAAACTCCATTCACGAAACAGCCATCCCCCTTCTCAGCCCTCTCCACTCCAAACCTCCTCCCAAGCGCAACAAAATGCGCCAAACTAGGCACATTCCGAAATGCAAAGTGGTCATGATAAACAAACGCCTTCTCAGCCAACCCCTCGGCCTCCTCCCAGTCCACCATCCCCAACTCCACATTCTCCTTCGTTACCAACCCATTCACCACTCGATGCAGTGGCCCATTAGCTCCAAACCGGACAGGACTCAGATACGGGTGCTTCTCGCGGTTGTATATCTCCTCCATTATGAACGGCTTCATGGCCTCCCGCAGAATGTGTTTCTCGCGGAACGTCTTCATTTCTGGATCGTAATTGAGTTATAGGCTCGGGGGAAGCGAGTTCGCATACTCCGTAATATGGTGGTCGAGAAACGGGGCGCGACTCTCGATGTGGTTCACCACCTCGATGTCATCGCCTGGATACCGCAACAGGTTATTATGGAAGATGGATTTGATCCAGATGTACTGAGAGGTGTGGAGCGGATGCCATTTCTCGACCATGTTGTGATGGGTTCTTCCGTCGCAGCTCTCTGCGAGGATGGTCTGGGCGTCACTGGCGGCGTAGGAGTCGGTCCATCGGGCAAATGGGAAAGGGTTGTGCGTGGACAGACACGGCCCGATCCGAGTGCCGTTTAGCATTCGGTGAGTTGATTCATGAATGTTCTTTGGCAACTCTCCAAGTTGCAAAATGTCGCATTTGGTGCTTTCCTTCTTCCAGGCCTCGGGGCGCTTGGACTCGGGAATCAGACCCGCGGGCCATGACAGGTCGGCTTCGCTTAATGGGTGTATCCGGCGAAATGCTCGTCTGCTCTTCCCCCTTGATGGATTAGAAAAGTCTAACATTATATTGTTTGGTGTCAGCATACCTGTGAGTACAGCCGTGCCGACCTGAGCCCTAAACTCTGATCTCTGACATCGGATAACGACTGTAATTTCCACCACAGAGCACTTGAGGCAAAGGTTCATGTTACGCGGAGGCCAAAATATATTAAAGTTGTGCTTATAGGACAGGAAACCAGATAAAAGGAGACAATTTCTCCTGACATGAGCTGTGAAATATCGGGTGGTCGGTGCCAACCAAGTCTCAATTTTCTCAACACCACCCAATTTAAACATCAAGAAAAGATGCTCTGCAGCCGTCTAGAGGCTTTAGATAACAGATTGGCTACTTTCAATTACATGATTTGATATTTAAACACCCATCCACGGCTCCCAATTGACGCATAAGATGGGAAACCCCCAACGACACAGCAATGTTTCGACTTTACAACAAAAAAGGGAATTTATATCATACACCTTTGTAAGAAGTATTCTAACAGAAACAGAAATAACCATTCCACTTCATCAAGTCCATTATCCTGCCTTCAATATAATTCCTGACAAGTATTAACTCAGCACATGCGACCATAGGGTGTGGAGAACAGGGCTTCCCGTCCGCTCAGCCGTACTTAAGCCACACGCCGGGAGGTTAGTAGTTGGGTGGGTGACCACCAGCGAATCCCTTCTGTTGCATGTACCCTTCATATTCCTTTTTTAGGTTTTTTTGAGCGTTATCAACGTGTCTGTGGATGTGTAGCAGTCGTGGCTGCCCCTGACGCGTGTAGACATGTATCTGTTGTGCAAGCCGGCTCAAATTCGGAGTTGGTTCGACTTTACGGCAACGGAATTGCGGAGGTATTTTATGCTTTTCACTCGTCGGGTATACCTAGCGTGTTCGAGGGTATGGGCAGTTTTAGATTGGATTCTGGATCTGTGTGTTGTTTGCTTTGGGAGGATGACGCATTTATATCCAACTTGAGACATGTTTTCGATAGTTTAGGACCTGGAGCTTGGAGGATTATCTGCATAGATATGATGAACCCTAGATACGCAAATGGAACGGAGTCGAAGGAATGAGATATGTGGCTATATGCTAAGTTGATGGGTGACGATGAAAGACGGGCTAGAATACATAATTTCCTACCAATACCTTGCTTTGAACACGAATATCGTTTCTCCTTTTGATTTAATACTTAGCTTAATAACGTCTCTGGTTTTGAATAATCTCATATTGCTATACTTTAAAAACACATGTTATTTCACGGCTCCCACTGGAGGTCAACTCCATACAACATGGGTAGTCGGAAATGACATGGCCTTTGCGAGGGTCTGCAGTATCATGAGTCTGGTCAAAAGTGAAGCAGATGGCAAGGACCTAGCATACGCCAGCGCTGACACGATCCAACTTTGTAGCTGTATTTCCAGTCCTTAATATTCCTTGTGCAGTGTGTCCATAATCAGAAGAGGCAAGGATGCTAGGCAACGGGGCGTATTTAATTGGCAGCTAGATGATCCATGCTAGCGCGTCTCTAGCCCGAGGCTGAGCACGAAGCCGAGTGTGACGCTGATAACCTCCGCGGCAACCTCTCGAACCCCGAGTTCTGGAAACATATATCAGATCATCGATGAACTTCACGATATAATTTCAGTTTACTCCGTCCACTGGACGCAAAAACTCCTGGGCTCTCGAAATCCCAGCGTCAGCAATGTCTCAACGAGAAGGCGAATGGTCCGTCCATAGGGAGGAGATCATCTCTCTCTACCGGAAAAACACCTTAAATCGCGTGATGGAACTCATGGTATCGAGGCACGGGTTTCACAGAAAGTAGGTACTAACCACCGCCTGCAATCCATGTTGTCTGTCTCTCCGGGGCCCATGTCAACAGCGCTCATTCTTCACCAGGAGATCCGAGTACAGAAAAATGCTCAAGTCCTGGGCCGTGAAGAAAAACGGCACGACCTCAGCCTGGGAATTTGTCGCGCGAAAATACGCCCAACGAAAGTCGGAAGGGAAGGGAGATAGCGAGGTGCTCATGCATGGGAAGCATTATTCGGCCAAACAGGCGAAGCGAGAGATTGCGCGTCATGTCACGTACACGGCTTCATGTTATATGTCGCAAAGTCAGTACTTCCGTGTATGATGAGTTGGTTGGAATGGGAATCACTGTTCTGACAGAGAGAAACGCGTAGTCGATGATCCCCCCACACCTGATGGCGTGGTGGTTCGTACTCCCCGACTAGGGCCGAGGACGTTGGTCTTCACGAGGGAGATTCGCGTCGATAACCTCCCCTGGATATTGTTTAAGTGTCAAAGTGAATTTCTGGGCTGGTGGGCGCTGAGAGTGGCGGGGGTGAAGGGCGACATGCTAAACGTGCCGCGTGTTCCAGCGGATGGACAACCGTACGGTCCACTAGACTCTTCGATTCTCGGCCTCCCAACTGCTGGGGCTGATGATGCAAATTCTTCTGGTGACTTGCTATCCCAAGGAACTAATATCTTTGACACGATCCTGCAGGACTGGCCTCTTCAGGAAAACCTGGCTGTTGGCCCCTCGTTCGATACTGCGAGTTGGTCAACTCCCTCCAATGACTTGAACCTCGTTCCCTTGAACATCTTTGACCCAGACTTCCGCGACTGGCATCTTCTCCAGAATGGTCAAGATGCTGGGTCAGACCCAACCGGTCTCATCCCCATGCCATCGTCAAACCCCGCGCCTTCATGGGGCATCTCCGCACTAACAGTGATGCTCAAACTATCCATAGGTCAAAAGGTCAACAAAGACGGCGAGTCAACAGACATCCACCAGATGACTGAATTTCTGAAACGGTACGAAGTCGAAAAGGATGGGTTCGAATCGAGCGTCTTTTCCAGCGACCTCGGGGGACTCGCTGATGATCCCTCAACCCTCAACCGTTTGTTTCACGCATTTGTCTTTCTGATAACCAATGACCTCTTGAGTACGGAGGATATATGTCGGATATTTCAGTGGACTGTGACGCATAAATACAGTTGGATTTTCAATGAGCTTTTCACGCTGCAATCTACGACGGTTGACGTTCTCGCCACCAGGTTATTCCCTGCAGCCATACAGGCGGGTGACACGGAACTTGTTTCCACCCTCATATCTCGGGGTGTAGATGTCAACAGGACATTTTCGCGAAAGCCGTTTGTGGGAAGATCAAACCCTCTGTCAATGGCGATTGATTCCCGAAACGCTAACTTGGCGGAGCTTCTTTGTGCGAAAGGAGCAACCCCTAGGGTGTCCAGGTTCGCCGTTTATAACAGATACAACAAGTTCTCTGATACTCTGTGGTCACCCCAGAACCTCAAGCTTCTTTGCTTGCTTCTGAAGTATAGAGCCGATCCGGAGACTTTTGTTTATGACGAAATGAGAGGCTTTCCTTTAGTACATGCTGCTTCGGAGGGCCACATCGCCGCAGTTAGTCTCCTGTTGAGCGCTGGTGCCCGGACACATTGGTATACGCGGGAGCTCGGCACTGCAATCCAGGCTGCAGCGAGAGGAGGCCACTACGCAGGTGTACTGATCCTTATTCATGCCGGTGCTGATGTCAACGCAATTCCTGATCAGTGGGAACCTACGTCTACGCGTGCGGCAGCGCAATATGCGACGCTGAAGAGTCCACTTGAACTCGCAGCGAACGGCAACCACACAGATACCGTTAAGATACTGCTACAGAACGGTGCTCGCCCTCATTCCTGTCCGAGCGTCGAACTTCTGGGCCTGCAGACTCTGGAAATCGAGTTTGCACGCTGGTGTGAGCCCGGAGACATGATGGGAGATGATGTGCCCTGCGCATACGCCATCCAATATGCAGCGCTGAATGGAAACATTGATCTCGTAAGACTGCTGCTCGCTGCTGGAGCAAATGTAGATTCCAGAATCAGCACCGACCTCGGAGACACTCCGCTGCAAATAGCAGCCAGCAGAGGAGATGTGCCCATGACACGGATGCTGCTCACCCACAACGCCAGTGTCAATGTTCCCCCCGGAAAATACTCCGGCCGCACGGCAATCCAAGCGGCTGCGGCACAAGGAAATACGGAACTGGTTCTAATGCTGCTCCACGCAAAAGCAGATATCAACGCGCCTGCGGGCTGGCAATACGGGAGAACCGCCCTCCAAGCCGCGGTGGAAAAATCTCATCTGGGGATTGCGATGCTGCTACTCGGGATGGGAGCTGATATCAATGCGAAACCAGGCTTCCGCGGTGGAGTCACCGCATTGCAAGCGGCAGCGATATCTGGTGATCTGGGCATGCTCAAAATCGTTCTCATGCACAAGGCAGATTTGCACGCGCCAGCTGGCCCAGAGGATGGACTCACGGCTCTTCAAGCCGTGATCAAGCATAAGAATCTTGAAGCTCTCCAGCTCTTAATTCGAAAGGGTGCAGATGTTAATGAGCGGCCGTCGAAAGTATTGGACACATCAGACTGGCGCTTTTATTCCGGTGCGGCAAACAAGATGCCCCTCCAGTATGCAGTGTACGTGGGGTGGCTGGACGGTGTGCAGTGCCTCGCAGCTGCCGGTGTGGATGTCGATGCGCTTCCTCCGTATCTTGCGGATAATGCATTTACGGCGTTGGGTCATGCAATCGAGGAAAGAGACCCGAGAATGGTTGAGATTTTGCTCAAGTGCGGTGCTGATCCCAACAGTCCTGTTGTTCATGATGAGGATTCATCAACTGCCTTTATGTTTGCCTTGGCAAATACCTGCTCTCTTGAGATCATAGACCTGCTGTTACAGCATTCCCGCGGGTTCGATCGACTAGCTGGAAAGGAATCGGCACTGTCGGTGGCGGTACAAGTTGGCCAGGCTGACGTTGTCAAGCGGATCATGGACCTTATCTCGCAGCATTGCGCAGATCAGTACATCGAGTCACTGAGAACAATACTGGCACATATCATGATAAACCTTGACTGGCCACCCGACTTCGATATGGTGACGATGCTGATTCAAGCCGGGGCGGACGTCAACGCCGCCTACATCAACAACGATACATTTAACGAAGATGATCTGTACCAAGGAACCCTCCTCCAACGCTCAGTGCACCAGTTCGTCAATGGACCCAAGATAGACGTCGTCAAGCTTCTACTCGAAAACGGAGCTGAGGTGAACACCCCAGCTACGGAAAATGTCGGAACAGCATTGCAGATTGCCATCCTGAACGAGCAGGTGGAGATCGCCGATCTTCTTATAGACCACGGAGCGGATATTAATGCACCCCCAGCAGGAAACAGAGGGGCTACGGCGTTGCAGGCAGCCGCTCTTCATGGGTACTGCGCTCTTGCTATGCGACTGTTGGAAAAGGGCGCGGATGTGGCGGCTGAACCGTCGCCTGTTTGTGGCAGGTCGGCTATCGATGGAGCTGCTGAAAATGGTCACTTGGACATGGTGCAGCTGCTTTTGAATGCATACGGGGATGAAACGGACTTGGAGTTGGTTTGTCGTGCGGCTGCGTCTGCTGCGGAGGGGGAGGGCCATTTGGATGTTATGAAGTGGTTGGAGGGTTATGTATATTCTTGATTTCGCACTGGTCTATACGAATGCACAGTCAGGATTCAATTCAGGACTTCTTTTTCGGGACATAAAAGCTTCAGAATCGACTGGAGATGACAAGAATACCACTTGGGGCAAAACGAGAACTCTCCACCCTGGTCTCCCTGGGAGGCCAGCATAGGCCTCCTGACAGAAGTCGAAAAGCTCTTGATTAAGATTGAAACGTCTTTGGAAGTCGTCGGTGTGTATTTTCTATACTAATTCTCATTGTGCTATTATAACATGAACTGAAAAAACACATGATACTGGAGAAGCAACGAAACCCAACAAAACACAACTGCCAAGATTGCGATAACCCTAATACCATCCAGAAACACGGCAACACCAGAGTCCTAACAGGTACACACAGAATTCACCATCCCATCAGATCAATAACGCGAAATTATCGAACCACCACCTACTGCATCACATCTAACAAGAACACCGAGAAGGTACTTAGTAGCCGGACGGTATTCAATCAGGCGGATTTCAGATACCTCCCTCCCGGCAGCAACTCAATCACACCCTTTCCCACTCAGGTGATTCACCACCAGCCAGTCTGTATGACAAGTGAAACTCAGTAGTAACCGTTTGACAGATCGATATCTCTGATCTCAACCAATCAACCATTCTATTAGCCACCTACTTCCAAGACATCCAGACCACAGGAAGTCAGTCAGGGACAGTATCAAAAGGACTCACCTCTTAGGGCATCATGAGTATGCATGTCACCGCCCGAAGTTCTCAATCTCAGATCACGCGCTGGATACTCTCCAGTCGACCAAGGGTTTTGCTCTCGATCTAGAGAAGTGTTCATGTCAATGCCGTTTTCCTTTTATCCAGTAATAGGTAGGTAAACGCCGGCACTCACCCACAGAGGTACCATGCCTCTCACGGCCCATTTTCCTCCACTGCCTGCACAGAACGAGAATAGATGGAGGTCCCGTAACAACAAGAGTAACAAGAGCAATGATAGTCTCTGCCGACCAGGCCATTCTCTTGCCGTTTATAAGTAGAATGAACAGACCACGGATTGGGATCTTAGGTCTTGTTTGATAGCCAAGGGACCAGGCCTTTTCTTATCATTCTTTTGCTTTTTTTTTGAGATCAATACAGAATTAGATAATGAAAAACCAAATGGATAATTATTTGCTCTCACGAGCAAGACTTCATGATGGGGGTTTAAGTCCCCCGGACCCTGGGGCGGTCACCCACCGACATATACACATTTTGTGCACCACCAATCATATTGCTTATGGGTGGGGATGGCTTATAGATGGCGATTGGTTACGGGCAGTTTGTTGGCAGGGCTCAGAACATTTTGGTCTCGGCCAATGGAAAACAATGTCCCTTGTGAGTCAGCACTAAGACCCTGTCTGTTTAACATACTGTGAGTAACTATACCTAATTCGGAGCAAGGCTGACGATGACAGGACCTTGCACGCCTAGATATTCCATCCCTGAACTTGGAAATTATACAACCTACATGATAAGATTGATTAGACTGAAAGGGTTGTTATGCTATGCGGCCAACGAAATAATTTATCTTAAAGTTCCGAGGAAGGAAGCCATTGGTAGCAATCAAACTCCGTCCCTCGCTATAGCTGTCCCTAGACTGCTGCTGAAATTCCATGCAATGGACAAACCCGGGATAGCTCAATAAAGAGGAAAGCGAAAGGAAGAGGAAAAGGGAAAGGGGGCGGCTACAGCCACACCGCACTCGTCTCTGTCACACCTCTACCTTCCATACTAGGGAGAATGGCTGGGAAAGTCCACACCCAAGGATGGGTGGGTGCTCGTCCTCCTCGGACTTTACTCTACGAAGAGCCCGTTCGTGAAATGAATTTATTCGTCTCTTTCACTCTTTACCCGTCAACTCACACAACGGCAATACAATGCAATTATTTACTTTTCCTTGCTTGCTTCCGCCCCTGGCGCCATAAAACGCGCCACGATGGGAAGAGGCCACGCCAGGTGCTCCACGGAGTCCGCCTGGACTTCACCCGAGGTAATCAAGTCGATAATCGCCACAGCAATGTACCCGCCAATGGCCGTGAAGACATGCCACCTTTGTGTGGTTAGTCACGTTTTCCCTTCCAAAAAATGGGAGATTGTAAACATACCATCCATGCAATTCAAGAAAGAAAGCCAGCGGCAAGCCGACAACTTCTCTGGTGCTGAGCAACACCCGACACGCCAGCTCATCGATCAGCCAGACGAGGTAGCCGAAGACGAAACTCGCTTTTGTTGGTCAATTACCATTTTTCGAATCGCCAAATGGAGACCCAGGGGTGGATTACTTACCAACGCCAAAGGATGCCACATTTTGGATCGTTTTCCGGGTGGAGACATCTGAGATTTGCCCGGGAATGATCTTGAGGGTGCGGATCGTGATCAACAACACGGCCGTCCCGAAGCTGACGGCGTGGAGAAGGAACTCGTCCATGACCATGTGGACGACCATCACGATGGTGAAGAGGAGGGAGAGCACAATCCGGGCAATTTTGGTGAATTGCGGACTGGCTTGGAAGGTCAGGATTCGGTAGAGGAGAGGGGTTGTCAGGAGATGCATGGACAGTTCATCCGCTGCTTTTGGTTAGAGAAGAACGAAGCTGGAGAGAGGATGTTCAGCTCGACGTACACATCTGGGTGTGGTATTTGAGGGTCATATGATAGCCGCCCGAGCAAATACCCACCCCGATCAGTCCGCAGTACGGAATCGAGCGGGATCCGGTTTGCTTCTTCTGGTGGAGCTGGATCAGGCCGTAGATTCCGTAGATGACTGAGAGCAGGGGTTAGCGTCGCTCTCCGGTGATGATGCTACTGACGCACTGTACGTAAAGCTGCTCAGAGTGTTGATAAACTCCGCAACATATCGAGTGATCACGTAATCCTGTTTGGTCCCATTCAGTGGGTTTTCTTTTCCTTCGGCCACATATGCGGCAAGCACGTACCTCCTCGCAAAAGCTAGGGATGAATGAGTGACTGGAGTTCTTCAAAAATGGGCCATGGGGGGGATTTGAGTGAGCAACATACTTCAGGTATGAGGTCGGGGCCCCCCAGAAGGGGGTTGATACGGAGAGGGTCATGGTGGCAGCGTTTCTGGGGATCGGAATACCGAGGACGGGGGAATTGCGGAAGGGCGGTTTGGGGGCGGCGGGTTTAAATAAAACCACTCGGATTTCAGGCATTCACAACCCGCGGCAGGCTCCACCTGGCACTTCCCGGCCCGGGAGCGACCCACTTTCTCCCTCTCGGTGTTGCTCCTGGTTACCTGGAAGCAGGTGGACTTTGTTGATGAGAATCATACCTCCAATGTCACTTACAATGTAGCTTTCCAACTGCGAGGAACTTCGGGGGTTGATGAGAAATGAGAGCTTTGTCCCTAGAAACAAGCTTGTTCACTATGTATTTTGTGATGTATCAAGTCAACCCTATACACTGCCCTGCATCTATTTCCAATTCACTACCACAGAATGAGCGCCTTTCAGGCATCCACCAACGGAAAGGGAAGCCCGCATCCACGTACAATATTGACATCCGAAAACCAGAGGACAAACACCGGGCGGTTATTCTTGTATTTCTCAGGCTTATTCTCGCTGTGTTTTTATTCCTGTTTATTATCTTTGGCAGGCGAATCCGGAGAGACATTCCCCCCCCCCCCCGAGAGATGGCGAGTATTAGTAAAGTGTAAACAGCATCAGTGGAATGAGAGAAGTCAGGGAAGGGGGGGGGGAGTATGATTTGGACTATGTCATTTAGGAAGATTTTGAGGGGGATGGCGATGTTCTTGGCGAGGATATATAGGTGGTGGGAGTGGTCGATTGAGTGGTATTGGTTATGGGTCATTTTGGCGGATAGATGGATAGATGGATGGATGGATGGATGGATGGCTGGATGGCTGGATGGATGAAATACGTGCTGTGTTGGGAAAGTTGTAAAAAAGAAAGATGAGGACGAGAGGTAAAATGGAGTAATAAGGATGATTGCTGCTGTGTTCACTGTCCTGGAGTAACCGAGGTTAGAGCTATCCCTCAGCAGCATGGTGAGTGAATAACCTATATGATAGGGTTGGTAAAAGTTTGTATCGCGTGTCTGGAGCAAGGTTAAACCAGCTAAACCTGCCATCCGCAGCTTTTAATACTTCAACAGGATGAATTGTTGAATCTGTGGTGAATAAGGTCAGGGGTCATGCGCTATTAAAATAGCTATACATCCCCCCCCGAGTCTGGCCTTTCTTTGTATCCCTCGGTAAATATACATACATACACACCTCTAGTTCCCCATTCACTCACATAAATTCCTAGACACAGTGTGTATGTGACAGAATCCAATGAGCCGAGACACGCTGGCAGCCTGAGTATACAGCAAGAAATTACTTACCATGTGGACAAAGTAATAAACAGCCAAGTAGACCAGAGGGATTCGATTCAACGCATGGGAATGGCGGGTGTAGCCAGCAGGGTGTGCCTGGAGCGTGGACTATGGGTGTGTATGTGGAATCTCCATACATTCACCACGCCTAGGATTATTGCCTTTGTTTTCTACTTTTCGTAGAAGCTCCGTATTTGACGCGGTGGCATTCCATGTTTTTCAACTCTAATCAAGTCCAATGCATGCCACCTACAGAGTACAGTGGGTAACATCCAGTTGTTGTATCCTGACTTCTCTTCAGGATCTATCTTGCCTCAGGCACCCAACATGCGCCGAGATAGACGCCAGTCCCAATCGGGAGGAAGGGTGCGCCACGCATTATTAGACCGACTTATTCCCACTCCAAAACCCATAAAATCCGTTTCCATTTCTCCATATCTTCTACATCATGTCCACTTGGGCCAGGTTTGCACGTGGAACCCCAAATCTCTATCGAATTGCAGCAACTGCTCTGCCCCTGAACAAATCCCGGGCCATGACTCGAAATCCCCGATCCGGGAACGCGCTGGCGCGGGCATCGGCAAAAATGCCCTGATTTTCTCATCTTCGCCCACGTCGGCCGGAATCACCGCTGCTTGATTTGCCTCCCATGATACTAAAGTCAAACTAGTGATGGCCCCACCATGGACGAGATGCAAGTCTTCAGCCGCTGGCTGCTCTATAAGGGGCGAGATCGCGCGACAGCCACAACTCTTCATCTTGATTTTCATCTCTCTTTCTTTGCAGTGCACCCCGTCAGACAACTCCAGATAATGATTTGATTCATTTCTTCATTCTTTTGATCTGTGGTTGCCACTTTGCTCCCCGACTTTCGTTCTTCTAGCCCTCCATCATGTGGCCATTTCGAGCCTGGATTGCGGCGTTGACCCTGGTCCAGTGGTGCTGGGCTGCTCCTGCCACCACCGCGGCCGGGATATCTCTGGTGACCATCACCGCAACTTCAACAGACACCATCACCAACACCGTCACTAGCTCCTTTTCTGTCGTTACCACTGAAACCACCTGCACCCCGGGCTCCACTGCACCTTCAGGCACTGGATGCTACACCGGCGTGTGGACATCCGGTTCAGACTACTACTCAGGCATCTGCTCGGCCTCACTCACAGGAGGGACTGTCATTCGCAACTATGTCAACCAACCCCTCTCTCAATGCTACAAGGTATGCACCAATCTGAATTCAATTCAGGAGCGATCATGCGTGGGATATGACTTTTATACATCCCTTGGATTGCCATTTTGCAATATTGTCAGTGGCACTCCTACTGTTGTCTCGGCGTCTTCCGGCTACTCTGTTGTCTTGGAATATACCACCAATCCGTGTATTGCAACCGTCACTGCCACTTCTGCGACGACTTGGCTGGATACGTCGGTCGTGGAGAGTACGGTTACCTATACGTCTACAATTGTCATCCCGACTTCTTCGGCAGCTGCTGCTAGTTCCACGGTGGCACCGTCGTCCTCGGTTGTTCCCATCGCACCTTCGAGCACTGCCATTGTATCGTTGGTCACTGCTTCATCTGCTGTTAGTTCCAGTTCTGTTGTTACTTCGAGCCCTCTCATTGTTTCGGCCACTGTTAGTCAAAGCTCTGTCATTCCTTCTTCTGCCGTTTCTCCAAGCACTGCTGTTGCTTCGAGCTCTGTCATTGCTTCAGCCGGTCCTTCTTCATCTGCTGTTACTTCATCCGCTGCTGCTTCATCTACCGCTGTGTCAAGCTCGTCTGTTATCAAGCTCCCACCAAGCTCTATCGGATCGCCATCGCAAACTTCTCCTGTCCTTCTTTCGTCCCACCCCGTGTCAAGCCCATCATTGATCGTCTCCTCTCGGGTCCCATCTGGAATCTCGAGTTCAGCACGTATCAGCACAATTCCTGTCAGCGTTCCTTCGAGGCCGGCCAGCTCTTCACCTGCGACGCTACCCACGTCTTTGCGGTCCAGCGGGGTACTCATTTCTTCAAGCACCCCTTCCGTTGCAGTTAAATCATCACAGATCATCTCGTCTACTAGTTCTTCGGCGGCTGTTTCTGATATCCGCTCCAGTCGCCTCTTTACCCCGGGCACTGGGTCTTCTGTCGCACGTTTGCCTTCTCAATCGGGACGGCGTACTACTACACTTTTGACTACGGAGACTATTGTCATTTCTTCGACTATTTGCAATACTGCAGCTGGGGTTACTGCTACTAGCAGTGTTGGTACGGGTACGGAAAGTGTTGTCACTGCTACTAGCTCGTCTGAGAGTAGAGATAACGCTGGAAGTCCAACCAGCTCGGTCACCACGGAAACGCTGTACACCACTAGCGTTACTACCATCTACCAATGCCCGACCACTGTGGTAGACTGTCCTGCGGACCAGAAAACCCCTCACGCAACCACCCTGACCATCGCCACTGGAACTGCGGTCTATCCTCTGACTACCTCGACTGTTTACACCACGGCAGAGCGTACCGTCACTGCTTGCCCATCGTCCGTGAAGAACTGCCCGGCAGCGGAGAAGACCACATACGTTACTACCGGGACATTCATGGCTTATACTACCATCTGCCCCGTTACTGCGCAGGAGACGGGCGTCCCCGCTAGCGTTACAACTGTACATGGCGCCGGGGCCACTCAGACTGCCACAAGCGAGGTTACAACAACTTCTACCGTCTACTCGACAGAGCTCCACACAATCACCGCGTGCCCAGCGTCGGCAAAGAACTGTCTGGCATCGGACAAGACAACATACATCACCAGTGAGACAGTAATTGCATACACCACTGTCTTTCTCGTGACCGCAGAGGAGACTGGTGCCCAGGCCACGCCCGATACAGTGGCGCCCCCACACATTTTGCCCACCGAGGCCATGACAACCTCTACAGTCTACGTAACAGAGGTCCACACAATGACCGCCTGTCCCTCAAACGACAAGAACTGCGCTGCTTCCGCAAAGACCACCTACCTGAGCACCGAAACGCGGGGCGTATACACCACCGTGGTCCCCGCATCAGGACATGAATCTGGCTCGACAGTTACCGCAGACAACCACCAGAGCGCCCCTACAGGACATTCGGGAAGCAATACCGAGGGCTCAGCCCCAGAATCCGAGATTATCTCCCTGACCACGGAGACCATTTACGAAACTCGCACGGCCACCATCGCTGTAACCATCTGCCCTCCGTCCCGCGGCAACCACTGTGCGGCAAGCGAGAAAATCACCTCCCAAATCGCAACCACAACAATCGTCCCCGTCACCACCACAGTCTACGAGGTATACACCATATATGCAAACCCCACCGCCGCGCCCCAAGGTGGCGAGGGCGTTTCACCCGCCCAGGTATCTAGGGGTCAAGAACAGATATACGCTACGGAAACCTACACCATCAACCCCCAAACTACATCCACATCCACATCCTCCGCCACTAGCGAAGGAGACGGAGAGGGAGGATCCCACGGACACGGATACGGCCAAGGAGCCATCACAACGGGTCATGTCCTGCCACCCCAGCCTCCCTTCGGGGCCTGGAACGCGACAGTCAACCGGAACATCACATCATCCAGCGCCAGAGTTCCGAAGTGGAAGCACCACCCATCTTCTTCTCCTTCTTCTTCCTTAGCGCATGGCCTTCCGGCGACTAGTGCAACTGCAACTGCAGCTGCTTTCCCGACACAGGTCATGGCTGTCGAGGAGGCTGTAGAAACAGGCGGTGCGAGTTCCCTGGGATGGGCAGGGGCTTCTAGTTTGCTTGGTGGGTTGGTTCTGGGGTATGCAGTTTTGTTGTTGTAGGAAGTGAATTGGGCTAGTCATTATAGGCCAGAGGCTCTGTGATTAATGTGAAATTGAACGAATATATGTACTATTTTACCAAACACTGCCATTGCCATTGCTATTGAATATTTAATGATGACTTGCGCAGCCCAGATACAGCGACATTTGTACCAAGTCTATATAAAAATGGTGTATCGGAGAGGCAGTATAAATATTCGAACTCTTTGGTCCCAACCGTCACCACACACAGGCCACACAATTCTCGCCAGGAAATTCAATACTAAAATAAAAATTCGCATCATCTCCATTCTCCAGCCAAATTCACGGCCGGCTCAGCCCATCTTCAGCGTGCTCCACTATAAAACGACTCTTGACCATAATCTCCCGGGCGGTTGCCAGTGGTCTCCCGATCCCCTTCCCCCGCCACAGAAACCAGTTCCAGCGTCTCCTCATCTCCGGATGAGGACCTGGCCGTGGCCTTATACCGATCCGAGACCATTCTGGGGGCATTTTCAATTAGCGAGCCGCGGCCGCTACTACCACTACCGCCAGTCTTCGTTCGTCTATAAACATGACCCCAGGGGGTATTTGCCCAGCGGCCTGAACGAAGACATCATGCATGCGGCCATGAGATACATTCCCACCTCCACGATGGCCCAGATGACCAACAACGCGCCGGTCCAGGTATTGTCTGAGTCTGCGTTATTGGTGGAGAACTCAAAGAGCGCGATGAGGGTGGCAATGAGACCGCTAGACGCACGCCAACACGTTAGCTCTCCGAGACCAAAGCAGTCAGGGACGAGGAGGGCAGGGAGAAAAGAAACGCAAACGCGGTACGTACAGACTTTCCTCATGAGAAAGGTAATCAAGAGGCCGATCTTCAGGCGCGTAGTCGTCTGTAGTTAGTCGGATGACGTGGGGAATGGGCAGGACTAGCAATATTATATCCGATCGAATGCTGATGACACGGGCGGCGTAGCGAAACCAATTATTCTCATGTTGAAACAGCGGCCCGGGATCTTGGGGTCCCAGAAGGACTGCAGCCGAAATCTGCAGCATAGCGCCGTGGGTTAATGTCAGGTCTAGAATGATGATATAATAAAGGTCTGATTCTACAATACTGCTGCGCAGGCAGTTGGGCTATATAGACATAGAATCAGGCAATAATCAGATATATATAAAGTTATATATAGGATTATATATAGACTGATCCAGATTAATCAGAAATTAAAGAGTTAAATCTTATTCTATTATTATATTAAGTTCTTATTTTATTTAATATATCTTCTTTAGCCTGCAAAGACTGCAATTTCTAGTAATAAATATTAATATAATATTAAATTAATTTTTAAATATAGTAATTTTAGCAGCGGGATTACTAGTTGACTTGATTAATTAATTCTAGTAATTTAATAAATTTTATATAATTTTAAAATATTAGTAATTTAATAAGACTATTAGCTATTATCTTATTTATAGATTATTAGTATATATTAATTTAACTATTCTGAATTTTCTGATAAAATTAATACTGATAAATATTAATATAATAAAAATAGATTATTATATAAAGTTTCTTATTAGTTAGAATTCAAAGTATTTACTGATTATTATAATTAATTAATATAATATAATTAAGATTAAATTTAATAGTATTAAAGAGATATTTTTATTAGAATATATTTTTTATAGCTTTTAATATTATAAATAATTTAGTTTTTATTATTAATATAGTTACTGTTTTCTATTTACTTGTTTATTAATTAATAGATTTTTTATATAAATAGTATATATAGTCTTTTAAGAATTACTGATTTTTAAGATTTATATAGACTGTATTACTAGTAATTTTAATTATATTTTTTTTTTATTTTTTTTAAAGAGTATTCTCTTATCTTTAATAATATCTGAATATTAAATATATTTATTTTATATATTTTAGAGATACTGAAGTAGATAATTTACTGCTTTCTAATATTTTAAATTAGAATTAATTATAAACTTAACTAAATATAATACTATTTTTAAGATATTAGAATATATTATTATAATATTAAATTATATAAATCTAATCTTTTATAAATAATTAAAAATCTGACTTTTTATAATCTTTTTATTATATAGCTTTAATTTAATTTCTTTGCTTGAGACTTTTTTCTTTCTAACTATATTAAAATAATATTAGATAATTAGATTATTATAATAGACTTATTAAGATAGCTATATTTTTTTATTAAATTAATTATATATAATCTTAATATCTAAGAATATATTAGATTTAATAATTTTTTTAATTTTATAATATTATTTTATTTTTTTAATAATATTATCAGCAGTTGCTGTATGCTTTAGCTGATAAAGTATAATTATATTATTTATAAAAAATATTATAATTATATTATTTTTTATAAAGAGATATAAATCTTTATTATATATTATTAGATTTAGTTTTTTAAGAGTCTTGATCAGATTCTTCTATTAAAGATATAATAAATATTTAAGTTTATAAAAAGCCTGAATTAATTTAAGTATTTTCTTATATTTATTTTTAAAATTATCTAATATTTTTATATATATTAGAACTTTAAGAGTTATATTAATAAAGATATTAATTATATTATACTGCTAAATATTAAGATTAAATATAATAATTAATATTATTAAGATTTAAAAAATTTTAACTTTTAGAATTATTATTTATATTTTTTTTTATTATTATTTATAGATTTTCTCTAATATAGATTTTAATCTTATATTTAATTAGATAATCTTCTGTATTATATTTATATATAAAAATCTATTTTATTAATAAAATTTATATATTCAAAGATTAATTTATTATCTTTTATATAAATTTCTTAATCAGGATATTAATCTTTATTCTTATAATCTATTTAAATTTATTTTATAAGAGATAATTTTTTAATTTATAATAAAATTTTAATAGTTTTAATAAATTTTTTTTATATAAAATCTTTTCTTTCTTAATATTATATACAGTAATATTAAATATACTATAAAAGATATTATTTAATATTATTATATATACTAAATAGATATCTTAATTTATATAAGATATTTATTTTTATCTGCCTGTAATAATATTATTTATAGAGATATTATTTATAATATTATAAGATATTACTTATAATTCTAAGAATATCTTTATTATTTTTTATTTTAACTAGCTTATTAGCTGATTGCTAAATATATTTAAGATCTTTGATTAGTCTGTTTTATTATTTTTAAATATTTTTATAAATCTAAAGATTAATTCAGCAGTTAAAGATTAATTAAAAAAATTAATATTTTTATAATTTTTATTATCAGAAAATTTTTTTGATAATATATATAATATTAAATCAGATATTAATAAAATATTATTATAGATTTCAAGAGTTTATAATCTATTTAGTATTCTCTTTTTTATAATATTTCTTAATTAATCCAAATAAATTATTTACTCTGTTTTTGATTTTATAATATAATTCTGATAATAAATAATATTATTAAATTTATTTAATATCTCTTTATTAGCTTCAGGATTCTCTTCTTTAAAAATATATATAAATTTATTAATATTAAGTATTTTTATTAATTTTTTTAAGATATTAATAATCAGTATATCTTCAGAAAATAACTTATTTTTATTATAAAAATAATCTTTATTAAATATAATATCTCTTTCTACTGTTATCTTACTGTTTTAAGAATTCTAGATAAATTATATATATAAGACTTTAAAGTTTATAAGAAATCTAATTTATATATATAATTTTAACTTAGCTAGTTTAAATATTATAATCTTTTATATATATATTTTATAATTTATTATTCTAAGATTATTTAGCAAAGACTTTATTCTATATATTAATTTATATAAGATCTTTCAGAATATATTATTTCTTAAGATAGATATTTAATTTAAGATATATATAGTAATTATATATAAAAATAATTAAAGATTAGCTAATAGTCTAGATCTGATTTAAATTAATCTTATTATTTTTATTAAAAAAATTTCTATTTATTTAGTCTTGCTGTTTTACTCAGATATTTTATAAATTAATTTATTTCTTAAGAAATTAATCTTATTCTGTAATTCTTTATATCTGTTAGTAAGAAATATTTCTTAATTTAAGAATATAATTTTTAATATATATTTAAATTAATTCTTTATTTAATTTATTAGTTCTTTAGCTATATTAATAATTTCTTACTTACTGATAATATCACTGATGATATAATAATTAATTAAATTATTAATAAAATAAAAAATATATTCTTTGATATTTATTATATAATTAAGAAAGATTAGATTAAAATAAAAATATTTAAATAATTTTTTAGTAGATATTATTAATTATCTTAATATCTATTTATTTATTTTATTAAATCTATATATCTTGCAGATCTCTATTAATTTTTTAATAACTTTAATATAATTAGCTAATTTTTTAAGATATTAAATAGTATTTTTATATATATATTTAAGATAATTATACCAGATCTCTTTGATAGCTATTGTTTGATATAACTTTGTTAATATAGATTTTTAAGTTCTTATAATTATTATTTTATTTTTAGTAGTATAATTTTTTGCTACTGCTAGTATTATAATCTATTTTTTAATCTTATTTAATAAGTTTTTTTTCTTCTAAGAATTATATTTAATAACTATTAGATTAAATAATATATAATAAATATAGACTTTCTTTCTGATCTGATTTTTTAAATATTTTATATATTAATAAAGATAAATATCTGCTCTGCTTGCTTTTATTGTAGAGATAATATTAATATATATCTCAGAGATATAGATAATCTCTTATAGATTAATTTATATCTCTGAATTATTATTTTTTAATATCTTTATAATAATTATATTATATTCTAGAATTAAAGACTTTAACTTATTTATATATATATATAATTCTGATAATATTACGTGGTATTTAATAAAGTGGCTTTAATTATTATAAATATAAATATATGCTTCTGTATCTGCAATTTATAAATTATATAGATAATAAGAAATCTTTTTAATAATTTGTATAACTCTGTCTAATATAGTATTATTAGTTTTTTTTCTGATAAGTATTAATATAATTATTTTCTTGTTTTCTATATTATCTTTTTGAATTATTTTAATAGCTTGATTTATTACTGTTTTTATTATAGATAATCTTTTTTATATTTATTAAATCTTTTTAATAATCTCTGGCTTCAAAATCTAATCAGATAAATATAATAATTTAATAATATAATAATACTTCTTAAATTAATATTTTATTTTATAAAAATAATTTTTTAGAATAAATTATTTCTGCTGCTTTAATTTTTTCTAATTTTTCTTAATTATTTATAAGAACTTTTCTTAAGAAGTAAGAACTTTTCTTAAGAAGTAAGAACTTTTCTTAAGAAGACTTTATTAAACTTTTACTTTCTTATATAAATTAGGTGTAAAAGTGAGGTGAAAGTAAGAGAAAGATAAGAGAAGTAAAAAATAAAAAAATTAAAAATTAAATAATTAAGTAAGAATTTTTCTCTAATCTCTTAGAAAGACTTTACTAAATTCTTATTTTCTTATATAAATTAAATATAAAAGTAAGATAAAAGTAAGATAAAGATAAAAAAAAATAAGAGAAAGATAAAAGAAGTAATAAGAAGATTTAAAAATTAAATAAATAAAAAAAAATTAAAAGCTAATTTAACTTGATTAAAACTTATTAAAAAACTAATTAAAAATTAAGAGATTTTTTTATTTATATTTATAGCCAATTAGCTATTAAAAATATATAAAAATATATAAAATTATATAAAAATTATATAAAAATTATATAAATAAAACAGGGCTAAGAATAATAAAATTAGTGATTAAATAGAGACTAGAATAATTAATAAAAATAAGATCTCTTACTCTATTATAGAATAGATAAAACTTAAAATTATTAATCTATTAATTAATAGTTTAAGACAGCTAACTGATCTGGGGCTATAAATTAATAAGTCTTAGATAGTAAACTGATAAATCTGCTTATATTATTAATATATTTCTG